TGGAGACGCAGTAGTGGCTCCGTTCTGGTTAGCCCTGAACTTTTTGAAAACGGGCTCGCAGCTCACGGGCGTCCTCGACGATTTTATATCTTTAGATCACATAGAAATATCGGTCCAGAGTCTAAGCAGTAAGGCCATGATCGAGGAGCTTTATTACTACTCGTTGCCTCTTCTAGATCAACCACTGGCGGAGACTTCCAGGGATTGGCGAATTTCTGCTCTCGCACTGGAAGCGGTGGCTCTCCAAGCACAGCAACTAGGAGAGGCATTTCGCCCGGAGCTGATGGATGCGCTATATCCTGTTCTCCAGCTGCTCGCATCAACTAACGCTTATCTTCAGAGGCATGCTATGGTATGCCTTGACATACTCACCAGCTCTTGCGGGTACGAGGATACCAGCACCATGATCATTGAAAACGTCGACTATCTGGTGAACTCGGTGGCATTGAAACTGAATACCTTTGATGTCTCACCGTACCCGCCGCAAGTCCTCTTCATGATGGTAAAACTGTGTGGTGCACGATTGATTCCCTATTTGGATGACTTGATTGACTCAATGTTTGGCATTCTGGATATGTACCATGGATACCCCAGACTTGTGGAAACAATGTTCAAGACCCTGGCTGCCATCGTCGATGAAGGCACGAAGAGCCCGTCACTCCTCGCAATTACCAATGGCGAGGTCAAGCCAGTCGATCATCGCAAGCGGCAATACCAGAGACTGCTGGTATCCACCCTAGCAGAGGATCTGGTTGCCCGTAGAACAAAGCGAGCCAGGTATATGGATGAAGGCGTGGAAGACGATGAAGAAAGAGTGTCACATCCGAAACAGCCCTGGAAATCAGAGCCTGAGAAGGTCGAGGACTTGGACGCTGACAACCTCTCTGACATCTTGAACGCGGATGAATCCGAGGAGCCACTTCCTCCTCCCCGAGAGCCGGAGGATGAGGAGAAGCCGCTCAGTAAATCACACACGATTCTGCTACACATTGTCAAGTCGATACCCTCGCATCTAACTTCTCCTTCGCCCTACCTTCGTCGCTCCTTACTCTCCGTCCTAGTCAAAGGCTTCCCAGCCCTGGCCCAGAACGAGAACAGCTTTCTGCCAGTCATCAATGATCTATGGCCTGCTGTTGCTTCAAAGATCAGCTTTCCGTCTTCGCTATCCAGCGAGACGTCGTCGACCGCTCTCATGACGAGGGAGTCGTCCACGCCGTCTACCAACGCTGTCACCAGCAGCGGCGCACGCAAAATCGAGGAGTTCGACTTTAAAGAGGAGACATTTGTAAGCACTGCCGCCTGCGAAGCCATAGAAGTCATGTGCAAGACTGCTGGCGACTTCATGGCATCGCGCGTCGAGGCCGAATTCCCCGCTGGGAGCGAATCTATCGCCGCATGTGGGACAAAGTGCGTCAAGACGCGGAGAAAGCACTCGAGCGACGCGCTCACCACCAATCCAGCAACACACACTCATCCGAGACACACGTGGCACCAGAAACCCATCTCTCCCTACCTCTGTCTCACTCTCTATCACTAGTCATACCCGGCTCCAGCCCCAGTTCCACCTCTGGCGCTCGCGCCTTCACACCACACCATACTCTCTGGCGCGCCCAGCTCTCCCTATTCATCACCCTCCTCACCCACGTCCGTCTCCCGCTGTCCATGGGCGACCAAATATGCGAGTTCCTAGCCGACTGGATAACCCTCTACGTCGGCCCGAACTACTACATCCAATTCCATCTACAAGCTGCCGATTCAGCTTCGGATATACCCGCTCCCCAACGTGCAGAGCTGGAGCCCGTCGAGACCGCCATTCAGGCCATGGAGACCTGGAATGCGGATCTGACTTGGTTCATCTTCCAGCGGAAGGCGCAGGCAATCGCTACGTCGAGTAGAAGCAAGGCGGGTGATGGCGCAGGAATGATCTGCGAGATTCCGGAGAATCCATTGGAGTCTTGGTCTTCGTTGGCAAACCACTTGAGATTCGCCCCGGTGGTGTTCTGATATGTATGAATAGCGCACACATGTACGGAGTAGATAACTTGCCCTACAAGAACCAATATATATGACGCTCCTCTGAGCAGTCTGCACCGTTGCAATGCGTGCTGTCGGGTGAGTAGTCTACAATGTGAGGTAGTCTACAGCAGGATTACTCTACAAATGGAATCTTCAGAAGAGCGGAATATTGAGGAGAGATATCTGTTATTCATAGAGAGGTAGTGATGTAGCAATCAGATTAACCTCAATTCAACGAAAGTGTTCAAGACACGATTTGTGTGCACTCTGTCGACTGAATGACTGTGGATATAGCAAGGTAATGACCGAAATTAGCGCATTGTATAGAAAAAAGCAAGTTCCGAAGACGTCTCGAACATCACAAATAATAGAGTAGCCGATTCACCATCTACTCGTCATCCTCGCTTTCCTCGTCATCGCTTTCAGCATTCTCGAGCCAGTCAAGGAAGGGCTCAGCAGCCTTGCGAACCTTCTTGCTGGTGGACAGGTCGACGTACTTCTTGCTGGCCTTGGAACCCCATGCCTTCAGCACATCCTCGGAGACAAGGTCGTGCTGGTAATAACCCAGGAGGACGGCGGGAACCAGAGAGATCAGCTCAGGGTGATCCTTGCCAAGAAAACGCTCGGTACCGCCGAGAAAGGCCTTCTCGTGGCGCTCAGAAGTGATCATCTTCTTCAGGAAAGCAGCGCGGGCGGGAATCTGCTTAACGATCTTCTCGTCGAAGATGGTCTGAGCAAGGACAGCAACAGTCTTGTGCTTGTTCTCGATGCCGAACTCCTTGGCCTTCTTGTAGATGTCGACATCGCTAACGGCAGTGACGTCGCCCTTTTCAGATGCGGTCTCGAGAATCCAGCTACCAAGTAAATCGTAGGCAGACGGTCCATCAGGCTCTCCATCTTCATCGGCATCCTCGAGGACGAGGGAACGCTTCAGGTCGTCAGGCAGCTCCTTGGCACGAGCCTTGACGGCCTCCTCAGAAACGTCCACAGCCCATTCGTCGTCTTCAATGTCTTTCTCGGCCTCGAGGGCCTGAGCCTCGGCCTTAATACGGCGAGTGAGTTCATCGTCGCTGTTGGCTTCCAAGGCAAGATCCTCGACTTCACCGTTGTCGGAGTTGCTGTCTCCAGGGCTGACACTGTCACCGTTGGCACCCTCCTCGGCCCTCTTGTTCTTGCGAGCCCTTCTGGCGGCCTTGTCCTTCTTCCCTCCCTTGGTAGAAGCACGGTCGCGGAGAATGAAGGTGCTCAGCTTCAAACGGGGATCGACATCGGTGCGCTGACCACAGGCCTTGCAGTCAAGGATGATCTTATCGTCCTTGATGATGACATCCGTTTCAGGATTCTTACATTTCTTGCAAAGCACAAACTTGGAGATGAAGCCATCGAGGTAATCCTGAAGCTTGGCAGCATCATGGGCGCCGTTGATAATCCAGCGATCATCGGTGGGCTTAGCGTTAGCCTGAGCACCGAGTTCAAATCCGAAGTACTTGATCACATAGGAAGGAGGACGGCTCAAAGACTGAGCGACCGAGTTCAGGTTGACGACCACGGTCTTGATGCCGTTACCCTTGCCTTCAATCTTGGACTGGAGGCGCTCCATCTTGTAACGGTAGAAAGGATCGGTGACATCACGACGAATGTTGACAGTAGCCATTTTGACGGTTGTTGAGGATGATTGTTTTTTTCACGAAACGGTGAGAACGAGCTGCTTGAAAACGAAGCGGGAGGGATTATGGACCAATGATATCTTGAAAAGACAAGACATGCGTAGCGAATTCCTCGACTTTTGAAAAGTAGTGGATGGTGGAGAGTTAAAATCGTTTTAACTAAGCGATTTGACACAGCAGATAGAGCAAGCCTGGGGTTCAGCCACAGGACTTTGAATGTATACTACAAGGTTTCAGCTCGGAGCGAAACTGTTGCAGCTTGAGCGGCAGGTGGTGTTCGAAATCTCTGACGCAGGACGAATACATAGACAAGTTCGCGACCGACTCTTTTTCTTTGAGTGGCTTTCTCCGGTAGTTGGGAAAGTAACCAACGGATGGTTCTTCTGGAAAGTGAGAGGCAACTAAAGTCAGACCTCAAACTCGTGGTGGCGGACGGTTGACGAAAGACCGTATCAAGAAACTAACCAGAGTGGCTTTTCTTCGATCAAAACGAGAGCTGAAAAAACGGATACGTTTAACAGCTGAAGCGTGTAGATTCGACGAGATAACAGCGTTGAAAGCCGGTTGAATTAGATGATGCAGAAGATGCAGATGGATGAGGAGTTGAGAGTGTGTGCGAGAGTGAGTGAGAAGAAGAAAGGAAGCGGAACGAGGAAAGAAGATTGAGGGCCAAATAGAAAGGAAAGGCTCGGAGCCGAAGTGCCAAGACTGAGGAAAATTTCAGTGCGGCTGACTCAGCACTGTTGCCTTGCCTCTTCCGGATTACCGGGATTCTTCTTCCGAGGGCACGTGGTCCTCCTCCTCTTGATGCATGGTCACATGATCAATATCTCACTCTCCCTCTCACAGAACACAAGACGTTCCATCACTATAAGAGTACATGAAAGCAATATGTGGACTAAAGATGAAGTATACTAGCCCTCTGCATCATTTGCAGATATGTTGACTACCAGTTAAAAGACTTTGTGGCAATGCTGTTGTTCTGTGGTTGTGTCACTCATCTATATCTGTATCAGCCAGAAGGGCCATTGTGTATACAGATTGTTCCATTAAGATCAGTAAGCAACTATCATGGATGATACTCAGTGACAAAGTAGCTTTAGAATAAAATGAAATTTATCTATCAAGAGCAGATCTCATGGCTCACAATCTCGATCCATGAGTTTAACCTCACCGGGTGTCCCCACACGCTTCCAACGTCATTTGATGCTTCCTCTGACTCTTGCCGAGTCCTCTGATTTGGACCACGGGAGAGCCTACACCAGCGATTCCATATTGTGGATCATTCGCATAAAAGTGACTTTGGGTAAGTATGCTTCTACATGTACAACTCTCTGTTCTGGGACTCATTTGATCTCATTTCAATTTCAACCCCTCCCGCCCCTCACTGTTCTGTCTGCCGCAAACTTCTGGCTCCCGGCCATATGCTGACAACGGCAATAGAAAATGCCTTTAGACCTATCAGTATACCTGGTCACAGATTCGACCCCAGCCATTCTTAAAGGCCGGGATCTGTGCACTGTGGTAGAAAAAGCGTTAAAAGGAGGTCAGTAACGTCACACTTGTCTCGCAGAGCAACATCTCGTGCTAATTTGTTGCGTCAGGTGTGACTATCGTGCAATATAGAGACAAAACAAGCGACACAGGGGACTTGATTCAAACGGCTAAAGAGCTGCACAAGATCACTAAAGCTTATGGAGTCCCCCTGTTGATCAACGATCGTGTAGATGTCGCCCTCGCTGTTGGAGCAGAGGGTGTCCATCTTGGGCAAGACGATATGTGTACGACCCATGGCCTCAGGTGACCGCTATTGATCCTTACTGATACGACTTGGTACAGACATCGAGGAGGCGAAAAAACTGCTTTCCAAAGATGCTATCATCGGAATCAGTGCGTCTTCCGTTGAAGAGGCCCAGCGAGCCATCGAGGCGGGTGCCGATTACCTGGGTATCGGAACCATGTTCGCAACGCCGACGTAAGTTGCCATTCAGACGGATGACCCATGGGTGACCTTGCCATGATTTAATCTGACTTGCCAGTAAAACGAACACGAAACACATACTCGGAACAGCAGGCACTCAGGCCATTCTTGACGCTATTTCCGACTCCGGTCGAAATGTGGGGACCGTCGCTATCGGCGGTATCAACCTTTCGAACGTCCAGCGGGTGATGTACCAGTCCAAAGCCCCCAGAAAGGGACTGGATGGGGTTGCTATCGTCAGTGCCATCATGGCAGCAGATGACCCGCGCGCTGCGGCCGAGGAGTTTGTCAAGCGTATCAACAGCACACCCAGCTTCGCATGGGAACCCAAGGCACCTAGAGTGAATGAAGCGGCAGCATTGGTCGAAGATGTGCCTCAAATCGTTCATAAGATGGTCAAGGCACACCCGTTGGTCCATAACATGATTAACTACGTCGTGGCCAATTTTGTTGCCAATGTTGCTCTCGCAATGTACGTCTGCTTTCGAATCATAGTTGATTTATCTAACCGGCTTTCAGGGGCGCTTCACCCATCATGTCCCCATACGGCGAAGAAGCGGTCGACCTGGCCAAATTCGACGGCGCCCTTGTCATCAACATGGGGACCTTGACGCGCGAGAGTATACCGAACTACCTCCAAGCGATCAAATCATACAACGAGCGCGGAAATCCAGTGGTCTACGACCCGGTTGGCGCTGCTGCGACTCAGATCCGGCGCAGCGCAGTAAAGGAGCTCATGAGCGGTGGCTACTTTGATCTTATCAAGGGGAACGAGGGAGAGATTAGACAGGTGTCAGGGAGCAGTAACGCGGTCCAGCGCGGCGTGGACAGTGGACCAAGCACTCTTGACGGACAAGAGAAGGCCAGATTGGCCCGAGACCTAGCCAGAAGAGAGCGTACGCTCCACCGTCCTTCCTACTGAAATCTAACTGCTAACCCTGACAGGAAACGTCGTCCTTTTGACCGGCGCCGTCGACTATTTAAGCGACGGCGAGCGCGTGATCGCTGTCGAGAATGGCCATGAATTCCTTGGACAAGTCACCGGCGTACGTCTAGCACGCCTTTTTTCCTTAAGTTTCTTGCTAACTCGTCGTACAGACTGGTTGTGCCGTGGGAATGGTGTCCGGCTGCTTCCTAGCTGCACACCCCTCCGACAAGCTTCTGGCCGTTCTGTCAGGTCTCCTGATGTATGAGATTGCGGCGGAGAACGCCGCGTCAAAGGACTACGTCCGGGGACCGGGAAGCTTCGTCCCGGCGTTCCTGGACGAGCTCTATGCCATCCGGCAAGCAGCTCTAAAGGGTGACGACAGCTGGTTCTCGGGGCGGGCAAAGATCCAAGAGATCAGGCTATAGCAAACTATAGCATAAACCATAGTGTATATATAGATGTATACCGTATACCGTTAATAAAAGCTGCGATATTTGCAATACAATTCAGCAGACTGACTCGGAGATAACTACCTAGAACTTCCGGGTTGAAGCCTGATTTCTCGGGCGAAAAGCTTCCCCGCACTGGTCCGAATTCCCCCGCCATCTTCCTCCGCAGCAAGAAACTACGGCCTCATACTTTTTTCTTATTTTTATGGTTCATTCCATCCCGTCTCCAGCTCACAAAGCAATTGACTTCCTCAACCATCCATCTTAGCAAAGACACTCGAAAAACACGCCGAGTTAATCACAATGGCAGCCATCTCACGAGCCTGCCGGATCCGTACGCCTGACTCCTTCCAACTGACAGTCTGAAAAACTAACCAGAGGGTACTATACACAGGCAATCCAGCCTTATTGTACGCCTCCCATCTCACCAACTGATCAGAATAACCTGTGCTCACAGCTAAACCAGCATCTGCGACCTCCAAGAGAAATTCCGCGCCATCTACGAGTTCCCAAAACTGTACGCCTAGCCTACACCCCCCTCATCCATAAACGCCAGACTAACAACAAACAGGATAACAACAACCACCAAACTCCTCAAAGCCTCTTCTGCACTCAACATCCCCGTCTACGTGACAACGCAGAACCGCCCGCGACTAGGCGACATCGTCTCCGAACTCCAGCCCTACCTCTCCTCGCCGCTTGTGCGCGCCAACATCGACAAGACGCTTTTCTCGATGATCACGCCGGAACTCGATGCGCTGCTGCCGAACGCGAAGGGCGGGGAGACGCCGCTGGATGTTATCATTGTGGGGATAGAGACGCATATCTGCATTACGCAGACGACGCTGGATTTGCTGGAGCGCGGGCACCGGGTGTATGTGATTGTGGATGGGGTGAGTAGTATGAATAAGGAGGAGAGGGGCGTGGCGCTTGCGCGGCTGCGGGATGCCGGGGCGATTGTGACGAGTAGTGAGGGGATCTTATTTGAGATTTTGGGGGATGCGGGCAGGACGGAGTTCAAGGCTGTTAGTGGGTTGGTCAGGGAGATGAAGGAGGAGACGAGGGAGGCCATGGAGGTGTTTTCGAAGATTTGATCTCTCCTTTTCCTTTGCTACCGTGTCTGGATATTTGCATGAACGGACATGGTCAGGAGGCGACGCTGCATGTGCCTAAAGATATATAATTGATTGCTAGTGGTTGACTCATTTTGTCTACATACGGACCTTCAATCCATGTTCCAAAACGCCATTTTCCTTCGTCCATTCCTGATATAGTTCATTTAGGCATTGTTACAACGCGTTTAGGCTGCTGGGATGAATTAAGCCAGCCAAACGCAGAAGCCCCGCCGATAGGATTCGGAGCCAACTGTTTGCCAGCCCGGCTTTCGTCTGGGGACCCTCGGGAGGACGTCGGTTGAGGAGACGCCGCGGTGTCGGTACCGGCACCGCTTGACGCTGTTGACACCCGTGTAGAAGACTTAGTCGGCCGTAGAACTTTCATAGTACGGCCCCGAGATGGCTTGCTCGCGCCGGACGATGCCGGGTCGATTTTCGTCTCCCGCCTCCATGCACTCCAGACACCTGCAGTTTCAGGCTTGGCGGCTTCATTGGCCTGAAAGTCGATCGTCGAGGTGGACTTGCCCGGGTCTTCCTGAGCTTCAGTCACCGGGGACACATCGTGAGAACCCGACGAATGGGTCATTCGACTTCCATCTGGCTCTTCGGTGGATGCCCTTGCGGTGGTAGACGCAGAGGTGGATCGTCGCGATCGACTCGGCTCTCCGATGACCCCAACTCCGGAATCACCGCTCACATCTGTCGGCCCCTTTTCCAAAGCCTGCCTTGTCGAGCGTTCTAGGCGCGAGCGATCCGATGCAGTGCAGAGAGACTTGAAGACAGAGTCATCCTCCGGCCGCACTAGGGGAATGGAAATCTTGTTCCTTTCGTCATCTACCATGATGATCTTGTCCTGAGAGAACAAAATGTCCGCATTATGGGAGCGAAGAACATCACTTCCGAGGATAATCTGAATGGAATGATCGTTGGGATCCATATCCCGAACAAGAAAGCGGATAGTCAGGGTGGGAAGCTGAGGAACCGGGCTGTTGGGACGAGACGAGGCCTGGTGAACGCTGGCCTCCGGGAGATACATCGGAAGCTTGATGAACCGTACGCCATCCTCCTGGGTTACAAGATCTTCCAAGCCGAGTTTCTGCACCATCGGATACCCAAGCGTCGAGACATACGATCCTGAACAGGCAGCAGCATACAGAAGCGAGTCGTTTGAGAAATTTGTCGTCAACCAACATCGAATGACACACGGCACGGGGCCAAGGAGGAATAGACCCGGCGGGGTATCAGAGGAGAGCCGCCGACGGACGATCCCGTTATACGGCTCGTCGTCTCCAGCCCTAGACTATTCGTCCGAGCAGAGTGATGCGAATGCCCTGAAGAGCTCTGTCGGCCATCAGACCGGTGGGACAGTGAGCGTTCGGTGAGTGGATGGCTTCCCATACCGCTCCCCGTCCTCAGCGGCAGCTCGCTGGTAGATCGGCTGGCTTGCCCATAGTAACCATGAATAGCACTTTCATCGAACCGGACACTATTCGCTCTGGATGTCCCTCTTCTCGGTTCGTCTTCGCTCTCGAGACCCATTGGATTCGCCATTCCGTGATGCTGGCCCTGATCGAACCCTTTAAAGGCGTCAGCAGGGGCGTGAAAGACTGGATCTTTGGGGCAAAACAATTAATATCTGCTATGGTACCCTAAGAATAGGAGGCGGAAACGCACCTGTTGGAATGGTACCCCGATAGAAGTAGGAAACGGTGACAAAGGACCCCAAACACTTCTCAGCCTCGCATCCTCATCCCTCCGTCTTTCCAGTCGTGCAATCCTCTCCGCCTGCTCAAACTGCGCAGCGTGAAGTTCCTTCAGCTCTTCAAAGACGCGCCAAATGTCGTCGCGCGATGCAAAAGGATACTGAGCGTCCATGTCCACGTAGATGGAAACCGGAGTGAAGAGGTCTTCCGCGAGCGGCGAAAGTCGACAGACGGTTCACGCAGAGAGAAAAGACCGAATCCTGCAATCTCAAGCTCGCTTGCTCACACCGAAGCTTCGTATATCGTCTGCAACACTGCTCGGTTCCCGGTCTTGTATGGTAGTGTCAACTGGCAGCTGGCTTAACCCTCGGACTCCTCCTCCCTCGTATGCTGTGAGACGGCCGTAAGGCCGTCCACCTAGTTGCTAGTATCTGATTTTCGTGTATCACTTGTCAGAACATACAGGTGGGCCACGGGTTCTGTACGGTATAAGGACGGATCGTAATGTGGTCAAGCGGGCGGCGTGGAATCCGACAGAAAGAGATGGCGGAAGGGATACTGTGTAGGTAATGGCACAGTCAAGGGTTAAGCAATTAGCAAAGTGACTTTCGAAGGGTCTTTGATTCTATTGTAAGACGATTAGAGCGAGTTGTCGATTTTCCACGGATGGGATCTACGGTTGAATTGGGGTTCTCGCAGGCAGAACAGGGTAGTTGGGTGTTGGAGAGAAACTCGTGTGTTTGCAGCGATTGCTTGGATTGGCGAGAAAGGAAGTTATAGAGGCCTCCAAGAATCTCGATGATGATATACGGGTTTTATCTCAAAAGATATATGCGTCTTAGAGCACGAGGTTTGTTATGGATAGACGACTGATGATGACGGAGTAACGAAGCAAAGGGACGTGGGCAGTGAGGGGATCACAAGTCCGCTGTTCATCACTTAAACCGGCAACGATCTAGACCGCTTTTATTCTCCTACAGCATGCACGGTCCATGCCAGATTGCTTCTGACATCTGATCAAACTCATCAATTATCTGTGATCAATCACTGCGATGAGAATGTTTGTATTTATATTTGATAATGTGAATTTCTACTGATCGTGTCAGCTTTGGTGTACGTTGACCACCGGTCGATTCCAGGAGCTCATTGGAACAACATCATTTGGGAGCTTCCATCCACCCAGGAAAAACCATCTCGAGCGCCTCGGGGGCTTGATCCGGCCACTTGGCTGTGATAGTCTTAATCACTTCCTCATACATGAGCCGATAACCGTCACCGGTAAAGTGCAATCCTGTAACATATTAAGGTCAGCACGAGCGCCAAATATGAACGAAAACTGGGATCGAACCATCCGTGAAGAAACTCTGCAGCTTCTCATTATTAGGGGCATCTCTGGAGCCGATCAGAGGTTCTCCCTCTTTCCAACCTGCCGCAGTCATGAACGCAGTCCAGAGATCTACCACCGCAACCCCTAACGACGCGGCGACCTCGCGGGCGGCCTCCGAATACAGCTTGGTCTGCTTGACTGTTCTGCTGGGATGGGGTGTGTTCTTTGCGATATCGAATTCTTCCAGCTGGTATTCATTCACCGGTGGCGGGGTCAGGATCAGTATCCTTGGGTTTTGAGCAATTGTCGCCGGGTGCTGGATGATCCTCTTCAGGTTCTCCTTGTAAGTCTCCACTGGAACGTGCTGGTAGTGTCCAGGGACGGCCGCATCATTTGCTCCGAAAAATATTGTCTAGAAACGATCAGAACCACGCCTAGACTTCAGCGAGTAGGGCGTCATACCATAAACCGAACAGTAGCCGTCTCCGGTTTGGGGAAGAACTTGGGAAAGACCTTGACCGCATGCGCGGTGGTATAGCCACTATGCAGGAGTCAGTATACTCATCTATGCAAGCTGCAAGTTGTCAAGCACGAACCCGAACCCACGATTGATCACATCCAAGCGGCGGCTGTAGGCTGTAATGAATTAGTATCGACAATCCACGCAAGTAGCATAAGAAAAAGAGACCAAGGAATTGAATCCTTACCATCCTGCAGAGCGGGCTGAAAACCAAACCCCATGCTCTGATCCGAAGACATTTGCGTGATCGAGTCTCCAAATAGGATGAACTGGTCGTACGGCTTATACAAGGCCTCCTCGGCCGATTGGGCAACTCCGTTAGACATGATGCAGACAGCAAACAGCAAACAGCAAACACGCAGACAATCAGACAATCAGATCAGATTCAAATCAGTCACTACTAGAGCTCAATAGCACACAGTTCTGTTTGCGACAGTTGTTCCTCAAGAAGGACGAGGCGCCTCTTATGGCCGGCGGTGGGGTTGAATCTCGCTGGATCTCGGCCGCTTATCGGTTAGTCTGGCTAAATTGATTGAACCGTAGCTTTGCTGGAGAACTAACTTCACTCTATTGGATACGGAGCTTCGGAGACAGTTTTGGGGTACAAACTGTCGTCCCTTTTCGTGGATTCATAGGTCGATGCTTATTGGTCTCGGCAAAAAGGTGTTTGTCGGCATGGGATTATCCACCAACAGCGTTGTTCCATTCTTTTGTATACATTTCTAGGGGTGTTGATGTTGATGCTTCAGATGAATAGATGTCCCTCTGCAGTTTAGAAGCATTTCTTTACTTATTCTACAGTCCTCTATAAATTACATTTTGTGCTTCCCACACTCATTGTCTGTCCGTTATAGATTTTGCTTCTTACAAATGCCAATTGTGCTCTTCAACTGATATATCCCCTCAGTATATTCCTCTCAGATGGCATTATTGTCCTCGAATGTACACAAGTCCATTTATACATCAGAGCAAAGATATGACCCAGTCACAACTTTGGACAAGATGATGAAGAATATGTACATCACTGCTCTGACCATCTGTTCTCCATACCTTATACCCATCGTCAATCCAGCAGCTGTAGATGAACAGAGTAGCCTCAAGGAGCATTACGCCATTTCTTTCCCATCACATGGAGGAGAATGGTGAAAAGGAAGCTAAAAACAAAGAGGAGAGAACTGGTGACCGCAGAACTAGCAGCGACACCAACATTAGTGAACATGTCGGGGAACCTATCCACAAATTAGCCATCGCCCGGAGATTTACGACCGCTGTTCAGCATGAAGGCATATAATCTTACCAGAATGGACCGATGAAACCCCACATCTGCCGAACGAATGTGATAAACACTCCAACACTGCCAGAGTCTTGAGGATAGTTGTCAACAGCATAGGTGATAGCGGTCGTGGTCACCAGCTGATTGCCAAAAGCCGCAATGGCAGTGCCAACGATAGGAGAGACAACCCAGTGGCCCTCGGCTGCCTGCTGTGTGCAGACAAGGAAGACGATCACACCGATGATTGTCAGAATGACGCCGGGGTAGGTGAGCCAGAGACGATACTCGGGTTCGGGTCTTCTCTGAATACGACGAGCCCGGTGGTTCATCCAGAAATCTGATAGAGAACCACCAACTTGTTCTCCGAGAATCGAACCGATGATCACACCAAGGAATTGAAGACCCAGTTGCTCGGCGTTGAGGCCAAACTTCAGTTGCAAAAGCTGAGGAACTTCCACAGTAATAAGAACGCTACCGAACAAGAAGACCATGGAATACACGATTGCGGGGATGAACACGCGGGCATGCTTCACCAGGGTCAGAGGGTGATAGAACTCGCTCAGTCTCAGAGGAGCAGGATCAATCCGGCGGAACGATAAGTATTGACTCTTGAAGTCTGCAGACAGACTTTCCTCGCTGCCGCCCAGGTAGAGGGTCTCAGGTCCAAAGAAGAGATAGAGAATGAACTGGACGCCATTGACGATCGCGAGGACCCAGTAGATGTAGCGATATCCTACACGATAGGCGACGAACCCAAAGATAAGCGGTCCTGTCGGCGCATTAACGAAGCCCAGACTACTTCCAGAATGATAAACGCACCGACTGGGACGCCCAGTGTGACCATCAAGGTCCAGACGCCCATGTACTTAGCTCTCTCCTTCTTGAAGAACGTTTCCGTCACAACAGCACTTCCAATCGCTGCAGCGGGTGATATGAAAAAGGCTACCAAGGCTCTGCACGCAGCCATGGATCCATATGTAGGGCTCTTGGCACAGCCGACATTGCAGATCAAGCTGATAATCAAAGACAGGAGAAAGATGGGTCGACGTCCAAACCGGTTTGACAATGGCTTCCAGAACAAAGGTGCTCCACCCAGAATTGCAATCTGGAGAGACGTGAGATAGCTGGCGCTCTGTACGGATTTTCCAAATTCAATGGCAATGTCTTCGTATGCTGGTGTAATGGATGCCGCTGTCAGCGTTGCCATGCAAGCGTGAAATGCCACAAGGCCTAGATTGAGTACTTTCTGCGAAAAAGGGGACATAGGTCAGCCATTGACCGAGCGAAGAGAGATAGGGACAAAGGCGTTGATACCTTCCAGAGAGGCCAGTTGTATGGATCGGCATTTGATGGGCTTGGAATAGGATCCAGGTCAAGAGTTCCATGGCGTTGGATCAGGTATTCTTTGTGAGATACCGAAAGACCGGCAGCGGCAATCTCGGCCTCTGTAGCATGGATGTCATCTGCTTTCTCGAGACATTCGCTGTCTGTTTTCTCTGATTGAAGAATATCCTTAGTGTCTGGGCCTGAAGACGAGCGAACGTTCTCCGCCATTTCAATGGAAGGCATGATATCTCCGTCTTGAAGGGAGAAAACTTGAAAGAGTAGAGTTCGGGGTAAGGGGAGATATAGTAAGATGGGTCAAGACTTGTCTACCGCAGACGGAGAAAGATCATGCGTTTATAGTGCGCCAGAGTAGGATTGGGTACGCTACTTGAGGATCCAGATGGAATGATAAGCGAAGTGCATGAGGCGTGAAGTCCATTCATTGCTTTGGACCGGGGGTGGGGGAATCTGGCCATCTGTCTGTACTCAAGAGGCAACCCATCTCACCGAGAACATAGCACATTAGGGACATTCGTGGAGAGATTTGTGGGGACTCATCCCCACAAATATCAGGGGGAAAGTGAGCTTCGTCAGCATCTGGTTTCTATCGAGCTTGTAGCAAATAGCCAGTTATCGTCCCAAGTAGTCTCTGTTGGGCGAAGTGAAGAGCTCGATCTGACACCAAACGGTTTCATGTGGGACTTAAGCTCAGGAGTCTTCCTTCATTGGTAATCCCCACGGAGATACCGACTAGCTGTCTAGATAGACGATGGGCAATGTCCTGTGTTCGAAGTTCGAGCACGTATGTTTCCGTGATTCGGGTTCTTCAAGACTCGCAGATACCAGTTTGTCAGACCCGCTGGCTAGATCAGTGACCCACTTGGAATATGGGGTAGAATTTTTGATCTGGGGTATGTCAAGGCCTCTGATAAAGTCCTATATCCTCTTGGCTCTTGCCTAACTTGATTATCAACAACAAACAGCTTGAAGAGGCCATCGTCGCACCGCCAAGTGGCCATGATGAAGCGTTGCTAAGCTTTACCTCAGTTGCCACACGAAGCTTGTAGCTCCGACTCGGGTTTCTGCTTCAAGTCATTTGGGCCGAGTGTTCGAGCCTTTGCCAAGAACCCCTGTGGCCGAGGAAGTGACGTACGCAGTAAACAGTACGCTCGTTGGTCCGAAATGTCATTGTGGTGTCTTCGTCCACAGAAATGTTCGTTGAGTCCATGGCTCAATGGCTAGCACCTGAAGTTGAAGTAAGTAGTGTACAATTCCGAGCTGCAGCATCGAAAAGGTGGACAATGAATTCGAGCTAAACGCTTGAGTTGGAAGTTTCTAAGAGGCCTACGATTATTATTGTGGGGTGTGGGGGAGGATCGTTCTCTCTGCCTTGAAGCCTTGCGGGCAATCAAAGGTCACTACACTCGCTACAGAGTGGTTCGTACAGAGTTATTGGCAATGATGAAATCATGATTTCAGCATTAGATTCGACTGCAAATGGCCAATCACACAACGGTGTAGCCTTCATACTTGAACCTGGAATGTCCTCGCCATAGCTATCTACGTAGAGGGGTACGGTTCATATTAAAAGTGCAAATCCTGGAACTGCAATGAAAAGAGTATGGGACAGTACTCAACATTATAGCTATCGTGCTGGGCCAGCAGGAGGACATATTTACTCGATAGTCCTGTAGAGTCTGGCATTTCCCCATGCCGTGGAGTAGATATATAATGCAGGACATACAGGAAGCTTTCCACTAATAATAGCAGTGCCGCTGCTACTGCCCGCATGAAGGCTACTAACTAAAGGTAAGGAAGGTAAGAAAGACAGTGACTCTACCTTTGTCTGGTCCAGGTTTCACAAAACTATCAATGTCAGGTTTCCCAATCCAGGTCCGTGGCACGGCACATAGTAGATATGTGATCGACGTACTGGACAGGGAACCCTGTTAGTTTTATTTTTGTTAGAATTTGGCTGATCGAGCCTGCACCTCGGATAGAAACCGGATGTCTCAACAAGGTGTTCCCGTCTATGCTTGAGACCTTGGCGCGTTTAGACCCTTACGGAGTCATTTATTGGGAGCATCTTGGATGATTGTTAATCATCACTACCTCTGCTACTGCTCAGGTTCTACACGGGGTGCCTCCCTGGAGGCTTGGCAAGCGAAGCTACTAGTCTATGCACATGCAGGCTTCTCCTTCGGGCCGGTGCTGATCGTAAGCCCAGCTGTAGCATCTTGTCCACACAGTCAACAGATCCAACTTTGATTCGTCTCTATTTAGGAAGAAAGACAACCACGAATTGATGATCCCCATGAGCCAACAGGATGACTCGTCATTCTCCATTGATGATCACTCCAGATGATGCTAACTGTAGCCTGACCATGACTTGCGGGATGCGGAGGTCATCTGCCCGTGCCACGATTGCTTCCAAGCCCACTAGCGACGATTGGAGAAACGCCTAGATAATTGGAGTCAAAAGCATCTACTGGTACTTGCATCGGCCAAGGCAGGACCTTTGCCGGTGGAAGTTTCGCCTCGAAAGCTATCGTTCACTTGTGTTTCATCCCTTTCTATCTTTTCCTATACCATTTTCTTCTTCTCTGAGACTTCTTTCATTGTTGAATTGTTTGTTGATAACTCAGTTGGTTCGGGATAACTTCACCGCTTGACCGCTCCCGTGCCGTACTATCAAAACAAGTGGGACTGGTTATTCCACTGCAGGACATTTAAAGTTCCTCTTTTGTCTGTCGAGGGCCTGTGGTGGATATAGAGAGGGATATGTTTTTCAGTAAGTCGGATATGAGCAGATCCAGTTCCCTCAAGACGAGTCCTCCTTTGGTGTTTGTTTGTTGTGCCTGAGGAATGGTTATAGTCTAACAAGGTTCTCAGTTCTTCGTGTCTAGTTCGAAGCCAGAGCAGCTTCAATAATCCCCCAAATGCCTCGGTCTGTTCCTCCAAATATATCGCCCTTGCCTCAAAATGACGACTCGAACCTTTCGGCAAGCGAATATCTAAACATCGCTTCCCGCACCGCTCCTCCGTCTCCATCGGCCTTCAGGCGTACACATTCCCTTCTGTCCGACACTCATACCGGGTATCAGTCTTTGGAATCCCACATGGAAGCGGGTGAAACCACGACTTTGTTAGGGAAGACTCGCGAAAATCGTCGGGGCACACCCCGAAGATCGTACACCAGCATCTCCGCTATTCCGGCCCCTGATAATTATCTCAGACACTCCTTGACGAGTGGTAGCCTACGTCGGTCTCGACATCACAGCCGTGCAAATTCGCAGTCCCTGCGATTTAGCCGAAGAGGCAGTATTGACGACGATGACGGTGAAGACCTTCCACCATCGGCCAAAGATGGAATGACCGCTTCATTTCTTGACGAGCGGAACTGGTACGACCAGTTCACCTCGACTGACTGGGTGCATGACAGTATTGCTGATGGGCGCGTTTGCGGGAACTGCGCAAGCGCAAGGATTTTCGCGGCCGCCTGCTCGCGGCGTTTGATGGTGCTCAGGGTTGGATTCTGGTTGCGTTGATCGGCTGCATCACCGCTGCCATCGCCTATTTTGTGGACGTGACCGAGGATTTCGTCTTCGATCTGAAAGAAGGATTTTGCACTCCAAGATGGTTCCATAACCGTGAAAGCTGCTGTGCAGACACCCTGGACTGCTCTGGGTGGCGGTCATGGTCGCAGATTCTCAGTCCGTCTGGTTCCGACAATGGATGGGTCGACCATGCCATGTTTGTGCTTTGGGTGGTTATCCTTTCAGTTATCTCATGCTACCTGACGCTGTTCACCAAGACTGTTGTGCCCTCGTCTGTCTCGCTCACGACGCTAGATGAGAACCTCGGTGCCGGGACTTCTCAAGGAACGAAGCGTGACAACTCCGAGGACGATTCACCGGCATCATTACTTAGCCCGAAGACGCATTATCCAACTATCTTCACGCGCCCCGCCATGACTTACTATTCCGCAGCGGGGAGCGGAGTGGCCGAGGTGAAAGTCATCAACAGCGGTTTCGTACTTCACGGCTATCTCGGGTTCAAGACTTTGGCCATCAAGACTTTGGCGCTAGTTTTCAGTGTCTCGTCCGGCCTGAGTCTTGGCAAGGAGGGTCCGTATGTGCATATTGGCGCCTGTGTCGGAAACATCGCATGTCGGTTGTTCTCCAAGTACAACGATAACGACGGCAAAAGACGAGAGGTTCTCAGCGCCAGCGCTGCAAGTGGTGTCGCCGTCGCTTTTGGCGCCCCAATCGGTGGAGTTTTGTTCAGTTTGGAAGAAGTCAGTTATTATTTCCCGCCAAAGACTTTATTCAGGACGTTCTTCTGCTGCATCGCGGCAGCTCTTTCTTTGAAATTCCTCAACCCCTACGGCACTGGCAAGATTGTCCTTTTTCAGGTCCGGTATGTAAGCGATTGGGAGATATTTGAAATCGTCGTTTTCGCACTGCTTGGGGTTCTGGGAGGAGCGGCTGGCGCTCTCTTCATCAAGGCCTCGAGTCTGTGGGCGAAATCATTTCGCAAACTTTCCATCATTAAACGCTGGCCAATGCTGGAAGTTATTCTTGTTGCATTGGTGACCGGAGTGGTCAGTTTCTGGAATCGGTACGCCAAGCTGCCTGTCTCCGAACTCCTCTTCGAGTTGGCAAGTCCATGTGATCACGAGTCCGTGACATCAACTGGATTATGTCCCACCGAAGACGGGATCGGCGAGATTATCAGCGATCTGCTGGTAGCCTTCGTGATCAAGAGTCTTCTGACGGTGGTGACATTCGGCATCAAGGTGCCCGCCGGAATCTATGTCCCTTCCATGGTTGTCGGCGGTCTCATGGGCCGTATTGTTGGCCATGTGGTGCAATTCTTGGTTGTAAAGTTTCCAAACTTCTTTTTATTCTCGACCTGTCCGGTCTACTCGGGAATGGAGTCCTGCGTTGTTCCAGGAGTGTATGCAATGGTGGCCGCCGGGGCCACCATGTGCGGCGTAACACGTTTGTCCGTCACTCTGGCGGTCATTCTGTTCGAGTTGACGGGCAGCCTGGACCATGTCTTGCCGTTTTCCCTGGCAGTTCTGTGCGCCAAATGGACTGCAGATGCCATTGAGCCTCGTAGTATTTATGTAAGTCTAGCGTCGAATATGACTGCCCAGTTCTAGGACGAGCTAACTTTGATAGGATCTGCTCACTGATATGAATTCCTATCCATTCCTCGACAATAAGATTCAGCTTCTCTCGGAGGACGAACTCGGAGACATTGTCCGTCCTGTTCGGAAAAGCCGCGTGATTGATATTTCAGAATCGCCTTTCGTGCCAGCAACCGAACTGCGCTCCAAGCTCCAGCACCTGCTCATGGCAGGTGAGCTGGACAGCGGCCTCCCTATACTCCGCAACGATATCTTGTGTGGTATTATACCGGCTCCGGACCTTGAGTATGCCCTTGACACTATTGAGGACGAGGAACACACCATGTGCCTCATGTCAATGGACACGGCTTCAGCTGTTGTTGACAGCGAGGATTCCAACGGCAATAGCTGGGTAGACTTCCGCCGATATATTGACCCGGTATGTAGCCTCGATTTTCCTGCTGTGATTCTTAGACTGACAGTTCGATTCAGGCTCCAATCTCTCTCGATATACATTCGCCCATCGATCTTGTCTACCAATGTTTCGCCAAGCTGGGACTGCGTTATCTGTGCGTTCTCCGCGATGGACAGTACGCCGGTCTGGTTCACAAGAAGGCATTCGTCAAATATGTCAAGGAGAAAGAATGAGCGAGACATCTCTACCCACATGGATAGGGTTGAAGCCTACTGCCAAGTATCAACCCGGCGTTTACTTTCACATTTTTGTCCCATAATTCTTGCCCTACATACACGTTCCTTGTTTTATACTGTCTTTCCGTTTGGCAAATCCTGTATATGAACCTCGGACAGGAGGCGAGGAACTTTGCTTTGACATTTGCACAGGCTTCATGTAGATTAGCGTTGGCTTTTTGACGAATCGTTTCAGCGGACATACATCATGACGGCATGTTACAGTATATACGGAGATCAATATTGACATATGTATATGAGATTGCCAAGCGCTCAACCTGCGACCCCTGTCACTACAATATCCGTTCGTAACCCACCATCTGAATCCGCACATCGCCCTCCTCCCTCCATTTCGACGAGACCTGCTCGCCCACCCACCCGGACACCTCCTCCTCACTCGCCATCCTCCACTTCTCCCCAGTCGAAAGCTCCTCATCTACCGGGAAGAAAGTATCACACTCAAACTCCGTCCCATCCACCCTCTCCACATTCGTCATCACAATCCTCACCGGTTGTGTCTCGCTCATGCGCAACACAGAAGCGTATATCTCCGCCCCACCAATCACAAATACATTCCCCAATTTCCCCTCCGCCCCGTAACCACCCTCCAAACTCGCAAGCGCGTCCTCAAGGCCGGTACTCACGAGAGCATCTGTCTGCGCCTGCTCTTGTTTCTGAGCCTGAGCTTGCGCCTGCTCAGCAGCAGCAACAGCAACAGCCTTCGCCCTCTTCGCCTCCAACTCCCTCATTATCCGTTCCCGAACAGAACCAGTTGCATCCCTCGTAATCACGACATTGATGCGCTTCGCGAGCGGGCGGAGGTGTTGAGGCAGCGAGTCATAGGTCTTGCGGCCCATGACAATCGCGTTGGTGGTTCCGGGGCGAGGGGGCCGCGATGTCGCGCGCGCGAAGAACGCCATGTCTGCTTTTATGCGCGGCCAGGGGAGGGTGCCGTGCAGGCCGATGCCGAGGCGGGTGGGGAGGTTTTCGCTTGTGCGGATTGGGGTCGTGGCGACGATGAGGGTTAGGGGTTGTGAGGGTGGCATTTTGGCTGCTGTAGTATAAGAAGGTGGTTGTAGATGGGGAAAATGATTTGAGATGAGAGAGTGGGTGGTGGATTTGATTGATGGGGATCGTTTGGACGTTTTGCGCGAATGGAGCTGATATGGCTTGATAAGAGTTTATGTTTATCGTGGTTGCCCCACTAGAGTGAGTGGTATGGAGAGTATGCTCCAGACACTACTACATTTCGGAAAGTAGAGAGGTAGGTCTCTTTTTACCATGTTCGTATTGCTAGTGATTCAATGGGTATCTATAACTACAAGTTTCTATGGAACAGCTTAGGAAAACTCGAACCAAACACCATACGCCAATCCCCATGCAAAGCAGAACTGTCCAAAAGTAATCACTTCGCCGGCTTCAACAGCCCACCCTCCGCAATAGCCTTCTGAATAGCCTCAGCGTTGCTCTCCAGCTGCTCTCTCCGTTTCACGTCCGCTTCGTCTTCTCCCAGAGTGTCGAGTTTCCCAAACAGCCACGCCTCCTTCATTGTGCGGGTTAGGGAGAGAATATCTTCTGCTGCGCGGACCTGTCGTATACTCGCGTATCAGCACATAACACTTCGTACCCTACTAAAGGAGCGGCTTGTGCTATAACACATACCAGCGCAGTTGACTCCACGTCAAGCTGGTACGTTTCGACGGCTGTTGCTGTGTGACTTGTGTTTTCAACCTGAGACAGAGGTCAGCCGATTGACTGCGGATTTCTGTCATGCCAGAGTGCACGAACGGTAGCTGTAGCCATTATATTCTCGAACCGCTGCAGTAATTGTGAGATGTTGGCATTGATGCGATCTGCCATGTGATGCGATTAGTTTGGTTATCGTAGGTTCGAGATGCAAGGGACAGGGTGAAATTGCATTCGAAACTCACTATGTAGGGCTTTAGATGAAGGTTGAGAATCCATTATCGCGTTTCAATTGAGATTTGATGGGGTTGATGTCTGAAGTTCATCTGAAGAGAGTCTGTGATATTGTTTCTCACGCTGATGTTGAAGGCGGGGGTTATGGCGGTCCAGTATTCTGCCATCGTCGCTCATGTTTGCTCAGTTTGGATCGTTATTGTAGATGCTGTGATGCGACGGAGTGTATAAGTCTTTTTACACCAAGAGCTGAATGGCAGCCACATTACAGGGTAGTCATGTAATTATTTGCACAAGCTAGCAGCACGGATATAGGTCTATCGCGTAGATGAGTTACGCATACAGAGAATGTGGCATAAATTTGGTGTATCTCATAGGTTGCGGAGCTCGGAGCGGCTTAGACTATAGTATAATGATCGAGCAGCAGCTGACTGCAAGCGCTCGTCAAACCATGACTTCGAACAAGGCAAACCCGGGATTAGTACACCACTGAAAGCCATTCTCCAGGGGCGCCTAGGCCAACGAGGCTATGCCGAATGGCTTCAGTGGGGTTACTTTCCTTTCCATCATACTAGCGAAGCCTCATGGTTGCAGCAGGGTCGTCAAGCCAGTCATCCACCCCGCAGCCTTCGTTCTAAGTCGAGCGGAGCTCGTCCGTACTCCAGATATTGATCAAAGTGTGAAGACAGGCGCCAGTTTGTCGAGTATCGATATGAAGAGTCCCAGTCTACCGGACATACTTGGACTAGTGGTATATTAGAGGTATTCGTCATATTCTTTCGAAAGGATGGCTCACCATAAATCTTCTGTGAAAGTCGGAGCGCAACAAATCCTGTCATATGATTAGCGCCATTCAAGATCCCGTACTGACAAGTCTTACGTTGACAAACTCCTTGCCGCGTTTCTCTTCGGTCCCGCGAGCTTGGTTCTTGAAAACAACGTCGTCGTCCCATCTCCGCTTGAGATTAAAGTCCTGGGGGTTGAGCAGCGGGTTGCCCTTGGCAATGTCATACTCTCGTTGCTCCTCTTCCTTTGCAGCACGTTCGCGTTCCTAGAAATCGGTGAGTATGGTAGAAAACCACACAAACGAATGAAACCAACCTCTTTCTCTTTCTGCTCTAGCCTCTCCCTCTTGATTTTTTCCAGTTCCCGCATCAACTCCGCAGCTTCATCTTCGTCATCACTATACCGTGTGAGTATGTCCATCGCCAGACTGACTGGGGATTGGAGATTTACCTCTCTTCTTCACTACTGTCATCTTCTGATCCTTCCGAGTCCGCATCTATATCCCGAGTTTCCTCTAATATCCGCCGTCGCTTCGCTTCTGGGTCCTCCTCTTCTGCTTCGCCTGCACCATCCGGAGGGCCCCCTTCTAGTAGACGTTTCGGCGCCGCGCTTTCAATGGCCGGTTCATTGATTGGGACTCCGTTCTTCTTGGCAAAGTGAGCCGCCTCAGCCTGGAGTAGCTCGGCTCGTAGGTCGCGTTGGCGGACTTCGGTTTCACTTCCTTGCCCTAATTGACTGGGAATAGTCAGATGGAGTGTCCTCCGCTGATAACGCGTTGACCTACCGAGTCTTGAGGTGCGTGTATGCGGGTAAAAGTCGTTGATGATAAGCTGGTCCACGAAGGGCCTCTTTCCCTTGCGCCTATAACCATGGTGAGCTCCGCTCGAGGAAGGGGATAGTGAGGATGAGCACGTACGGGATCGAAGGTGGGTCTGTGGGCTATGGATAAGTCAGCACATTATTTCTGCAACGTCACAATCGGCTTCCTCATACCTGTAGTCATGATGGGCTGTCACGGATGGCCTGTTGTATGTTTTCTGCTCAATGATTTAGAGGCTTGTCGGAGGATGATAATGTCGATGTTGCGGCCTCAGGCTACCAGCTGAATCAGCCATTCTCACCGCTTTCGGCTTAGGATGGATATTATTGGCCTACTTGGAACATTGATGATCCGCTGCATTCAATGACGCTGCAGAATCCAGAAATTTCCCAAAAAGTCCGTCTTGCTCGACCCCGTCGGGGCCAAGTCCGCCTCCGCAACCATGAACAAAGAAGCACCGCTCTCAATTGCTGAGCGCGACTTCATCCTCAATGCTCTGCGCGAGGATGTGAGACTGGATGGTCGCCATGCTGACCAGCTTCGTCCTCTGACCGTAACATTCGCCGAAGAGTATGGGCATGTGAAAGTGCAGCTGGGCAAGACGAGGTGGGTTCTGTTCATTCAATCCGGCGTCGTTTCTGAAAAGGCTGACCTTTCTGTAGTCTCATTGTGCGCATATCCTCAGAAGTAACAAAACCTCGCGATGACCGTCCCTTCGATGGCATCTTCACAATTGCCCTAGAGCTTACGGCTATGGGCTCACCAGCTTGGGACAATGGACGGTATGGCTAGTATCATGTGTTGGGCGGCTCATTCAGCTAACATTCATACTCATCAGACAAGGAGATCTCGAAGCCTACGTCTCGCACGTCCTTGACAGACTGGTGCGCCACTCGAACGCTTTAGATACCGAGTCATTGTGCATCCTCAAGGGAGTCAGTTGCTGGAGCATCCGCGCCGATGTCCATGTCACCGACTACGATGGCAACCTCATTGACGCCGCGTGTATCGGAGTGATGGCTGGACTGCAGCACTTCCGTCGTCCGGATGCGGTTGTCAAGGATGGACAGGTGGTTGTCTACGGGCTAGACGAGCGGGTACCGGTTCCCTTGAATATTACGCACAAACCTCTTTCAGTTACCTTTCACACCTTTGATGAAGGCAAACGGGTTATCCTTGATGCAACTCGGAAAGAAGAGCAAGCCTCGGAAGCGGACGTTGTTTTTGGCATGAATAGTGCCGGAGATGTGTGTTTCGTCTCCAAGTTTTCCGGCTCCCCCGTGGATGCCTTAGTATTTGTGTCAAAGTCGTCGGTTGCTCTTGAGAAGGTCAAGGAGATCAATGCGATTATCGACAAAGCCCTGCAAGCCGACTCCGCTAAAAGGTCAAAGAACGGAATGGCGGAAGAATCAAGGGCGGAGAATGACCGATGACTCGATACTCATGAGCATAACAACGACGAAAGGCAACATGGTGATGATACCAAGGATGTGATGTAATATAGAGCTCCGTAATGATGTTTATTAGTCTCAACTGAAGTCTTTCCCCGTCTATCTCTACAGTATTACACGTGTACAGAAAGTCTCGGTCGGTCTAGAAAGCGAAATCACATCATGGCTCTAGGCGAGACGTCCGCAGCCCCTGTCAATCATGTCGAGAAAAATCATAGTCGGATCGACTCTTGAAGACGAAAGGATCGTTCTTAGACCTCAGCTTTTACCCTGAGTGGGCCGGTGGACGCGCATCCTCATTTGGCGCAGGAACAAAACGGCTGCTGGAGGAGGTAAAAGCGTAAAATCGAGGGAAAACCCCCCCCCCCCCCGAAAAGAAAGGAAAACAAGCGATCCTCAGGGGAATGAATGGCTCAACCAATTCGAACTCTTGATAACCTCTCTATCAAACGTCTTAGCTTTCAGGAACATTGACTTCCGTGTCTCTGTTGTTGACTATTTATAAAGCCAGCTAACTAACTTACCTTGTGAACCACGGCCGAGTGTCAGCACCGCCCAGTGGAATCCGCAACAGCCAACCAGCCAACGTCGTTTCGCCGCCCATCCCAAAACACCTCTCTAGGCATTCAAGAATAGTCTACCATTTGCTACTTGTTGTCCTTATTCGCATCTTCCAGCCCTTCGCAATCTGCCTCATCCGATCGGTTCTTCCTTTCAAACCCGATCAAACCCCCTTGCGCAACCTCGTGGCCGTTGTTGTCAACCAAATTACCCAGCCACTCCCCACTCACTCTTCCCCGAGTCTTCGGTCAATGCTTCAGGGACCCAACATCTCTGTGACGGAGGAGTTTACCCGCACCAAGCATCATGGCCAGCGGTAGGCCTCCAGGTCTCCATCCAGCCGCTGGCCGCGATGAGGACCTGATGCAGATGGAGGATTCGACTCCCATATACAGTACGGGACAGCGCCCGCCGGTCAACGACGACAACCTGTTGCGACAGTACAACATTGACGATTCTGATCAGCCTCAACCGCGTCCCTCCGTCTCCTACGATAACTTTGTTGGCGGGCGGGGACCGCCAGGTGCTGGAGCCCATGCATCGAACTCTGCGCATCCTCCGGCCCAACCGGGGGCATATCTCAGCGATCCTTACTCCGGAGCGGATGTGTCTCGGACGTATTCGCAAACATCCGGCCTGAGCAACTATCAGCGGTATTCGGTCGACGAGTTTGACGATGACCGGGATATGCATGGGTACTATAACATGGATGACGACGACCATATGGCGTCGCCCCATCGCGTACGACAGGCGAAGGACAGGAATAGTATTTTAGGTTTGGGAGGCGGCCTGATGGGGAGAGCGAAGCACATGCTTGGAATGGGACCTGAGTACTCGGAGATGGATCTCCCGCTGACAGAGGCGGGGGCCAGAGCCGCGCAGGTGGAAAGTGTTGAAGGCGACGAGACCGCTGCGCCTAGGGCCCAGAAAAAGTCCAGGAAGTCGGACTTCAAATTCGGTTTTGGTCGGGGGAAGGTCGACCCGTCGACACTTGGTCCTCGTATGATTACGCTCAACAACCCGCCTGCCAATGCTGTTCACAAATTCGTCGACAATCATGTGTCCACGGCCAAATACAACATCGTTACCTTCGTCCCGAAGTTCCTATTCGAGCAGTTCTCGAAATACGCCAACCTGTTTTTCTTGTTCACCGCCGTGCTGCAGCAGATCCCCAGTGTGTCCCCGACGAATCGTTACACCACTATTGTTCCACTGTTGATTGTGTTGTTGGTTTCTGCGATCAAGGAGCTGGTGGAAGATTTCAAACGAAGAAACTCGGACAAGTCGCTCAACCACTCCAAAACCCAGGTTCTGAAGGGTTCCGCTTTTCATGAAACGAAATGGGTCGATGTGGCAGTAGGCGACATCGTCCGCGTTGAATCCGAGCAGCCCTTTCCTGCCGACTTGGTTCTTCTGGCCTCTTCCGAGCCTGAAGGTCTCTGCTACATTGAGACTGCCAACCTGGACGGTGAGACCAATCTGAAGATCAAGCAGGCAATTCCCGAGACCGCGCATCTGGTCAGTCCCGCTGACCTGAGCCGCTTGAGTGGACGCATTCGGTCGGAGCAACCCAACAGCAGCCTTTACACCTATGAAGCGACTCTTACAATGCACGCCGGAGGGGGCGAAAAGGAGCTTCCGTTAGCGCCAGATCAGCTTCTCCTTCGAGGAGCAACCCTGCGTAACACTCCCTGGATTCATGGTATAGTCGTCTTTACGGGTCACGAAACGAAACTGATGCGCAACGCTACTGCTACACCGATCAAGCGGACCGCCGTGGAGCGGATGGTGAACGTCCAGATTTTGATGCTGGTCAGCATTCTCGTCTCTCTAAGTGTGGTCAGCTCCGTCGGGGACCTCATCATTCGACAAACTCAGGCCAAGAAGCTTGTCTATCTCTACTACGGCAGTACGAGTCCGGTCAAGCAATTCGTGCTCGACATCTTCACGTACTGGGTTCTCTATTCCAACCTTGTTCCCATCTCTCTCTTTGTCACCATCGAAATTGTAAAGTATGCGCAGGCACTCTTGATCAATTCTGATCTTGATATTTACTACGACAAGACCGACACTCCCGCCACCTGCAGGACGTCTTCTCTTGTCGAAGAGCTCGGTCAGATTGAGTATATCTTCTCCGATAAGACTGGAACCTTGACCTGCAACCAGATGGAGTTCAAGCAGTGTAGCATCTACGGTGTGCAGTACGGTGACGAAGTACCTGAAGACCGGCGCGCTACAGCGGACGACGGAGCCGAAGCCGGAATCTACGACTTCAAAAAGCTCAAGGAGAACTTGCAGTCTCATCCGTCCGCTGATGCCATACATCACTTCCTCACTCTTCTAGCGACCTGCCATACAGTCATTCCCGAAAGAAATGCGGCAGACCCCGCCAAGATCAAGTACCAGGCCGCCTCTCCTGATGAGGGTGCCTTGGTAGAGGGTGCCGCCGTCCTGGGCTATCGTTTCACCAACAGAAGGCCACGGTCCGTGTTGTTCACCACAAATGGTCAAGAGTACGAGTACGAATTGCTCGCAGTCTGCGAGTTCAATTCGACAAGAAAACGAATGTCGACCATTTTCCGCTGTCCGGATGGGAAGATTCGCATCTACACCAAAGGTGCGGACACTGTTATTCTCGAACGATTGGGACCCGATAACTCTATTGTGGAGGCAACTCTGCAGCATCTCGAGGAGTATGCGTCCGAGGGTCTTCGGACACTGTGCCTCGCAATGCGTGAGATCCCAGAAGAAGAATATCAGCAGTGGATACAGATCTATGAGAAGGCTGCAACAACCGTCGGCGGCAATCGTGCCGATGAGCTTGACAAGGCTGCAGAGCTGATCGAGAAGGACCTCTATCTCCTTGGTGCTACGGCCATTGAGGATCGACTGCAGGATGGCGTCCCTGACACCATCCACACCCTGCAGACGGCTGGGATCAAGATCTGGGTCTTGACCGGTGACCGACAAGAAACGGCAATCAACATCGGCATGTCGTGCAAGCTTATTTCAGAGGACATGACGCTACTGATTGTCAATGAGGATAATGCTCAAGCCACCCGGGATAACCTGACCAAGAAGCTACAGGCTGTTCAGAGCCAGGGCACATCTGGCGAGATCGAGGCTCTTGCTCTCATCATTGATGGTCGGTCATTGACATTTGCGCTGGAGAAGGACATGGAGAAGCTGTTCTTGGATCTGGCGGTCTTGTGTAAAGCAGTGATTTGCTGGTAAGTAACTGCTTCTACACTTCTACTCAATTCATGATGCTGATTCCTTCATAGTCGTGTATCCCCTCTTCAGAAGGCTTTGGTCGTCAAGCTGGTCAAGAGGCATCTCAAGTCTTTACTTTTGGCCATCGGCGACGGTGCCAACGATGTTTCAATGATCCAGGCAGCCCATGTCGGTGTCGGTATCAGTGGTGTCGAAGGTCTTCAGGCTGCCCGGTCCGCAGACGTTTCTATTGCCCAATTCCGTTATCTCCGGAAGCTGCTTCTTGTTCACGGTGCATGGAGTTATCACCGTATCAGTCGAGTCATCCTATATTCCTTTTACAAGAATATCGCCCTTTACATGACTCAATTCTGGGTAAGCAACCCCTGTGCAGACGCTTTTGTTCCCTTGTACTGACGGAAATAGTACTCGTTCCAAAATGCTTTCTCGGGTGAAGTTATTTACGAATCCTGGACCCTCTCCTTCTACAACGTTTTCTTCACTGTGCTTCCTCCGTTTGTCATGGGAATCTGTGACCAGTTCATCTCTGCCCGTCTGCTCGATCGCTATCCGCAGCTATACCAGCTTGGACAGAAGGGATTGTTTTTCAAGAGACACAGCTTCTGGTCGTGGATCGCCAATGGGTTCTACCACTCGCTGCTGCTTTACATCGTCTCCCAGCTGATCTTCCTCTGGGATCTACCGCAAGGAGACGGTAAGGTGGCAGGCCACTGGGTTTGGGGCTCGGCCTTGTATACAGCAGTCCTGGCTACTGTCCTGGGGAAAGCGGCATTGATCACCAACATCTGGACCAAATATCACTTTATTGCCATCCCCGGCTCCATGGTCATCTGGCTCGTTTTCCTTCCGGCGTATGGTTATGCGGCGCCGGCGATCGGCTTCTCCACCGAGTACTATGGCACGATCCCCCGGCTCTTCACCTCACCCATCTTCTACCTGATGGCCGTCGTCCTGCCCTGCATTTGCCTTCTCCGCGATTACGCCTGGAAATACGCCAAGCGAATGTACTACCCGCAACACTACCACCACGTGCAAGAGATCCAAAAGTACAACGTGCAGGACTACCGACCTCGCATGGAGCAGTTCCAGAAGGCAATCCGCAAGGTGCGACAAGTGCAGCGCATGCGGAAACAACGTGGCTACGCGTTCAGTCAGGCCGATGAAGGCGGACAGATGAGAGTCGTCAATGCTTATGATACCACGAGAGGAAGAGGGAGATACGGCGAAATGACCAGTTCGAGGAACCTGGTTTGACATGATTTGTTTCTTTCTATTTCTACAGCTCCATCTCTTGTCCATTGCACCATACTGCCCCATGTCTGTATTATTTACTTGGACTCTGCAGTCCTCGCTATGTTTGTTTCTCTTCTCCACGAGTTAATGTGAAAATCTTGTCATGATTGGAGGTTAGCGAATGTGAGCACGTGCTTAACACTACCGTTGAGTATCTGTCTTATTTGGATAATACGAATATGATGTCCAGTAGCTGACATATATGTACAACGATACCGCTTCATACAACATAAAGTTCGATATAGTGGACAGTGGACAGAGACTATCGCGTACATCTCTCCTGCGGAGGCCTCCAACCCACCCCCAACCCCTCAAGCACTAACCTCTCCCTCTCCTCCCAGGTCTCCCCGCCGCGCTCCAGATCAATCACCTGCCCGCCGCTCGTCCGCTCCCTCACCCCGCTCGAGTCGAACTTCCACCCGTGCGCCTTCTTGGCGTACCGCCGCAGATCCCGCTCGAAGGTCGTATCGCCAGACCAGCCCAGCACGGCGCACCCGACGGTCCGCCACGGCGAGATGATGATATCCACCCGGCGGTGGACGTTGGGGTTGCGTTTTCTGCGCTGTCTTTCTCCTCCTTCTGGGGTGGTGTCTCCGCCACTCTCGGCGGGAGTCTCATCGCTGTCCTCGAAATGCGGATCCTGCCAGACGACAAGTGCTTTATCCAGCGAGTCAAAGTGTCGTCCCGTGTCATCACCGCGAAAGGGAAGCGGCTGCTGCTCGCGGTTCGAGGTCGTCATGTGCAGAGCGAGGGTATGCGTGATCCAGCCCTCTGCTTCAAGGCTAGCAACAAGATCCACAACCAGGTGCTTGGTGACGGACTCGTCGCGATGCGAGAGGACGAGGTCGACGTCGCCGCTTAGCTCCTTGCCGCGCCGGTAGCCGCCGACGATGACGCACTCGACACCGCGGCCGTCGTAGGCCGCGTGCGGGCGGACGCGGTTAGCGTGCTTGGTGATGGTTGCGGCGATGGCCTCCGTCTCCGGGCGGGGCACGCCCTGCAGGAACTCGTCGTAGTATTTCAGGCCGATCTGCTGCACGCGGGACAGGCTGTCCCAGCCGTGCTCGATGATGTCGTCGAGGTCGCGCCATTGGCGCTTGTAGTAGAAGTCGCGGGCGGTTTTGGCGCCCACGCCCCAGATGTTCCAGAAGAGGTGCAGGGTTTTGAGGACTGGGTCGGTGTCGAGGGCGTCGGCGGCGGCAAGGGTGCCGTGCTCGCTGGCTTTGAATTCCGCGAAGAGGGCGGCGATCTTGGAGTCGCAGCCGGGGAGGGTGAGGATCTCGGAGGGCCGTCGGATCTGGTACGGGTAGGCGGCGAGTGAGGCGATGGAGGTGCTGTAGGCGCGGACGCCGATCTCGTCGAGCGTGAGCTCGCGAATCTTGCGGATCTTGACAAGCTGCGTGATGAACGTCTCGTTGGGCGGGTGGAGCGGTGCAGACCGCATGCAGGCGTACATGACATGGTTCTTGACCCAGTCGGGGGGTGGGGGTAGGGGGACCGCTTCGTCGTGCTCGGAGGTCGTCTGTCGGTATAGCTTGGGTGGGTGGCCCTGGCTGGATGGGCCGTCGTGCGGTTCTCGTGAGCGACGGGATGCGAATCGACTGGTGGGAGGAGGTCCAGCCGAGGGCCTGGCCATGGCATCTTGCTTCGCCCGCTCCAGGATTCCTTTCGACGTGTCCGCGCTGGCTTCAGACGCAGGCTGCGCAGTCCTGCGGCCTCGGTAAACCACAAACGGGCCCAGGGGCACGAGCGTGCCAGTCCTCAGGACTTCATAGAACCAGTCCAGCTTGACCACCGTCACCACATCCCCCTGCTCATGGTCCTCCAAAGCAGTGGCCACCGAAGACGTCAGCGACGGCGTCGAGGCCACAGACACCGTATCGGGAGACACCGACCTCGGCCGGCGCAGATGGCTCCGTGTATCATGCAAGCTCCGCATGCCATCTTCCTCATCCTCTGTCTCCGTAGCGAGGTCAATATCATCTAGCTGCGCAGCAGGTTGTTTACCGGGCTGAACCACATCAACCCGCCGCCTCTTCACAGGCGGCTCAGGGCTCGTCCGCAGAGGAGCAGACCCAGAGGCAGAGATAGAGACCTCCTCGGTCCAGACGCCTCTGGACCGCAGCTCCAAAGCCGCTCGCTTCTTCTGGCCGATCCGTCCAAGAACGAGTCTTGCTTCGGAGACATCGTACGTCAAGCGCGCGCCGCGCTTCACGAGGTCCTCTTCAATTTGGTGCAGAGCGTCTAGCTCGAGGTGTGTCGCGAGGACGAAGATAGGTGGCAGGGAGGAAAAGTCGAGTCCGTCAGGGCTCTCGTTTAGGTCATGTTTCAGCGAGGAAGATGTCGTGATATCGGACATGGCGCGGGGTGTATATCCATTGCTTTTGTGTTATTTGATAATGAGACGATCACTCCGTCGTTTCAGCTGGTGATATACTAGTAACCAAGAAGCCAATATATGGTCGGTATATATGCAGATATTATAAATATGTATGTCGTGAGCGCATGGCAGCGTTAATGGGTCTCATATGTGCATGGTGTCGCGACTTCAGTTTGAGCCAGACTCCATCAATCTTATGTTGGCATCCATATGGAGTGCGAGCCTGTAAGTAGATGCGCTTCAAGCACCCAGGTCGAGATTCATGGTGTTGTCGCAAGCTGGGGATGAAGAAGAGTCTCCCCGCGTCTGGCCAAATCAGCTGACGTCACGCTGATGCCTCAGGCATATAAGTACATTACTTGATCTATTCCAGCTGAACCGGTTTAAGTATCAATGTCATAAGGTAGCTTTTATTGTTTAGTGCAGAGAGGTAATCCAAGAGCTGTAATCATGATGTCTATATTGTAGTTCGAGCCGACTCCATTAATCAAGAAATCGGTCGGTCTATGGCTGCGCCACAACCTGCGATGTTGCGCCCTTGCCTACAGCCCCATAACTGGCAATAGAGGTGGAGGCATTGTTCTCTTCATTCAGAACAGCTCTCTCGCCGTCAGCAGGAGGCAGCTCATCCCGAGATCCCGAACCTTCTTCATCCGCCCCGGCGCTCTTCCCATGCCGTTTCGCGATCCACCTCCGCCAGGGCTTGTAGAGCACCACGCTGAAAATGCCCACGATGAGGAAGCATCCGCAGATTCCTCCGCCAATGACATCGTAGTAGTCGCCTGCTGTCTGCACGCCGTCCCAGAATCTCCCGGTGGGTTCGGCGACGTTTAGCACAAGGGTGAGGAGCTGGATAATGCCGATGACGATGGCGACGACGACTGTCAGGAGAGTGAGCACGATGGAGTAGTACAGGAAGGCGACGGGGTCGCGGTGGTTCTGGGACGGTCCCATTTCATGGTCCTCGCCGAGGATCAGGGGCGTCTCGGACGAGGTGCTGTCGCGTTTGGGCGGGAGGAAGTTGGCGGCTGGTTGGATATAGAGCGAGAGCATCAGAGCTCCGTCGGTTGTGTCCAGAAGACACATTCCAGCTATAGCTGTTAGTTGCGAATCTTCAGGTAGATTAGGCAGACGCACCGGTGAAAAGAATGGGAAAGATCAGAATGACCCAAAAGTCCGTCCCGCGAGCAGCTTCTATAGACGAGATCCCAAGCAGGGCTATCTCAGAGGAGGTGTCGAAACCAAGACCGAAGAGGATACCCAAGGGGTACATCTTCCAAGATCTAACCACCGAATCAGTTGATCGTTTGTACATCGGACGGGGATACCACACACCGATTGATCAACTTGAACATGCGCTTGAGCATATTGAACAGCACACCCCCGCCCTCGACCTTCCACGCCTCATCCTCCTGCCCTTCAGGCAGATTCAGCACCTTCTGCATCTGCTTGTAGAGCTTGTACAGAATGTAAAAATTCATCAGGCCCAGCAGGATCAGGAACGCGGCGCTGACCGAGGTCCCAATGATCCCGCCGACGGTGCTGAAGCTGTCGAAGCGCGACGATACCGCCGCAGCGGTAGCCGCTACGACGATGGATGTGATGATGACAATGCTGGTTCCGTCAGAGCAAGCCCAAGCCTTGTACTGACAGACTGGAAGAGACCTACGTTGAGTGTCCGAGGGAGAAGAACGTCCCAACGGTGACAGGCTGCTGGCCGGTTGCCAGTAATCTTCGAGTCATCAAGTCAATTGCCTGGATAATTAGTAGATGCCGAGTTACAGACTGCTTCGACTTACCGATATATGGTCGGCGTCAAACGCATGGCGCAGGCCCAATGTATATGCCAGAACCGCATTCGAGACTAGTGAGCTGTGCTGGTCAGTACACGCACTTGGTCCTTGTCCTTGTCACTAGACCTACGGATAGTATCTCTACACCATGTTAGCTAGTAGATCTCAAGTAGGGGAACGAGGTCCAAGTCAACAGGGCACATACCAGCACAATCGCAGCAGCAATCCACACGACAACGTTCATGAACGCAACAAACAGGATGATTGCAATTGCTGGCAAAGGAATCTTGCGGATCCCCGGCAGCCGACGATGCGAGTGCTCTGCTCGACGAAGAAGTGATTCAGCAGTCCATTTGCTCTTTGTTTCGCTGGCTGTTTCGTCTGCGAGCGATGCGTCGACGACGGTGGGCGTAGAGTCCCGCATGATTGATCTTCAATATAAAAACCTGATATTGGCTGTGTTTTTCTGCCAGTGTATCTCTTTATGCCTTCAATCACCAGTATCTTCTAGAGTAGAATGACGAAAGGTGAAAACCTGACGACAGTGACGATTTCCAGCGAAATCGATGAGGGGAAATGATAAGAGTGTGATAAGGATCGTGGGGTCGTCGTATTCTTGCTTTTGGCGACTGCTCCTCCACCGTTTCTGCAGCAGGGTGCAGATCAGATCAGTCATATGCAATTCCGCAGGTCTTTGGTTCTTTCTGGGAACCTTGCTGGCAATCAAGGTCCTCGACAATCGCTGGTGGTTCGACTCCTGCTTTATCCGTATTTCAATGGTGGCCGTCAACTGGTCAACTGGTCGACTCCCTCCCACTTTATTCGCGAATGCGAGGTTGAGGACCAAAATTATTTCCTCATCGAATAACAAATCCCGAATCCAAGTATATCTATCTACTAACTATCTAGATGCTAGTCTGCTAGACCGACTAGTACTTGGTTGTTTAGCGATGCGGGTTGGCCGTCTCCACCGCTCCCCACCAGCGATAGGCAAATTAAACTCGGAGAGCGCCGATGTGATCGTTCGACTCCTGTAGTACTCAAGATAAACTGTCGGTCGCTTACTCTTGGTGATAGTATCAATAGAAGGGAAGTCGTCTCATCATTTTATGATTCACTTTTATATACAGTATTGGGGTCTTAACATAAGACATAGATATACACGTCTGACTCGATCTCTGAGTCAGGCCAGCTTCATAACAGTGACACTCAGGCAATTCTCGGCCTGTTGCAGAATGATTTGATTCCGCCATTGGCATGTCAACGTGTTTGTGGGTGGAGTTTCCTTCCGCTCCAGATAGTGCATGATGATACTCTATTAGCCGCAGAAAGGCTATAGATCATTCATGCCTGCTTGGCCGGTTCGCCGAGCTGATGAGCTCTCTGCCGGCCGGCAAAATGCGGATCGATGAGATCCTTTGTGGATGATATCCCGAGCTGTCGGTGCCTGAATCTGCAGGCTAGCTCTGGAGTCATGCGTTGGAGATAGTCAACTGGATTTCTGTCCTGAATGCTCATGCGGCAGCGAGCACAGTTGGCGATGGCGTCCACTTGGTCACGGTCGGGTTGATCTGACGGATACCGGAGCCGACAAACATGTTCCACTCGCTTCTCGTGATTGGTGTAACATCAGAGGCCGAGAGAGGCGTCTTGGGTCCCTTCTTCGCCGAGGCCGGTCTGCAGGTCGGCGGCGTAGGCTGTCTGCGTGGACGGACGGGGCGAATGGGCGATTTCCGTGAGTACTCGGGCTTGGGCCGCGGCGGCAGGACGATGCCCTCCTGGTTGTATTCTTTCTTGTAGGCGTTTGCCACACGCGTCAGGAGATCATCGCGGACATCGAGCTGTTCGTACACGCGGTGGAAAAACGCCTTGCTGAAGGGGCGGCCCTGGAAGTCGCGGATGGTGCGGTGGAGGAGATGCACGCAGGAGGAGACGTAGGGCTCTTCGGTGCCGTTGTCGCAGTTCGACAGGATGCAGAGGCGGCGCTTGAAGGTGTAGATGCGGTCGACGTTGAGGAGAGTCAGGCCCTCACGGCTAAAGACGACTTCGTTCTGCAGGATGGATTGCTGGATCAGGTATTCGTTGGCCTGGCGCTCATACTGGCTGCGTGCCAGGGCATCGGTCCAGCTCTGGCCTAGGGAGAATTTCTTGGCTCCCTTGGCGACGATGCGGCATACCGTGCGCCAGCACTGAGGGTCGAGTTGTGCCATGGGGATGACCATGAGGTCGGACGGTTGCCCTGTGGGGTAGGGCTTTCCCCGGCCGACGAGTAGTGTGACGTGCATCATTTTCTGCTGGAGCTTGGAGGAGATGTAGTCCAGAGCAGGGATGATGGAAGGCGTGACCGTTTCGCAATCGAAGTTGAAGCCTGGAGACAGAGGCGAGGAGATCATATCCGTAGTGAGGCTGCGGGTGGGAGAGTTGGGGACATAGATGCCCGTCGGGCGAGGCAAACGAAGAACACCCATGATGGCAGTTCTGTTCAATCAAGGTTTTCTCGTTAGAGCTAGTTGAGAAGGAATCTTCTTCTCTGTCAGAAGTAGGGACAGTGCCCAAGGACGAGGACTGGGATAATAAATGCCCCCGAGCAAAAGAGGGATATCACAACCAGCACAAACAACAACACCCCAAATTAACACTGCATTCATAACGCAAGTGATCTATTTTGGTACCTTCTATTGATAGTAAAATCATCCATCCCCCTCGTCCATTTCGTATCCCGACACAAGGGAACCCAATAACGCTCTGGATAAAAATATCATTAAGCGCCGACCGTTTCCCTCCGCCAATGGAAGAGCATCACAGCAGCCTTATGCAGGTGACGGCACAATCCATCGCATAATGGATGGTGACGAGAGCTCGAAAGGAATCTTCCTGCCCGTGTTGTGGAAATTAACTGCATTTCCTCCTTGCCGGTCATCCAGGGCTGTCAGCCTGAGGCTGCTTGTCAACCAACACTCAGGCTGTACCTCCATTGGTGATATCACTGCTACCAACACAGAGTTATCTGCGGGGTTGCAAGGCTGGCAAGCAGCTGCAGGAAACTATTGATTTCGAGCGGTAGAGTTGTTGCTCTGAGAGGAGGATGGCCGCTGGCGTACGCCATTGTTGGTGAGGGCTTGTCCATGTGGCACTGTGTGTCAACGAGTGCTTCCTTGCTTGTGGTTTACCGCCTTCAGTTTGGACTATTGGATTTGTGCAGGCGGCGTCATTGTTGGGTTGGATGTTGGTGGGATGGGATTGGGATATAGTTGATGAGCTGAAGCCTGTTTATGATTGTCCTGTGGGCTGTGATGGCAACTGGCAAAAGTTCTCGTTCTTTTCATGCGTCAACTGGCAACTCGAGGGGTCAGATGCTATCGCTATGTTGGCGCTGAGCAACTGGTAAGGCATTTTTATCTACATACACAAAATTCTCGCAGAGTCTTGTATGTCGAGTACAACGATATCTTTGCCTTATAGCACATGGATACTCCTCGGAGCATACATACTGAGACAACTTCGAATCATGGTGAACCTCTTCTACAACTTGTTCCCCCGATGAAATGGGCTTTTGGTAATGCGTGTATACGAGACGACGAACTAGATAGGAGTGCATTGAGTGTGATCACAGTCAGAAATGATAAGACCAACAGCATCCTTGATCCACCATCAGCGTATCTATCCAGGGTGTACTCCGTAGTGTGTACTCAATCCAACAGGATCAGTCGAGGATCAGTCAATGTTCTGCAAGTCCTATCTACACCGAAGCTCAGCCGAGCCGAGACCATTTGGATAGCAGAATTTTCTCCTGCTGTCAGCCACACGCGGCTCCCTGGTGGCAGGCCTGGCCAGGAACCGTACTATCCGTACGACTACCGAGTTCAACCACGGACACGACCACGGAGGGCCCGGATGATGAGAAAATTTTTCGAACGGACATCCCGTCCCTAGAGTTTTGGCAGTAGTACTAGTATTAATCATTTCGATATCCAACAGTCAAGATAAGATTCCCCGCTTCAAGAGTCTGGGGAATTTTTATTACCTAAAAGTCGGCAGTGAGTGACATTGCATTACGTACGGAATTGCTGGGCTGTATCCACTGTCCCTGTGCAGGGTGCACTGTCCGCAGTCTAGGCGAGATATCGAATTCTGAAGTTGGATGGTGAGGATTGCACGCTGATTTCACCGTGAATACTCCGATAGGTGCTTGGATGCAAAGGATCAGGGGCCCGAGACAGAAGCAGGAGAGTTTCTGGGCAGATATCATCTGCGCCCGAAGAGAATATTCCGCTATCTGCCAAGGGGTGCCGAGCCGGTGGCTGGCTGGCAAGAGACCGAAGGTTCTCCGGAGGAAATAGGCAGTCTTCTAGAATACGGACCGGAATTGGAGTTGGGGACAGTGCATACGGCATCCGCATGTGGCTCTGCTTCGTGGTTCAAAGCTCACATACGGTACAGCCAACAGCTTGCGATAAGGTTGAGTAAACAGCAGTGTCTGATTGGACAAAATTGCACAGAGATAACATTATGATAAGCAGTCTTGGCACTGGGTTGACTGCCTTCTACCTAAGGTATCCAGGCAGTCCAGACTCGTAGACTCCTTTAATGGAAGATATCGGAATAGTTGCATAATAACCTCGGGCAGCATCACTTCTCCGCACGGAACTACTGCTGAAACCTTCAGCTTAAAGTTCTTTTGCCTCTAAATAATCTCTCACTTGGCCCCGAGTTCTCTAAAATCCCGCAAAGCTTGGGCACAATGTCTCGCAACTCTCAACTCACGTGGCTTATCACTGGCTTATCAAGGCAATAAAGCCAAGGCCGCCAAGAGTGGGCCTCAGGCAGAGCGGGGCTTGTTCCATGTTCGCTTTGCTTCGGCGTTCTGGAGCCGATACACAGGACGCACTGAGCACAGAGGTGGTTTTAATACCGGCTATATGACAGTTATCATATGACTCTGATTCTCTTTTTTCTTGGGGAATCCGTGGTCGAGTGAGATTCATATAATAATCCTGTATGTCCGTGTGCAGGGGGTCGTGTTCAGGCTGGCAATGTAACCTCAGAACGCCTCAAATGGAATCAGCAGACGGCGATTGTTACCGATTCGAAAGATCCCTTGACTAATATGAACCAAATAGTGTTGAGCCTAATCACTCGAGACCTGCAAAAGCGTCTTCCCCAGGTGATGAGGAACTTGGATCTAATTGCGCCTCGTGTCTGGGCGCTTTTGCCAAGCCAGTCCGCTTGTTCCTGGGCTTGCTGACGGGTCTTTTTCTTGCCCCAGAGGCGCAGACAAGACCAGAGAACCAGGCAGAAAACGACAAGATCGTCTCTCCTGGCCTTTTCTTCTTGCTGCTGATTGGATTGTGTGGCAATTATGCTGAGAACGCTAGGCTGAATGTTGTAAGAGTACACGGGCAGCATGGCTATCATCGTCCGTGAGGGGATTCTCCACGCGAGATGTCTCTCTCGGTAACTCCTAACTAATTCCCCAATTCACTAATCTAATCCAAGAGATATTGACCTATCATCAATCATTGACATCCTGTCATATAATAAGATATATAATCCTTAATTGGTCCCCCCTTGTCGCTTATCTTTTCTGGGGTTGCTTTCCAGAAGTCGAGGACGGCATCTTCTTTTTTTGGGTAGCTTCCTATTCACCTACCACCTTTCCTCTTTTCCTCCTCCTCATCCTCTTCCTCTTCTCTTCTCTCTTCTCCATCTGCATCTTTTTCTCCCCTTCTCCTTCTTCATCGCTTCTTCCATCGTAATCGCATTCACTGCGTTCTTTCCTTCCCCACAATCTTTCTGGGCAATCAGTGAACTCCCCCCACCATAGTTCATCGGCCTCAATTTCACCAATAGAACACACACGGGGATGGGGTACAGAGAAGAAGGCGTCTCTTCGGAGATGCCTGTCAAGTATGAAATGTCCAACGATGTCAAAGCTGCTGAGGAGGGTGTGATGGAGTCTCAACCCCATGTCGACCTTCATCGAGGTCTCAAGTCGCGTCACATCACCATGATTGGTAGGCCGCCTATTGCGACCTGTAGATAATCTGCATTCAAGCTGACATTCACAGCCATTGGTGGTGCTATTGGTACTGGACTCATCATCGGAACTGGAAGTGCTCTTGCAAAGTAAGTCCTTTGTTCCTCAAAACCATTTCTTTTTGGCGTGACATAGGCTGACATGACTTTTCAGGGCTGGCGTACGTTGTCCTCATCTACGGTGAAATTTACAGCGACGAAAACTAACTATCTGTCACAGCCCGGTTCTATTCTCATCTCCTACTCTTTCGTCGGTTTCATCGTCTATCTGGTCATGTGTGGTCTTGGAGAAATGGCCACTTGGTTGCCCATGCCCTCCGGTTTCACTGGTTATGCTGCCCGTTTCTGTGACCCTGCTCTTGGATTCGCCATTGGTTGGACGTAAGTCAATCTATCATTGTTTATCATCAAGACTGCGGCGCTGACACCCATGACCACTACAGGTATTGGTTCAAGTATATTATTGTCACACCGAACCAGTTAACGGCCGGCGCGCTGGTCATATCATTCTGGATCGATGCCTCACGAGTTAATGCAGGCGTGTGGATCACCGTCTTCCTGGTGCTGATCATCTCCATCAACTACTTTGGTATCCGCTTCTTCGGTGAATTCGAGTTCTGGCTGTCCTCCTTCAAAGTGATCGTCATTGTCGGTCTGATTCTGCTCTCCTTCATTCTGATGCTGGGCGGCGGCCCCGATCACGACCGCAAGGGCTTCCGGTACTGGAAGGAGCCTGGTGCGTTCAACTGGTATATCGAGGATTCGGCCGCGGGTCGTTTCTATGCCTTCTGGGCGACCATGGTCTCGGCCACGTTCGCTTATCTGGGTACCGAACTGGTCGGCGTGACTGTCGGCGAGGCCCAGAACCCACGCAAGACGATCCCGCGCGCCATCAAGCTCACCTTCTACCGGATTCTCTTCTTTTATGTGATCAGCGTTCTGCTCGTCGGCACCCTGGTCCCCTACGACTCCAAGAGCCTGGTCTTCGCGACCAAGAAGGCTAGCTCCGCAGCTGCCTCCCCCTTCGTCGTTGCCATCGAGCTGGCCGGCATTCGCATCCTTCCCCACATCCTCAACGGCTGCATCCTCCTCTTCGTCTTCTCCGCCGCTAACTCGGATCTGTACATCGCCACTCGTACCATTTACGGTCTCGCTCGCGAGGGCAAAGCGCCCGCTATCTTCGCCCGCACAGACCGCCGCGGCGTCCCCATCTATGCCCTGGCCATCTCCGCCTGCTTCGCCTGCTTGGCCTACATGAACGTCTCCAGTGACTCCAAGACCGTCTTCAAATACTTTGTGGATCTGGTCACCATTTTCGGCCTCCTCACCTGGATCTCCCTGCTCATCACCCACATCTACTTCGTTCGCGCCCGCAAAGCCCAACACGTCCCTGAGTCCGACCTCGTATACACAGCCCCCTTCGGCGTCGCAGGCTCCTACTTCGCCCTTGTCTTCTGCTGCCTTATTGCCCTCACAAAGAGCTACGACGTCTTCGTCCACAGTGCCACCTATGGCAACTTCAACTACAAGGGCTTCATCACCGCGTACCTTGGTATCCCCGTCTACCTGTGCCTCATCTTCGGGTACAAGCTCTTCACCCGCTGCAAGGGCGTCAAGCCCGAGGAGGCGGATCTTTGGTCGGGCAAGGACGAGATCGACCGCGAGGAGGCGGAGTACCTGGCTCGCAAGGCGATGGAAGAAACAACTCACAAGCGTGGGAACTGGTTTTATCAGACGTTTGTGGCGTGGTTGTTCTAGACTTCTGTGTTCGGTTGTTTACTTGTTTCCTTTTCTTTTTTGCGAATATGCGTTTTGGATGTGATCCGAGCTAGGGCGGTCCTGCCTCACAATGCTATTATGAAATCATGACTCGCCGACATGTACATAACATAATCATCAATGAATTACATGGATATCTGTCAATGGAATTGTGCCCGGGGTTAGTGTCGTATGACAAGTACAATAAAATCATAATTCATTACCGTCGTTGGTACATAACGACAATGCGAGATATTAATATACGTCAAGGAGGATTTTACACTGTAGAAACAGACAGAAGGGGGAAAAAAAAGACTATCGCCGTCGAAACTCGGTTCGTGCTTTCTCAACCCACTCCGGTTCCTCATCTTCGACATCCGCTTGCAGGACTTGCTGCGTGGCTGGCGCTGATTCCTCGCCAGGGGATACAGGAGCTTCAGGCTCAGTGCGCTGCAGCTCCGCATCCCAGTCTAGCTCCGCGCCATGGGCAAGATCACCGACGAGGAACTTCCCAAACGTCAAAACGACATTGAAGATCTCCTTGCCGGTCGGCACGATGTACTCGGACGGCAGGAGGAAGCCGTAGCTCCCGCGGTCGCGCAGTTTGATCTGGTAGGCGTAGTCCGTGTGAAGCTGGTGGTAAAACCAGTCCAGGGCGCTGCCGCCTGAGCTGCCGCCCGTAGGGAAGATGGGTTTCTTGGGTGGGGGCTGTTACGGCTGCCGTCGTCAGCGGTGGTGGTGCTGCCTTCGCAGGCGGAGGTGACGTCGTAGATTTCGTGGGTGGTCAGGCGGATGACTTTTGCGAGGCCCATGCCTAGTTCTTCGAGGCTCTCGAGCGTGGGTGGGATGGACGAGCAGGAGAATGAGAAGGGGTAGAGGATTTGCTGGGAGTAGGAGTGGAGGTCAAGGAAGCCGACGATTTTGGCGTTGTTGGTCTGTGTCTCGTTGAGGGCCCACTGCGCCAGTTGGCTGGCTTCCATGCCTTCGAATGGCTCGGTGCCGGCGTAGTTCTCCGAGCAGGGGTTCGAGCGTGTGCGCTCGCCGTCCCATTGGAATTCCCAGGCGCGGTCGAGGTCGATGCCGGGACAGAAATGGAGGCTCGTGGGCTGGCGGTTCTTGCGCCAGAGGCGATCGGATTCCCAGGTGTAGACGTAGCCGTCTGGGTTCAGTGTCGGCACGAAAACCCAGTCGAAGTCCTCCAGGAGGCGGGTGATTTCCCGCGACTTGCCGTATCGGGTGATGAGACTGTACGCGACATAGGTGACGGTTGAGGTACTAATCCATTCTCGCGCATGGCTGCCACCGACGACAACGATGGTCTTGCGAGGGTAGGGCTCGACCGTCTGGCCGCGGGTCCCGACTCGAAGGGCCGGGATTTCCCGCCCTTGGTAGGACACTCCGACATTGATCATCTGGACATGAGATGAGAACATCGAAGCCATCAGCCGCATCCATGGGACGATAACCGACAGAGGCTGATAGTCGCGGAAAAACAGACCTCCAAACTGAGTCGACTGCCGCACTGACGGGATGAAGCCAGGCTGATCCTCAAATCCAACAGGTCGTCGAGTCGGGTAGGTCGCGTATATCATTTCAGCAAGGTTATCAATAAGGGGGGTGTAGGCGGTCCTAAGCGAATCAGGCAACAGGCCCAGTAGTGAGGGTATCTATCAATCAAACAATCAATAATGAGCAGCAGGGGACAAGACGCCGGCAGGAGTGGGCCATATACGTACAACTTCTTGAGCTAATCGAATATCCACAAATTCAGATGTGGAGGCCCAAACGTCCAAAAAGAGGACATCAGTTGCTTCTGCCAATGCCTCTGCCTCTTCGGCATTGCGCAGGTGGAAACGAAGGACGACATCGCTGCCATAGCGAGTAAGCGAGCGGGAGGGAGAGCGGCTGCGCGAGGAATCTTTAACGGAGCGATGATGGGAGGAATCTTTGGAAATGCCCCAGATGGACTCAATAACCCAATCTCGGACTCGAATCCATGGTCGTCTGGAGTCAGTAGTAGATCGGGATGATAACAACTGAATAGGTTCAATGGGCGGCGGAGGTGTGATACTGGAGCCTGCGGGGACAGCGGATACCAGACCCAGCGAGGCGACCAGGAGGAGGAGAACAGATAGCAGGAGACGCATGTCTATAGAATAAAAGAGACAGCAATTATGCTGTCATTGTTTCTGTCGGATCGCTCGAGTCCTAGAGGTGAAACGAGGACGGATCAAGATGGAGGAGTCCCGATGTTGGGCGAAATGGTGGGAAGCCTATGGATGCCTCAGGCCCCTAGAGGACTTTCCGATATTAGCCATTTTCCCTGATTAGGAATGGTGTATTTGCCCGGTGCAATATCAGGATCACGGAGCTAGTTCCGAGTCAGCCTCAGAAAATCCGAATGATCGTCTGAATACTCTGAGTATGGTAGATAGATGTGGCTAAACTGCAATTATTATCTACTAGAATCTGGTGGCTGTTCTGAAGAGGCTACCTGAGAAAGGCTGGTGTGACGGCGGAGAGCAATTGATTACCTACAATGGGGCACATATACTTGAAGTCCTCCTATATTTATTTGTTCGTGTACTTGTAGAGACAATCCTTTTCTGTCCTTTGCGCCTCAGTGGAATGAAATCTGATTTCTAAGATGCAGATCAAGCTGACACTTGACAGCTGCTTCTGCCTGAGGCACCTTAAACCTACCCCACACTCACAGCCTCCACGGCCCCACTAGTTTAGTCCCTTTACGTAGTGTAGTCCCTTGTGAGCAGAGAGCGGCTTTGTGGTCTTCCTTGCCGTTCGGAGTATGCATAGCATTCGGTCAATGTCCTTGGTCACGTCGACCCAAAGCATCCATCTTATCTAGATTGATAGAGGTTTTTGTGGGCTAGTTGCCGAATGCCTTCTTCCACAGAGCAGCTGGAGTCCAAATCTGGACTCTGGTTTACTCCGTGACTATTCCGTGGTTCCCTCCAGGCAGAACAATTCTGGACTATGTCACGTGACATCCAAAGCAGCGGGAGATACGCGTATAAATGACGCAGTGCGTAAAGCAGCCGCGTACAGGTGGTCATGATGATGAAGTCGGTAAGACGCCTCTTTCCTCGGTTTTCTTGGGTAAAAGAGGTACTGGCATCATTGTTAGCACGAGTGGAAATTCTGGAAGATGATAATTGACGATCCTCAAGGCATCAATGAGCGTAAATCCAGTTCACGAAACAGTCCACAGAGCTGTGTTACACACAAGGCTTCTATTGGTTATGACTCTCGAACCAGGGTAGAGAACCGGATTTTAGAGAGTGGAACGTGTGAGAAGTATAAGAACCTGAGGTTGTGCATTTTGTTATTGAGAATGGCTTCTTCCGCTAGGTACAGGGACTATAGAGGCACCGATCTATGTAGGCTCATCTCAAGGGACCTAGGTACGGGTAGGGAAACAATCACAATTTATCGGACCCATTGGCATGATAGTTCTGTTAATCTATATAACAATTAAAAATTGACCTGATTATGATCAAAGATCGGCGAATTAATATCCACTTTCTAAACACACGTGTCGGGCTATGTCTTCTGTCAGAGATCCATCATTTAACGACTGTCAAGTAGGCCAGACCCAGACCCATACCTGGGCCCGATAGTCCATAGTTCCATAGTCCATAGTCCATAGACCATAGACCATACGGACTAGGGAGGTATCTCAGATCTCCCCATCACCATCTTCCATCATCACCATCAATCTTCATTCCCTCTTTATCCGGTAAAGGCGCTCAGATCTCTTTGTTTTGTCATTTCTTCCCGCAAGGATCCCCATTATCTAGCAGGTATTATCCAGCTCCTTGCCCCTCCTTTCTCCTACGTTCCAACCAACCTCGCCGTTTTGGGGTTCCCTTTTCCGCCAATCTGTTTTCCCTTCCTTGGCATCTCCAATGTTCTCCTCGGCCGCTCCTCTGCTTATGATCTACGCACTTTTCACTCCATCCTACTAGACGCCTGGCAATGTAAGGGTTGCATCTACCATCTCCGACTTTTATCTGCTTGTCGACTATCCGGGGTTCTCTTTCTCAATCGACTGCCTCTCTGTTCCCCCTTTCCCCTTTTCGAACCTTCTGCGACCTCCCTCCTCGATTACCGCCCACTTGCTCGATTCTCAAGCTAGACGAACTTATTTCTTTTTCTTTCCTCGCTCTGCCACGAATTTGTCCCCATGTCAATCGGTCGTATTTCATGATCCCTACGCCGTATATCCTCCGAATTCGTGCATTACCGAACGGCTTCCAAGAATTCGGGTTGCCCCTTGAACTTCCTTTTCGAAGTACAAACAGTCGCTGTGGATAAATCGCTCGATATCTATAAGGTTATTGTCGGATGGGTCGCTTCAACCGGTTGCGCAGCAGGATCACCTAAGGACCCGACTCCCGTCGTCTTGTTTCAGCCATGCACTGGAAAGGGTTGCGACTCAGCGCTCTCGATAGCAATGACTCCAAGAGACGCAGTGTTGTCGAGCCTCAAGCACTCTCTCGCCATAGCGAACAATTGCCTCGATCGACTCCATCGGCAACCAACCTTGCATCCAGGCACTCGGAGTCCGCCCCTCGTTCACCTCTCTTAGCGGGACCAGACCACGATGACGAAAATGACCACGACGATCACGAGACCGGAGACAACGATAATAAACACTTGTCGGAAGGGCCAGCGGACGCTATTCGCTCAAGAAAGGGCAATGTGGGCGCAGCCTTGCTGCAGGACGATGCTTCTACCTGGCGCCGGAACCGGTTCAGTTTCATGAAACTCCGTCATGCGTCGGATCCCCAATTATCAAGGTCTTATGCCAAGGGGGAGGAGGGGACACCTCCCGTGCCTCCTTTACCGCGTGAGTATACATCCGGGTTACTACAGATTATATATATATATATTGTCGATCTACGTGTGCTAACTTTTGATCTCCGCCGCCTATTTCCAGCTCCCACGATCATCACCACCGCACCCACTAGCAATGAACTGGACCAACCCGTTAAGAAGAGACCCAAGTTCAAAATCCTCTCCGGATCGAAAAAGAGCTCGTCCGACGGATCACAAATGTATGCTCAGCGACAGAGTCCAGGTACCAGGTCTCATCATGGGGCCCAGGGCTCCAACGGGTCGCAGACAACCGATGCGACATTGTCAACGTCCAAGATGAGCGGGGAAGAACCAGGTCGTCTCTCGACTACGTCAATACGCAGTGGTGGCCGTGAGCCGGGCAACGAGTCCCAACGTTCTTCCGTCACCGACGCTCGCTTTTCCGAGTCATCCCGTTCGGATCAGAGTTCCGGAGACCATGGACTATACCGCCCCCATTCCCCGAACGACGGAACTTTAAGCGGAAGTAAACGTTTTCGCATGCCACGTTTGAAGAGGAATCGGGGTCCTCTATTTCCCTTGCCTCCTCGACCGGCTGGCAGTCAACCCATGAATGGCCATGGACAGGACTCGCAGATATCCAGGGCCATGAGTTCTGATCCCTCATCCAGCTTCGAGCCGCCGGATGAGAAGGATCAGGACCGCGTTTCTCCGCTCCCATCGCCCAGTCGTTCGACTGTCGGTCTTGCCTCCCCGGCTTTTCCTCTGCGCAGAAAGGACTCGGCTAACTCCGCCAATTCCGCCCTGTCAGCTACTTCCACTCGAAGTGGACATCGAATCAAACCACGACCAAGGTCATCGACGCTAGACTCGTTGGCTAATCTCCGCGATGCTGGCCAACAGTCACCCGCTCAATTCGCCTCGTCCGGCCGTACTTCGACTTCCACCAGTGGACGCAAAAGTTTCGGGGACATCTTCAGCATCTCGCACCGATTGAGGCAAAGTTCGGAATCTCCAGTTATGCGAAATGGCTCTCCCGGTGTGAGAGGCTCGGATACTCCTGTTCGCAAACTGTCCTACCCCGAACGCGAGGAGAATGACACACCAGCCACGTATCTGACGCGACTCGAAGAGAGCATACCCAAGAGCACGATCGCCGGCGTACTCTGTCAGTCGAATGAAGATTTCTACAAGACCGCATTGCGAAAGTATATGCGGAGATTCATTTTCTTTGGGGACCCGATCGATATGGCTATTCGAAAGCTTTTGATGGGCGCCGAGTTGCCCAAGGAGACCCAACAGATTGATCGCTTCCTGCAAAGTTTTGCCGACCGATATCATGAATGTAATCCTGGCATCTTTGCTTCTCCCGGTACGTTCATCCCATTATGCATCGTGGGGGCCGTTCATACTGAATTTTTCTCTCTACAGACCAAGCATATTTCATTGCATTTTCCATTTTGATTCTACACACCGATGTCTTTAACAAGAACAATAAGCGCAAGATGCAAAAGCCGGATTATGTTCGGAATACTCGTGGCGAAGGCGTATCTGATGACGTTTTGGAATGCATTTACGAGAACATCGCCTACACGCCCTTTATCCACATCGAAGATACACCCTCTCACAGTCGTCAGCTTGCAAAGCCTCGACGGCCCTTGTTCAAGACCCAGAGTTCAGAGCATTTGTCGCGCGTATCAAGGGAACCGGTGGACCCATACACGTTGATCATGGACGGCAAGCTCGACTCATTACGGCCGAGTCTCAAGGACGTCATGAACTTGGAAGACACGTATCGATGTCATGGGACGACAGGGCCACCGGACATCAACAGTCTCCATCAGGCCTTTTCGAAAACAGCTATTCTGCAGATCGTATCAGCCCGGTCGCGGCCGGATGCGTTCATGCCGGCTAGCATCCAGAACCCGGCCGAATCGAACCCTGGGTTGGTAGACATCAAAGTGGCCAAAGTTGGTCTGCTCTGGCGAAAAGACCCAAGGAAGAAGAGAGCCAGATCGCCGTGGCAAGAATGGGGCGCTCTGCTTACCTTCTCGCAGTTGTACTTCTTTCGAGACGTCAATTGGATCAAATCATTAATGTCCCAATATGAGTCTCATCAGAAGGAGGGGCGCCGCCGGGCGGTTGTATTCAAACCACCTCTCATCGAGTTCAAACCCGACGGCATCATGTCCATGGATGATGCGGTTGCGTTGGTGGATTCGGGCTACAAAAAGCATAAACACGCCTTCCTTTTCGTCCGCCATCACGCGTTGGAGGAGGTGTTTTTGGCCAATTCCGAAGACGACATGAACGACTGGCTGGCAAAAATCAATTACGCTGCTGCCTTCCGAAGCACGGGGGTCCGCACCAAAAGCATGATAGCTACCAATTACGACGCTCAGCGCCACAGAATGAGCCGCAAAGCCTCCGTGACGTCGTACAATTCACATCGCTCCGCAGACAGGGAACCTCCCTCTCCCAACCCCGATACCGACGTGGCCGAGGAATTGGTCACGGCTCGGAAGGAGCTCATGCGACAGAAGATCCGCGAGACGAACGAGAAGCTTTTCGTGAGCCAAAGGCAGCTTGACGACCTCCTGAGGAATGCGAGACACCTACAGGTATTAACGCCGGTCACCTCGAGGGCCAGGGAGCAGGTCATCATGGCCGCAGGGCGTATGGCGGCCAAGCTCAAGTGGGTGAGGCAGGATATCTGGCGTAACAAATGCTATCGGGAGGTTCTCCTCCAGGATCTGGGTACCGAGGATGAAGAGGCCAAGTTGCTTGCGGACCAGAAGTCACTTCATCTACAGATACCCACCAGAAACACCTCCACTTCGGAGCCAGGGGCCCTGCCCCAGCCGCCTGCCAACGCAGTGCAGTCCCCGAGTCTGGCTACGTCGCCGCAGTTGCCGTCCGACGAGTATGCGTCTGTTCATAGGGTCCCGTCGTCCCAAATTGCTGCTAGTGACATTCGCAGGCCAAGCATTCCGGTGTCGGTGACGTCCTCAGACCTTACTGGCCGTGCCGGTAGACGTTTGTCTGCGGACATGGGCAAAGACCGCGCCAAGTCGTATTCGCCAGGCCCGGCAGACCGGCTCGAACGCGAACCATCGGTGCTGAGCGCGGGCAGCAAGATAGATGTTGCCAGTCTAGGATCTCATGCCTCCAAATTGACCTCTCCGATCAGCATGGACGACGGCGAGGAGCGTATCCTCCGTGAGGCTGGTTTGTTAGAGGTGAACAGCTCCCCTCGCGGGACTAGACAGTCCGTCACAGCCCATGGGACGGACGGTGAACACAGGCGAAATAGCGCGGAGTCTCGCCCAGGAGAGCAGATAAGCCGGATTCGTCGCAGCCTTCACCGCACACTTCGTGATTCCCACCACGGACAACAAGGACATAGTGCTCGGGGTAAAAAGCAGCGGGACTCGGTGTCTAGCGAAGTGGTGCCCGAGGACGAGCAAATTACGAAGGAAGGCGAGGGTCTCTCTCGCAAGGCGCCGCAGTTCACTGTCCATGGGAAGAAGGCATCTATTGTCACTTTTGGATCTGAGTGGCAGAATATGACTCCCGAAGAGCGCCTCAGGCTGCGCAAACCTACTCCGTCCGAGGAGCCCCGCGCCTCTGACGCTGCGATTTCAAGCGGCGGCGATCCGAGTGTCTCGGAACCGATAAATCCAGGAATCTCCCAATCATTGCGAAGCGGAAGCACTGCAACAAGAATCAGCGTTCTCGATCGGGTCGAGAGCGACAGTTCCAGAGATGGGAATACCACCCCGAACCTGGAGGACAGGAAGGCCAAGAGCGACCCCACCATTGATCTAAGCTCTCGTCTTCCGGCCTCAGATGACGCTGATTCGTCCACCGCGGCTTTCCCGGGATCATTGGTATTGCCAAAAGATCAGCGATCGTCGCCTTCGACATCCGCTGACGAGGCAGCCGTCGACGAAACCACAATCCAAAAGCTGCAGTCGAGCCCAGCCGAGCAAGCTGTACATGCCTAAGAGCAACCAGAAGACCAATCACCTTCTTATTCATGACTTCATACCCAATCCATCTCCTTTTTTCGTTTCATTTGATTTTGGCGTCGTCTTACGGCGTTGGAGGGACCATTTCGGCCAAAATATTGCTTGAATTGTTCGCAGCGCTACCTGGGTAAGCTTCTGACATTCTCTCTTGCCTCTCTTTCTCCTTCTCTCTCCTTTTCTATTGCTTTGAGCCGGCTTCAGGGAGTTCACACAAGCGGTCCTCGCACTATTATTTCCTTTTTTCATATGCTTCGGTTGTAGCCCAGTAGGGCAACAGGGTCGGTTGGTCTGCTCTGTTTGTATGGCTGTTGGTCTACGGATTTACATGGGAAGGCAGCATTTTGACAGGTATCTGAAAATTCATAGCATGTCATCTCGAAGGAGAAATTACAGTATACAGTTACATTGCTACTCTTGAGATGCTATTTGTAGTCGACTGCGGGCGACCCTATTGAAGCCCATCTCATGATTCCCTAGAACTATATAGACAAAAGAATAGGAAATCCTTTATCTAGTCTATTCTATTGTTCATGTCATTCACATCTCTCCATGCATCCATCACTGTTGGACAGTATGCGACGGACCCGCTTGCAGCATGAGCACAGCACGCCTTCACAGCAACTGTGCTTCTCGGCGTCGTCGTCGTCGTCGTCGTCGTCGTTGACCCCTCGTTATGATTTCTGTTATTGCGTTCGTCTCTTGTCTTCTCCTTCCATCGTCTTTCTATCATTCAGACTTTCCATCTTCATCTCATTCATTCTGGACTCTTTCATCTCATCTCATCTCATCTTTGCAGTTGAGTTGAGTTGATAGTCAGGCTAGGCTTCAGCAGTCATTTGCTCATTCTAAGTCTGATTCCAAGTAAAGAAGAGAGCTATAACAGAACACAATCAGAAGAAAGAGAGTAAGTGAGTGAGTGAGTGGCAACCTCAAAGACACTGAAGGTCTGACTTGCTGATTATCTACCGTGCATAGTTCATTCTCATCTGTATCTTCCATTTCGGTTGCTTGATTGGTCTTAGTTGGTGAAAGTGAAAGTAAAAGAGGGAAACGGGAAAACACGGTAGGGAGTCTCTTTTCATTCATCCTGAAATAGTTCCTGAAAAGAAGTTCATGGCTGACTGGGTACTCCACAGGTACTGTTCTACAAGGGATGTCTTTAGGTCTTGCACAGTCACGTGAGGAGGTGTCCTGCAGTGTGATGATTAGAGATCATGCTCGTGCTGGTGGGCAGCTCTACTCATATTCAGATGATTGAATACTAATTTTGATGTCTAGGAGGTGAAGTGGTAGAGGGAGAGGTACAGGGACAGGGACAGGAGCAGGAACAGGTAGAGGTGCACCGTCCGCTGCTTGCGCTGCCTGCTCCCCCTCCGTCCCCGCCGCCACGGTCCAGTCGTCGGCCAGTTCTCGTCCCTGTTGGCGGGGATCCCGATGAGATGCTCTACAGGCGTACGTATGAGAAGAAAACTCAGAGCAAGTACATCGACGAGTCAATCGGCTATGGTCTGTTTGCCACCGGGCGCATCCCTGCCGGGGAGGTCGTTTTCGCGGATAAAGTCGTCTGGCTTGCGGGCGCGGAGGCCCAGCGCTGGAAGAACGCCAAGGCAGCTGACGACCTCGTTGCTGAGAAGGTCCGCGCGATGGGCGAGGAGTGGCACCGGGGTTTCCTGGGCCTGCCGAATCCGCAGCCCAAGGGTTCGTCCGGGGGTCCGTATGCTCAGATCTGGAAGAGGTATCATATGATTGCTTTGCAGCCGGAGAATACAAAGGTGTTGGCGCTGGGGCTGAATCTGGCGTTTGTGAACCATTCGTGCATTCCGAATGCGTCTCTCTACTATACATTGCGGTATCCGAGAGATGAGAACGGGGAGGAGGATAAGAGCTTGCCGCCGAAGATTGGGCGGGCAGTGGTGCGGGCGTCCAGGGATATCAAGCCCGGCGAGGAGATCACTGTTGCTTACTTCTACGCCAAGGGAGAGTGCGGAGTACGCCAGTTGATGTCCAGTATGTACTGCAAGTTCTGGTGCGTGTGTCCGTTCTGCCGAGACCCGGTCCGCGAGACGGAGAAAGCTCTGGAGAAGCTCTACACTCTCGAGACCATCTTCGAAGACGCAGATACCATTTATAAACGGCCCGCAGTGGTGTTCAAGAACGCCTACGAGCTGATTAAGCTGTACGAGCGGCTCAAGATCAGCGACACGCGCGAGGTCCAGGTCTGGCTCTACTGCGCGCTGATTGCGGGATTCAACTGCGATCTCGGCCGGGCTATGCTCTTCTTGATCAAGGCACGCAGCTTGGTTCTGAGTCTCCACGGTCCCAACGGTCATCTGTACGACAGAATCAGGGTCTATTGCCAGATGCCTCCTCTCATGCCGGGCTTCGGAGCTACAAACCGCGGCCGATCAGCCGTGAAACAGTGCTATTTCATGTTTGCCGATCAGAAGCACTCTGCAGATGTCTTGTTCATGCTCGCGGCGAAGCCGGACGAGTACATCCGACTGCACCGCTACCGTCGTATTCCTGACAGCCTGGCAAAGCCGGGAGAGAGCAGATACCTCATCCGCTACGACGCGCAGGATGCGAGGCGAAAGAAATTCGAGGACGAGGAACCAGACCCTGTTGAGTTCATACCATGGTGGTATGATCCTGAGGTGAGGAAACAGATAATCGAGGAGAAAAAGGCAAAGGAGGCAGAGAGAAAGGAAGAGAGAAAGAAGGCGGCCAGGAAGAAGAAGAAGAAGAGGGAGGAACAAGCGGCTAAGGAGACTACGAATACGAATCCGGACTGCATCGAGCCAGAAAAGGATTTTCTGGATGTCTGCCGCGAGTTGGCGGCCGAATTTGAGGCTCACGACAAGGAGAAGCCAAAACGGCAGCAGCGGGAATTCAGAGAGCAAGACAGGGAAGCTCTGCGACACCTACTAGGCGCAAAGAACGAACCGAAGAGGCGAGCTGACGAGGAAGACGAAGTGGAAGCAAACAGGAGCATGAGAGGCTTGGCGGACCATGGACCCAGGTGTCTACTCACGAGCACGAGTCGGTGCCAACGCAGCCTGCTGTGCACGAGGTGGTAGCCAGAAAGAGAGTGGTGCTCGAAACGCCTCCTGTTCTGCCGGAGATAGAGAAGTTTGCTCCTATTGAGCCTTCGTAACTCCGTTCCTCTCACATGTTGGAGTATTGAGCAATTCTTGACGGGAATTTAACGATGGAAAGCTGGAATGGAGATGAAGGTGGAGTGACGGCGAGAAGAGGTGGACGACGGATCAATGATTATGTCATGTCACGCTTTATCTAAGTCGATCATCTCCAGAGCTTCGTTTCTTTCAAGTCCCCAACCTTTTCCTTCAACTTTTAAATGCGTTTGGTCTTTCAATCCAGCCAGATGCTGTTTCTTCTTGTCTGTGTATAACTAAACTACTTTTAAAAAATACATACTCCTGTCTCATCGAGTCCCGCCCGTAACACCACCCTACCCGAGATAAATGCGCCAATAAACCATCACCACAACCCAAAATGGCGCACTCGAAACGAAACACCTCTCTTCCCCATTTTACCTCCTACGAACGGGGCCTCCTCCGCTCAACCTGGGGCACCAAGCGCGGCGTCATCAGCCGCGACTCCTTCCTCCCCTTTGGCTCCTGTCGACTCTGCCTGCAGCCAGCCCGAACCCCCGTCGCCTGCGCCACAAACGGCGATCTCTTCTGTCGCGAATGCGCCATCAACGACCTCCTCGCGCAACGGCAGGAGATTAAGCGTCTCGAGCGAGAACGCGAGGAGGCCCGGAAGCGCCTGGCCGAGGACGAAGAGCGAGCGCTCGAGGATGCGCGGCGAAGGGAACTGCGCGAGTTTGAGCTCGTGAGTATGGGGCTGGAGGCGGCGAAGCATGATCACGCGAAGGGGACTGGCGGCGGCGGCGGCGGCGGCGGGGATAATCGGCGGAAGCGCAAGGCGGAGGAGACGGAGGAGGCATTGGCGGCGTTCAAGGCGCGCGAGATTGAGGTCGACGGGAAGCGGAAGAAGATCTTTGAGCTGGATGAGAAGGAGATGGCTCGGATTGCGCGGGAGGAACAGGAGCGGTTGAAGCGGGAGCTGAAGCGGGAGAAGGTGCTTCTCGCAAGTGACTCTGTGGTATACATTTTGGGCTAACTGGTGGGCAGTCTGAGTCGAGCAAATCCGCGCTCCCTTCGTTCTGGGTCCCGTCGCTCACGCCATCGACCGATCCCAATGAAATCGCCGCTAACAAGGCCGTCAAGATGACGCCCATCTGTCCGGGGTCGACGGACGAGAACCGCCATGCCTATTCGCTCAAATCGCTGGTCGATGTGCATTTTACGGAGGAGAAGGCGGCGGACGGCACCGTCTCGCGGATCTGTCCCAGCTGCAAGAAGAACCTGAGTAACGGGCTCAAGGCTATGTGTAAGATGTTTTTGTCCTACTACAAGCGCTCGTGTCTCAGTTCGGCTAACAGATTAGTGGCGAAACCCTGTGGTCATGTTATCTGCCAACCGTGCGTCGCCAAGTTCATGACGCCGCATGATGTCCCCGATCCCCATGCCAGCAAGGAGGAACAAGAGCGGACGGCGAAACTACACGGTTTGGTTCTCTGCTACGTGTGTGAGGCGGACATTACGCCGCGGGATCCCAAGGCCGAAGCTTTGGAGAATGGAACTGAAAAGGGGAACGGGAAGAAGTCGAAGAAGAAGGATAAGGAGCAGGGGATTCGACCGGGGTTGGTGCAGGTCAGCTCGGAGGGGACCGGGTTTGCAGGGGCAGGAGGAAATGTAGCGATGAAGGCTGGGGTTGCCTTTCAATGTTAAGAATTGGCGCATCCGCGGAGTTTTGAGGTTTTGGTATGTACTTGTGAAAAATGTATTCCAGTAGCAGTTACTTGACTAGTTGACTAGACTAGATGATCTATGAGATGAAGGCCATGTCCCAATGCACGCCCAACGCCAGACAAAATGAGAACGAATATAGGTACACCCGAAAGAACATGGAGTAATTGTATTACATGAACACTTGGTCCGGCAGAGTCTAGGCCGCTCCCTTCTTGGCGTTGTTGAATTCGCGCACAACGATATCGCACCGGATCTCCTGGCAGAGCCGCTTGCGACGGCTAACATCCAGCTTGGAAGCAAACTCCAACCCACTAGCCCGCTCCAACACCTCCAGCGGCACCTCGAACTCAGCCAGACGCTTGTCGTTGGGGATCCGGGCATTGGGGAGCACAAACGCACCCAGCGAGACCTTGCTGGTCGGGCTGGCCGTTCCGTCCTCGGCGTAGATGACCTTGTAGAAGTGCGTCGGCACAGCCACGTTGGGCGGGTTTCCAATCACTTCGTATGAGACACGCCACTTGCCGTCCGGGTCGCGATGGGGCAGGTACAAGGGGCCTGTCACGATGCGGACGGAGGGGTATTTCTTGGTCAGATCGCGGCAGAACTCCTCAAAGTGCGCCCAGTAGTCGCGGTTGAAGCCCTCGCCGACCTGGGGGCACATGTTGGTAAGCGCAAAGGTGCCGTCCATTGCGTCCTGGGACCATTTGGCGTCGGCGGCGGGCACCTGGTGGCCGCGGTCATAGCCGGAGCGGAAGTAGTCGGCCAGTTTGGCGCGGAAGATGGCGGGGATGCTGGCGTCTTCGACGAAGGCGCTGTGTTTCCGGTCGGCATTCTTCAGCGAGAGCGAGTACGGCGTGATGTGCTCGGCGACCCAGGCGGGATTGCGTGTGCGACGGTCGTAGGCGCCGGTCAAGGGCAGAGAGGTGATGGTATCGGCGATGGGACCGGGGAAGCCATACTGGTAGATACCGGCAGGATCGACCGGGGAGCCGCCTGAGGGTTTACTGGCGGGAGTCTTGGCCAGAGAGGGAGGAGGAATGGTCGCGGGAGGAGAGATTGTAGCTGATTGGGACGGAGGAGGGGGAGGAGGGAGCTGTTGTTGTTGTTGTTGTTGTTGCTGCGGTTGAGGTCGAGAGGATGAGGAGTAAAGGAGAGCGGTGATACCAGCACCAGTAGCTGCACTGGCGGCAGCGATGGCCGCAATAGTGGCTTTCGACATGATGGATTTGAATTGAAGGGAGATATAAACAGATAAAAAGACCCGTTGGACCGAGTCAAGGAGGTAGAAAGAAGTAGACAGTGAAGGCGGAGTTAAGAGAGAGAAAAAGAAAATATTGCCGAAGAAAGCAAAGATGAAGCCAAAGTCGCAGCCAATCAGAGAGCACAGAGATGGCTGGTCAATAACACAGTAGGTACAGTATGAGTAGGGAGTAAGTATCTAAGAGGGAGAAATTGACAAGCAGCTACCTTGGCTATATAGGAACAAAATCAGTACTGAAGGAACTGTAAAAGAGTAGATGGTCATCTGCTTGAATGTTATGTTCTGCTGACATCTCCGAGTATTTTTTTAGTAGGGGAGATATGGTATGAACCCTGCACTTGGAGATAATGGCTGTTCAGAGCAAACTATATAAGCCAGCCTATTGACAGAACTCTGCATGAATTCTTACCAACTCCATCGTGAGACATAATATGCCATCAGTTTCATGATGGGAATCCAAGCGCCCTTCCGCCTGTTAAGATGGCGGTGACAGTGCGGACCTTGGGAGCAAGACGGCGGCGGTATTTATAATGTGTGAGCGTCACTCGGACTCGAGGAATGCTCTAAGTATTGTTTGTTCCAAGGGGATGATCATCGACAAGATGGATTTATCGGATTTATCCTGTTGACAACAACTTCTGAATATCTGAACATATGTGATTATACAAAGAGAGGAGAAAAGTGGTTCCTGCCATTGTCATTATTGTCACTCATTCCGGATATTCTCGTGACATCACTGTCTTCCATCCGCCTTCTTTGCCCTTTCAGTACTGCTACTGCTACTGCTACTGCTACTGCTACTGCTATTGCTCCTTCACCCTCAGCCCATCATGGCTGCCAATAATGACCTCCGAGGATGGCTGATGAGCGGGGTCTCTGGCATAGGTAAGCTCTTCAGAACCAACTGCGACAATCCCAATCTGATTCATCAAAGCCTGTGTCCTTGGTTCGTCCCTCATCTGCATCGATGTTATACTGCGGCGATTCTCTCGTCGCAAGAACTTCCAAATTGTCAACAGCAATGGCTTCTTATCAGCCTCTCTATGCTTGAGCGCCGGTGTTATGGTACCTTTACTCCATTGCCCCATTTTATGCGTGCAGTACTAATCCTGTAGCTCTTTACCTCCCTCTATAGCATGCTCCCCACCTCGAAGGAATACCTCACTCGTGCTGGATTCTCGCCCCGCACGGCGGCCTACACTCTGATCGGACTCTTTCTGACTGGCGTGATTGTTATTCGACTTGTTTCTGCTTTCATTCACCAGCATATTCCCTCTCATGTCGTCGATTGCGCCCATACTCACCAACCAAAAACCCAAGATCCCGAACGCGGCGACCTTGGACGGCAAGAACAGCCGGCGTCCGCTCTGCGCCAGGCAAATGGCTCTACCGAACGGACGCCTCTCCTGTTACAATCAACGTCGCCTTCTCGCAAGTCCATGCCGGGTGCCGTTGAGCGACCGGCGCTCGAACCTCTGCGGTCCCGGTTGACTCGTCGCATCAATCAGCTCATGGGTGGCGTCAAACCCCGCTGTGACGAATACGGCCCGTGCTATGGTTTCTCGCAGACGTGCGGTCTTGAATGTTCCAAGATTCTCACTAACACACAGATGATTAGCGTCGTCGAGGAGATATCTCGGCCTTCCTTAACCACGCATCACAGCATTGGTGTCCAGCTGGACTCGGAACGCGCAGGATCTGCTGAAGGTGCTGGCCCAGGGTTGCTCGCCCAGTCGCATGATTCGATAGAAGCCTTCTCGGGACCATTGGATGCCGGTAACTCCCAGGAAGACCAAAGCGGCGCATCCTCCTTGCGGACAGGTCTTGAAGTCTATTCCCACAAATCTCCAGAAGACCAAAACGATTCGACCAAAGCTCCACGGCCCACATCGGCGCAACACCACCACCACGTCCCCCAGAATGCCTTTCTCTCTATCGGACTCCAGACTTCGTTGGCTATTGCCCTCCATAAGCTCCCAGAGGGCTTCATCACATACGCTACCAATCACGCCAGCCCCACGCTCGGCATGACCGTCTTCGTTGCCCTCTTCATCCACAATATCAGCGAAGGCTTCGCCATGGCCCTGCCGCTCTATCTCGCGCTCAATTCCCGCTGGAAAGCCATGTTCTGGTCCAGCTTACTTGGCGGAATCAGCCAGCCCGCCGGCGCCGCCCTCGCCGCTCTTTGGATCTGGGGCGCACAGAAAGCCGGCCACCACGATGAGACTACCGGGCCCTCTTGGGGTGTTTATGGTGGCATGTTCGCTGCCACCGCCGGCATCATGACCTCCGTTGGCCTGCAGCTTTTCAGTGAAGGGCTGGGATTGACGCATCATCGCGGGTTCGGGGTTGGATTCGCCATCGCTGGGATGGGGTTAATGGGGCTGAGTTTTGCGCTGACTGCGTGAGTCTACTCCGTACTTTCGGGTTTATTAAGGCGTTGAGGTTCAATCTCTTTTCCTTCAAAAGTAAATGTCCGTTGTGCATTGTGCATGGTTGCACCGGGGAGGTTGCATCAGTATAAATCGGGGTATATGAAAATAGGGCGGGTATTGTTATTATTGTTTTCCTGACGACTGTCTATCTGCATTACGAGTTACGACTGTTTTGATTTATCAATGGTTAGTGTATTATAGAGCATGCGTAATTATATACAGTCTAATCATGCTTCACTTGGTGTGTCTTGCTCTCCCGCCAATATATATATATCCGTCCAGCGAGTATATTTTCGACAGGTCTTGGATGGTACTGCGATAGATTTAGTAAGTTAATTTCTCACAAGTCAAGGTATACTACATAGAAATTTATAATAATATATCCAACGCCATAAATGCACAGCTAACTCCAAGGACCTGATCAAGGCGGATGCAAAGAAATATACACGAACAAGCGAGGTTTACGACCCCTTCTTGGCCGCCTCTTCTCGCTCCCTCTTTCTCGCCAGATATCGCTCCTTCGCGCTCATCACATCGGTTTCCGTCTTGCGAGTACGCGTGCGCTCCGCGATCTCCCGCTGTCGCGCGGCCTCGGCCTCGGCCTCCTGTCGGGCCTTCTCCTCCAGCTGCTGCGCAACCATCTCCGTCTGGCGGGCGCGCTGGCTCGTACGCGCCGCGTGGTGCCCCGAGTCGAAGCGCGACTTGTTCGCAGCCGCGCGAGCAGCAGCCGCAGCGGCGCTCGCCGAGGCGGACGGCTTGGGCTTGGGCGCGACGTTCAGCCCGGCGGACAGCAGCTGCCGCTTGTCGACGATCTCGCCCTCGTCGTTGATGGCGACATGCGCGCCCTTGGCGTTGAGCTCCGCGGCGATCTGCGCCTCCGTCTTTTCCTTGTTTGCTTCCGCTTCTGCTTCCGCGGTCGCTTCGTCGGCTGGGATCTCGCCCGCCTGCACCCGTCGCGCGGCCTCCTCCGCCGCCCTGACGACTTCCTCGTGCCGCTGCTCGTCCCGCGATAGCATGTCCCGGTAGAACCCGACCATCCCCGTCCCGCCGTTCTGCTTCCGCCGCTCCTCCTCCTGCCGTTCCCGCTCTGCTTCTTCCTGCTCGATCCGCCGCAGCTCCTCCTGCTGCGCCTTGTACGCGGACGTCACGAACTTCTCCTTGTCGGCGAACTCGTCGCCCTCCGCCTCGCGCTCCTTGGCGAGGAGTCTGTCCCGCGCGCGCAGCTGGTCCCGCTTCCGGATCTCTGCGCTGCGCAGTAGCGAGGTCATGTACCGTGGCCCGTCGCTCTTGCCGTCCGGGGAGGCGGCTTTGGCTTTGTCGGCTTTGGCGGCGTGCAAACTGTCGTAGATAGCGTCGTAGGAGTAGATGGTGGGGTCGAGCTGTTGGGCGTCCTCGGCGTGTTTCTTGCTGCTGCGGAGGGCCGAGAGGTTCGTGAACTCGGTGCTAGGTGGGGCACTGGGTTTGTTTTTGGCGGGGTTGAGGCCCAGGGGCATCGCTTGTGGTTCTTGCTCCTCTTCCTCGTCGGCGAAGATGGAGCTCTTGTTTAGGGGTTTGATGTTGGGTTTGCCGGTTGGGGGCCGGCCGGCGGTTTGCGTTTCGCGGGCGGTTCTGTGGTTTGTCGGTCCTTGGTGGACGGTCTGGGTGGTTCTTCGAGACCTCCGATTGTGGTTATTTCGATGGGACCGTCGCCGTCGCCGTCGCCTGCATTGTTCTGGTTGTCGCCTTCGGAGTCGGAGTCGAAGATCGTCTTCTTGCGTTTTTGTGAACCTGGCGGTCCGAGTTTCGAGGTTGGGGTTTTTTGCTGGGGAGGTTGAGCCCGTAGGACAGCTTCGGAGGGGGCATGGTGCTAGTAGACGGAGGCTGTAAGGCCTGACCCCAATTCGTGCAGTAAGATATAGCAACCTATAGTGAAGGTGAAGATAAGTTACGGTAAATTAGTTTGAAGGAGATGAGTTCATCAGATGGTTATCTTATCAGCCACGTGACTCAATCATCTCCACCAAACAAACGGACCCATGTCCGCTGTTATTTACCTGTACTTGCGGAGTGCACGACTATTTCCCTCTTGAAGTGACTACCTCTGTTCCAAAAAAAAATGTCATACTACTTCACCATCCTCTCCCCCACCGACGCCCCCTATTCAACATCGCCTTCGGCACGTCCAAAGGCGGCGGAGATGGCATCGCCCGATTCCGCTTCCCAGACACAGCGCAATACATGAACCAGTTCATCATCCACTCGAGTTTGGACATCGTCGAGGAAGCACAATGGATGAATGGCAATATGTAACTGCCCGCCGCATTCCAATTTTTGTGGAGGTTGCAACTGAAATGCTAATGTGAAATGTTGCAGGTATCTCAAACTCATCGACACCTACCCCCCGCCTCGGCGTATATCTCCGCGTTCCTCACACCCTCCGGAACAAGATTCCTGCTCCTGCACCAGCCGCCTCAGCTTCCTTCGACGGGGACTGCGGGGTCCGGCTCGTCGCTGCTCGGCTCGTCCTTCTCCGTTGGTGGCGGGAGCTCGTCCCGTGCGTCGAGTAGCTCGATCGCGGCGAATCCGACCTCGCCGCAGACGGAGGAGGCCGTGCGGCAGTTCATGAACGAGGTGTATGAGAATTATGTCAAGACGGCCATGAGTCCGTTTTATCGGCAGGGGATGGAGATCCGGAGTCCGGCGTTTCGGGCCAGGGTTGTGGCTGCGGGGAAGAAGTGGCTGTGATTCTTTGTTCTGCCCTTTTACGGTTGATACATTTTACGTTGCTGAGCGTGGCGTTGGGGTGTGGCTTATTCTACTGCTATGGACTTGCATTGAAAGATGCGTCGAAAGTGCATAGGTTCAACTCGTGTATTATTGGATGCCTATTAACCTCTGCGCCGTGTACCAATGCAGAGTATCCCCTATTGTTGCTCTGTTTTCAAAAATCTTGCTTGCATCGACCAAGGGGAATTTTGGCATGCAATAATAAGCTCGCTAATGTTCAAAGGATGGAGCATGTCCTGCAAGATGAATGAACGAAAAGTAGGTCTCCCAAATGTATGCGAAATGGGGACTGAAAAGCAAGAAAAGATATGTCGCTGTCGCTGTCGCTGTTTCCAAGACCAACAGAACGCCTCCCCAAGATTACTCCGACCCACTTCATGTCGTCATTTGAGGGGCCAGCTTCTTTACAGTGCTGTTTTTGAAATTCTCCACCGCATGGATCACGTCGTCTGCTTTGGCCACGGCGCCGAAAATGCCGCCTTCCATCTTGACGGATTCGAGCGTGCTCACATGGAGGGACGGCTCGCCCGCGGCAGTGCAGTCTTCCAGGACGACGCAGTCGAAGCCTTTGTCGTTCGCCTCCCGCATCGTCGTTGACACACAGACATCCGTGGTGACACCTGCAATGACCAGATTCTTGATGCCTTTGTTTCGGAGCAGGAGCTCAAAGTCGGTGTACGAAAACGCACTTTTACCCGGCTTGTCGATGACCGGCTCCTCGGGCAGCGGATACAGTTCGTCGACGATGTCGTGTCCGACTTCCCCGCGTATCAACAAACGTCCCAATGGCCCTTGGGAGCCAATTCCCATGCCAGATGCATTGTTCCGCGACCGAAACGCCTCTCTATTTGAGAGAGTTGATAGATCAGGCCGATGACCTTTACAGCAACGTCAATCAGAGTCCACCAAGACTAGAGTATCAGGGGGTTTACCTTCACGAGTGTGGTAAACAGGAAATCCGGCAGTACGGAATGTATTCAGTACCTGCTGCAGTTTGGGTATGAGACTCTGTGCTGCTGAAATATCGTAACCTTGGTATTCCATGTAACCGCCAGGCGAACAAACTGCGATGACCGTCAGTGATGAGCATTCAGGCCCAAGCGCCATATGGCCATGATGGATTACATACAATCCTTCTGCATATCGATGATGACTAAAGCAGTCGTATATGGTGTTAGAGTCGCATCATGCGGCCAATCATAGGGAACCGCTGGAATCTGGCCCTTTCGAACCTTATGCTGCGGTACTGGTCGCGGCTTCTCGACGATAGGCCCATGATTGTGAGTTGGATTTAACACTGTCAACGTCCAGATGCCAGGAGTACCAGCTGCGACCAGCATAAACGGACAGTCCATCAAACGAGATGTTCGTCGTCGCTTTCTCGTCTCCTCTGTGAGCCCGTTTCGGGGCCGATAATGGCCTCCCCGATCGCATCGGAGCCACACTTTAGCTGTGCGTCCGGGCTTCTTCTCGGTAGGAGTACTGGATGACTTGACCACAACATTGTATCCATGAGCTTTGCTGTGAGCTTGCACTGCTGCAAGAAGAGTGGCTCTTTACATGTAGGGAAGGATATGAGTAGCGGTCCAAGCAATGTATCTAGAATTGGGTGACAAAAAGGGTGGCTCGCATAATTTCACGCATACTTACTTATCGGGATATGTTCCTTCTGGAGGAGGCACAAGCTGCATGGACATATCTGGGATATCTTGAAGATCGCTAGGCGCGTCGAGATTCAGATCGGTGGGGTCCGCCATCGCAACAAGTCGTGTGGATCTTCGCGGGAAAGGCAAGACCTGAAGAGCGCCATATTAGCATCATAGGTCCATGGTGACCCGTCACCAAGCTCTGTTTGGGAGAGAAAAACGGAATGAAAGATCAATGGCCATTTCAGATCGACCTGATGGTTAGCTGTTTATCGATTTCCATGTGCGTGGAAGCAACTTTCCGGTCTACTGTGAGTAGTATGATGTGCGTGGATATAACACGATCTACCACCCTAGCTTGGAGACAACGCCGAAGTTGAAGGAGTAAGGAGGGAAGAAGTACCCGTAAGAGTCCGATAGGAGGGAAAAACAAGCAGAGAGGGAAAACAAGTGGACAATAGCAACTTACCGGGCCAAAATCAGGGAATATAACTGGGAAGTGGGAATCAAGCAACAATAAACTCTAGATCACTTTCTTGTTGCCCCAGACTTCCACTGCCCATGAGGCATGCCCCAGAGCAGTCACTGACCTTTGATCGTCGGAATACGCACATCGCGGGCGGTGGAAATCGAGCTGAAGGACGAGACCAGTACTAGACCTAGAGTGGCCTAGTACTGTTTTTATGCGGTGGTAACATACAGTACTTGTTACACTACCGCTACTGATTATATTACCTTACCATGTGACAGTTGGCGTCAGGTACCAAGCCTTGTACCTTTTGTACCTAACTGGTACCTAGGTACTGCCAACTACTGCGGACACTATGAGCACCCAAAGTACTTAGGTACCTAAAGTACTCTTAAGCGGTATGCTAGTGCTTAATCCAATTGGTGAGGTTGTTTTGTTCCCGTGGACACGGCACTATCTATCTCTCTAGTCTCTACGCTGGATAACATCACCGTCACAATCACAAACCTCCCCCAAAACATTCATCCATGTTTCGACCAGCCCCCTCTGAGAGGGTTCTGCAAAGGTAAGTTTGGATCTTCTCGGTCTTCAACTTCTGTTAGTCTGGTATTGTTTTCTCTTCTTCATTTTCTATTTTCCTTCTTTGTTTCCATCACCTCTCGAGTCCCTGTTATCGCCCCCGATCAACTGCGACACCGCCTCCGCGAGGGGTCCCCTCCACCGGTTCACGCACGGTTGTTGATACTATTCGCGGCGTGCATGAACTCGGTTTCCAGCCGTTTCGTGGCGACACTCTCACTGCTTGTCAAGTCACTGCTTGAAAGTGAGTCGTTGCTTCGCTCTTGTGCACGACCTTCGTGTCCGTCTTCGGTCATACCGCCCCCCTGGTATCGGAATAATGCCCTCGGCCGATGGTTCTTCCTCTGCTCGCCCCAACGGTACCAGCTCCCGGTCGGATCAGCTTGCATGGTATAAGTCTCAGTATGAGCAATTAGAGGCGGAGCTAGCGGACTTCCAGGCCTCCAGCCGTGAGCTGGAGGCGGAGCTGGAAAAGGATATCGAGGCATCTGAGAAGCGGGAACGGTTGTTGAAGGAGAAGGTGGATAGCTTGAAATATGAGGTCGAGGAGTGGAAGGTCAGATCGGAGTTCACCTTCATTGCTGATGATGGACCGAGGGCTAATCTGTTGACTTCCTCGGCAGACCAAGTACAAGCAATCCAAGTCGGAGGGCAACTCGGCCCAGAACACGTTACAGAAAGAGATCACGACTTTGAGGGATGCAAACCGGACGCTACAGCTGAAATTGCGAGATATCGAGGTCGCAAACGATGATTATGAACGTCAAGCCCGGCATACGACTTCCTCCCTGGAGGATCTGGAGTCCAAGTACAACGTCGCCATCGAACGAGCAGTCTTATTGGAAGAGGAAATTAGAACCGGCGAGCAGGAACGGGAAAACTTGCGCATCGAGAATCAGCGTCTGCGAGACGAGCTCTCGGATCTGAAGATCGAAACGGAAATCATCCACGAAAAGCTCCGGAATGCAGAACTGCAAAACAGCCGACGCAGGAAGCTTATCTCGTTGCGCAGTCCATCAACACCACAGTCACCGGATCTCTTCAATCGTTCTCCTGCTTCATCCATAGTTTCCTCGCCTTTATTCTCGACTCCTACATTGAAAACCTCGCTCATGTCCGCCACGGCGACGCCTCCGTCACCGCCGATATCCGAGTCGTCGAGCAGTCTGCGCAAGTCAATGAATGCTATGCCCGGTTTTCCTCTTCAGAAGGCCTCGGCTTCTGACGCGTCATTTGGCAGCCGGTCGCTGCATGGGTCTAGGACTCAGAAATATAACAACCACTCGCGCGCAACCTCCTACGCTTTTACGAATAACCGCCCCACTCCGTCAGCTACGAATCGGCCCAGCTTGCCCAAGCCGAAGCCCAAGCCCAATGAGAACACCAACAAGAATAACAATAATGCCCGGTCGTCTGGGCTACCGAAGTCGGGTTCACTGTATCAAATTCGTGGACTCATTGGCAAGATGCAGAAGCTCGAGGAGAGAGTCCAATCTGCAAAATCCAAACTGCCACCACCGTCGGATTCACCGTCTCGTACGTCTTCTCGTTCGGGATCGATACTGGCCGAGAGTCCGGTTGCATCTACAATAACAGCCCGAAGAAACTCGCGCAAACGGCTGAGCGGAAGTAGTTTTAGCTCGTCTGTCCGAGACGGTGATAGTGTGCCTTCTTATGCTCCGCACAGTCGACCGTCCTTTGGTGCTAGGACGCAGGGGGATAGTCGCCCAAGCAGTCGCACTAGTTACTCGAGCCACAGCTCTGTCAGTCACAGTACACATCCGAGCGTGACTCCATCGACACGCCCTGAGAGCCGCCAGAGTCGGACGAAGACACCGCTGGGGCACTACTCGACCAACCCGACCACAGAGAGCCGTCGACCACGATCCTCGCTCAGTAACCCCTCTAATCCGAATGGAACCGTCAATGGGATGGCCCATATTGACGAGGACGAGGACCTTGCTATGCATATGTCTTTACGGGCCAGGATCAGCGAGATCCGCGAGACTCGGCTTCCGTCCATCTCCACGCCGACTGGACTTAAGAAAAGAACCCCAAGCGGGATCTCTGGTATCCCAGCGCCTCGAACATTGAGAACCAGCACTGGCTTTGACCGGTTGGAAGGCGACATGGGGCCACCAGAGCGAAAATCCGAGATTACTGATCTTGGAGAAACTTATTAAATTGACCTACTCGGATCTCCCGGCGGTACTCGAACGATGTTATCCGTCCGGTGCATTGAAGTTGACCCACTTTAGAAGGGGTTCCTCCTGAACCAATTCGTTTCGTTTATCCTACATTTACATACATAATACCCTCAAGACCTTAATGTTCGAAGGTGCGGTCTAGATTGGAGCATTGGCGTCCCTTGGAAGCTTTCGGCTGGGACGCTAGAAGATTGATCATAGATGAGGGATTACCTTTGTTGGAGTGTTCTCTTCTCTGCTAGTCCCTTGTTAAAGGATAGTCACTGATTTGTACAGTTTGTCCGGGTGGATGGCGGAGTTGGGATCGCATCTGATAGCGCATTTCTTTCACATGCTCGCAGAAGCCGTTGCGGTGCCCTGCAACGGCACTGTTGGCGTCCAAGCTGTTTCTCAGCACTACTTTCCTTGGAGATTTCGTTTCATGTTACTACTTATTGTTGCCTTTGGCGTTAGAGAATACCCAGCGACAGTTCGTTACATATTCTTTGGAGCTTTTCGTAGCAGATCAGGGGTCTGGGTCAGCGACATAATCGTCCAGTTGCTTGTGGAGAAGTAGCGACTTTCAAAAGGGACGGTACGTCAGCGGGCGCCACCTAGCAACCTAGATACTAGGTACGCTGTGCCCGGCGCTGTACCAAAGTATGGCAGTCGATCGATCAGTTTGATAGATAGAAGATCGGCCTCTCAAGGCATTCTTCAATGCAAACTCGCCGTGAACTACGTTTGTATTTCGGGAGTAACCTCCGAATATCACCAAAACTGAGATGCTTTGTAGCATACTCGTTAAACCTGACTCAAAATCGACTAAATGCCTGTCCTCGTATAAGAGATCCCTGTGGAAACTAAGAGAGGTAACTAGATTGAAAAGTGCCCTGTCCTTTCGGACCGAACACACATTAACGGGAAACTAGGGAACTGGCAACTGCAGTAGTCCAGCCACACCAGAATCAGACCATACCAGAAGGAGATGCAGAGCGCGGACTCCCTCTCCCCGTTTCTCCCGCCCACTGTCAGATTTGCTGAGGGCGATCACTTCCCAAGGTCCCAACGCGGTTGGCTAATATTTGGTCAGTGATTGGTTGTGAGAAAGGGGTGTGGGGCGTCAACATGTCTCGATCCGGTTAGGCGGGTACTACTACTACGGTAGTACCGAAGGCAGTATCTTGGATGTTGCTGGATTCGGCGCTCGGGAACCGACCCGTTCATTCTTGCGCTTTTGTTAAAGAACAGAAAATATTGGAAGACTTGAGAATAATGCAGCGTCATAAGGGATCACTTATCGCTAAGAGTATCTACAGAGTTTGCTAGGAGGAGGATGATCGGAGTATAGTAAGTCCGTCGAATATTGTATGTCCCGAGTCCCCGGCTGTTTGGCGCCGAGCGGAGGTCCGCAAATTAGTCTAGATCCTTCTTTGTACTTCCTGCAGAGTATTACTCTCTTCGGGTAGATAGATTGCAATCACTTTGCGACTGCAGGATCTCAGCATTGGACTACGGGGTATATCTTTCTAGCGTGATTTCATTCCGTATTCTGTAGACTAGATAGAGAGCAAAAGACACCAATCCAGCCATGTGATGCGGGCTGTTTGTTGACTTGGCATCGAGATCGAGATTAGTACACGGGAACGGACGATATCGAGTCAGTACCTCTCTAGCCGGTGTGATATGCACGGTATTAAATATCTACATGATATAGCGTCATTGATGGTTGATTGAAGATAGAACTCATTATTCTCATGCATTGAGGACGAGCCTGGGGCGGAAGAGGAAATCTGGTGGGAAGAAACGTCATGGGCCCAACAACAAGCGGCGGGCAGAAGTTGGGGATCGCTCTTTGGGGAGTGGATATCTTTTTTCGGTGGATTCTTTCCCCTCTCGGCGTTTTTTTCTTGCTTCTCGATGGGTATTGCAGGGTTCGGAGTAGACTAGGACTTGATGACTTTGGCTTCAAGTATCTGACTGGACCAACGATCTACTGGATAACCAAAGCATAAGCCCAAAAGTAAACCACGGTCTCGGACTTCTGGGTGTCAAGTCCTTTTGGAGGTAAACTAGATCAAGTCCTTAATCCAAACCCAACTCTCCTCCTCTTTTTCTTCTTCTGCTCTCCTTCTCTCTCTCATTCCTTTCTAATCTTTCCAATCCATCAGCAAGTTTAGCATTCCGGGCGGGATTTTCTGGTGGTTGTGGTAAGTACAACAATCTCCGTTTGCGACACACAGGATCCGTCATCCGTCCCCATTTATTCTTTCCGCTTCCTTCGAATCGCTCTCCGTCCCACTATTATTATTCCTCTGGCTCTCCCCCTGCTGGCTCAATCCGAATACTTTGCTGACAATCTCTTCTTCTTCTGCCGCGACCAGCCTGAGGACTAATTTCATCCGATCCTCGTACATTTCTCCTTGTTATTTACGACCTAATCCTTGTACGCCGCCTCCTCCAGGCTCTCTCTGATAGAATCGCAATTTCGGGGCATTGTGGTTCCATCTCAACCATTCCCTCTTCTCTTGTACTACTACGACTTATACGATTTTCCTCCTACTTTCGCGTCATCACCTCTTTTCTTCGCCTGGAAAAGCCATAACCATTGATTGCATGGGAATTGTATAATTTATAATAAAACTGCAAGCATCATGGGTGTCCCCAACGGAAGCTCGAGCAACGGTCACGTTAGCTCTCGTGCGGCCAAACACAACATCCCCTCACATTTCATCGGTGGAAATCACCTGGACGCAGCACCTCCAAGCAGTGTAAAGGATTTCGTTGCCAACCATGAGGGTCACTCCGTCATTAGTTCGGTAAGTGGCAGTCACCGAGTCTCGAGAAAAAATAGCCTTGCATTGCAATTCGAGCAAAGTTGCTGATGTGGTTGGGTTGGTTGGATAGGTGCTCATTGCCAACAACGGTATCGCAGCCGTTAAGGAGATTCGGTCTGTTCGGAAATGGGCTTACGAGACATTCGGCAACGAACGAGCCATTCAATTCACGGTCATGGCCACACCGGAGGATTTGCGGGCAAACGCCGATTACATTCGTATGGCCGATCAATACGTCGAGGTAGGCAGTCGCAAGTCTGGCCGATGAGGGTCAACAAATGGCTGATTTTTTCTCGTTTACTAGGTACCCGGAGGCACAAATAACAACAACTATGCGAACGTCGAGCTGATCGTCGATGTGGCTGAGCGAATGGACGTCCATGCCGTCTGGGCTGGTTGGGGTCACGCATCCGAGAACCCCAGACTTCCCGAAGCTCTGGCTGCCTCTCCCAAGAGGATTATCTTCATCGGTCCTCCGGCGTCTGCGATGCGTTCTCTGGGTGATAAGATCTCTTCGACAATCGTTGCACAGCATGCGGGTGTGCCTTGCATTCCGTGGTCAGGAACCGGGGTTGACGATGTGACAATTGATGACAACGGTATTGTCACCGTTCCCGACGAGGTCTACAACCGGGGTTGCACGTTCTCTCCCGAAGAAGGTCTGCAGAAGGCCAAGGAGATCGGTTTCCCCGTGATGGTCAAGGCCTCGGAAGGTGGTGGTGGTAAGGGTATCCGTAAGGTCGAGCGGGAGGAGGACTTCATCAGCCTTTACAATGCCGCCGCAAACGAAATCCCGGGTTCCCCTATCTTCATCATGAAGTTAGCTGGCAATGCCCGGCATCTGGAAGTCCAGCTGCTGGCTGATCAGTACGGAAACAACATCTCCCTGTTCGGCAGAGATTGCTCCGTTCAGCGTCGTCACCAGAAGATTATCGAGGAGGCACCCGTCACCATCGCCAAGCCCGCCACGTTCCAGGCCATGGAGCGTGCTGCTGTCAGCCTTGGAAAGCTGGTCGGTTACGTCTCCGCCGGTACCGTCGAGTACCTGTACTCGCATGCCGATGACAAGTTCTACTTCCTCGAGTTGAACCCTCGTCTTCAGGTCGAGCACCCCACCACCGAGATGGTCTCCGGTGTCAACCTGCCAGCCGCCCAGCTGCAGATCGCCATGGGTATCCCCTGCACCGCATTCGTGACATCCGTCTGCTCTATGGTGTCGACCCCAACACCTCGTCCGAGATTGACTTCGACTTCTCGAGCGAAGAGAGCTTCAAGACCCAGCGCCGCCCTCAGCCCAAGGGACACACCACCGCCTGCCGTATCACTTCCGAAGATCCCGGCGAAGGTTTCAAGCCCTCCAGCGGTACCATGCATGAACTGAACTTCCGCAGTTCGTCCAACGTCTGGGGTTACTTCTCCGTCGGTACCGCCGGTGGTATCCACAGCTTCTCCGACAGTCAGTTCGGTCACATTTTCGCCTACGGTGAGAACCGTTCCGCGTCGCGGAAACACATGGTTGTCGCTCTGAAGGAGTTGAGCATCCGTGGTGATTTCCGCACGACGGTCGAGTACCTGATCAAGCTGCTGGAGACCCCTGCTTTCGAAGACAACACCATCACCACTGGATGGCTGGATCAGCTCATCTCGAACAAGCTGACCGCGGAGCGTCCAGATCCCATTGTAGCTGTTCTGTGCGGTGCGGTAACCAAGGCTCATCTGGCCAGCGAAGGCGGTGTCGAGGAGTATCGCAAGGGCCTCGAAAAGGGTCAGGTGCCTTCCAAGGATGTCCTCAAGACCGTCTTCCCCGTGGACTTCATCTACGAGGGCCAGCGCTACAAGTTCACCGCAACCAGAGCCGGCTTGGACAGCTACCACCTGTTCATCAACGGATCCAAGTGCTCGGTCGGTGTCCGTGCTCTGGCTGACGGTGGCCTGCTTGTTCTCCTGAACGGTCGCAGTCACAACGTCTATTGGAAGGAGGAAGCGGCCGCAACTCGCCTGAGCGTCGACGGAAAGACGTGCCTGCTGGAGCAGGAGAATGATCCTACTCAGCTCCGCTCTCCGTCCCCCGGAAAGCTTGTCAAGTTCACCGTCGAAAACGGCGAGCACGTCAAGGCTGGCCAGGCCTTCGCCGAAGTCGAGGTCATGAAGATGTACATGCCCTTGATTGCGCAGGAAGACGGTATTGTCCAGCTCATCAAGCAGCCTGGTGCCACCCTCGAAGCCGGTGACATCCTTGGTATTCTCGCCCTGGATGACCCGTCTCGTGTCACGCATGCCCAGCCATTCACCGGACAGCTGCCCGACCTTGGCCCCCGCAGGTGGTCGGTAACAAGCCTCCTCAGAGATTCTCCCTCCTTCACAGCATTCTCGAGAACATCCTCCTGGGTTATGACAACCAAGTTATCATGAACACCACTCTGAAGGAGCTGGTGGAGGTTCTGCGGGACCCTGAGCTCCCCTACGGCGAATGGAACGCTCAGTCCTCTGCCCTTCATTCCCGCATGCCCCAGAAGCTGGACGCTCAGCTACAGAGCATCGTCGAAAAGGCCCACGCCAGAAAGGCCGAGTTCCCCGCCAAGCAGCTGCAGAAGACTATCTCCCGCTTCATTGAGGAGAACGTCAACCCAGCCGACGCCGACATCCTCAAGACCACTCTCCTCCCTCTTCAGCAGGTCATCAACAAGTACATGGATGGCCTGAAGGCCCACGAGTTCAATGTCTTCGCTGGATTGCTGGAGCAGTACTACGATGTCGAGAGCCTCTTCTCTGGCCGCAACATCCGTGACGAAGATGCCATCCTGAAGCTCAGAGAAGAGCACAAGGACGACATTGGCAGCGTCGTTCAGACTGTTCTGTCCCACAGCCGTATCGGCGCGAAGAACAACCTGATCTTGGCAATTCTGGCCATGTACCGCCCCAACCAGCCTGGTGTTGGCAATGTCGCAAAGTACTTCAAGCCCGTCCTGAAGAAGCTCACTGAACTTGAGTCGCGGCCCGCCGCCAAGGTCACTCTCAAGGCCCGTGAGGTCCTTATCCAGTGTGCGCTTCCCTCTCTGGAGGAGCGTATGTCTCAGATGGAACTCATCCTGCGCTCCTCCGTTGTCGAATCCCGATACGGAGAGACCGGTTGGGACCACCGGGAGCCCGAATTCTCCGTCCTCAAGGAGGTGGTGGACTCCAAGTACACCGTCTTCGATGTCCTTACTCGATTCTTCGTTCACCCGGACCCATGGGTCACCCTGGCTGCTCTCGAGGTGTACATTCGCCGCGCCTACAGGGCCTACACACTGAAGGGCATTCAGTACTACCCCGACGGAGAAGTTCCCCTGGTCTCCTGGGACTTTACGCTAGGCAAGCTTGGACAGCCGGAGTTCGGTTCCGTCCACTCCAACCAGATGTCTACGCCCAGCACACCTACTACGGAGTCCAGCCCCTTCAGGAGACTCAACTCCATTAGTGATATGTCATACCTTGTCAATGACAACAGCAATGAGCCCCTCAGAAAGGGTGTCATTGTTCCGGTTCAGTACCTGGAAGACGCCGAGGAGCAGCTACATAAGGCCTTGGAGGCACTCCCTCGTGCCGGCTCGAAGAAGAAGCCCGGCGAGAACGGGCTCATTGCAGACCTGGAGGGCAAGCGTCGACCAGCCCCTCGCATTGAGTCCGACAATGAATTGACCGGTGTCTGCAACGTGGCCGTCCGCGACCTCGAAGATCTTGACGACAACCAGATCGTTGCTCAGATCAACGACATTCTTGCCGGCCTCAGGGAGGAGTTGCTCGCTCGCCGCGTGCGCCGCGTGACCTTCATCTGCGGCAAGAACGGCAGCTACCCTGGCTACTTCACCTTCCGTGGACCTACCTACGAGGAAGATGAGAGCATCCGTCACAGCGAACCTGCGCTCGCCTTCCAGCTTGAACTCGGACGTCTGTCCAAGTTTAAGATCAAGCCCGTCTTCACCGAGAACCGGAACCTCCACGTCTACGAGGCCATCGGCAAGGGCCCCGAGAACGACAAGGCTGTCGACAAGCGGTACTTCGTCCGTGCTGTGGTGCGCCCGGGCCGCCTCCGTGACGATATCCCCACCGCGGAGTACCTGATCTCCGAGGCTGACCGTCTCATGAATGACATCCTGGATGCTCTGGAGATCATCGGCAACAACAACTCTGATCTTAACCACATCTTCATCAACTTCTCGCCGGTGTTCAACCTGCAGCCCCAGGATGTGGAAGAGGCTTTGGCTGGTTTCCTTGAGCGCTTCGGTCGCCGTCTCTGGCGTCTCCGTGTCACCGGTGCCGAGATCCGTATCCTGTGCACCGATCCTGCCACTGGCATGCCTTATCCTCTGCGTGTGATTATCACCAACACCTACGGCTTCATCATCCAGGTTGAGCTGTACATTGAGAAGAAGTCTGAGAAGGGCGAATGGCTCCTCCATAGCATTGGTGGTACCAACAAGCTCGGCTCGATGCACCTGCGTCCTGTCTCCACACCGTACCCGACCAAGGAGTGGCTTCAGCCCAAGCGTTACAAGGCTCATCTCATGGGCACCCAGTACGTCTACGATTTCCCCGAGTTGTTCCGTCAGGCCTTCCAGAACAGCTGGGCCAAGGCTGTGGCCAAGATCCCCTCCCTGGCCAGCAGGCGGCCCGCGGTTGGCGAGTGCATTGAGTACAGCGAGCTTGTTCTCGATGATGCCGACAACCTGATCGAAATCTCGAGAGGCCCTGGTACCAACACCCACGGTATGGTTGGATGGATCGTTACTGCTCGCACCCCCGAGTATCCCGAAGGCAGACGGTTCATCATCGTTGCCAACGACATCACCTTCCAGATCGGTTCCTTCGGTCCCCAGGAAGACAAGTTCTTCTACAAGTGTACCGAGTTGGCCAGGAAGCTTGGCATTCCTCGTATCTACCTCTCTGCCAACTCCGGTGCTCGCATCGGTATGGCCGACGAGCTGATCCCCTACTTCTCCGTGGCCTGGAACGATCCCCAGAAGCCCGAGGCTGGATTCAAGTACCTTTACCTCACTCCCGAGGTCAAGGAAAAATTCGATGCCAGCAAGAAGAAGGAGGTCATTACTGAGCTCATTCACGATGAGGGCGAAGAGCGCCACAAGATTACCACTATCATTGGTGCCAAGGACGGCCTCGGTGTTGAATGTCTGAAGGGCTCTGGTCTCATCGCTGGAGCCACCTCGCGCGCTTACGAGGATATCTTCACCATCACTCTGGTCACCTGCCGCTCCGTTGGTATTGGTGCCTACCTTGTCCGTCTGGGCCAGAGAGCCATCCAAGTGGAAGGCCAGCCGATCATTCTGACTGGTGCCCCGGCCATCAACAAGCTGTTGGGTCGCGAGGTTTACACGTCTAACCTGCAACTCGGTGGTACCCAGATCATGTACAAGAACGGTGTCTCTCACATGACTGCCACCGATGACTTTGAGGGTGTCCAGAAGATTGTCGAGTGGATGTCCTTCGTTCCCGACAAGAAGGGTGCACCCATTCCCATCCGGCCCTGGTCCGATGATTGGGACCGCGATGTCGCCTACTACCCTCCTCCTAAGCAGGCTTACGATGTCCGGTGGCTCATCGCTGGTAAGGAGGATGAGGAAGGCTTCCTCCCTGGCCTGTTCGATGCTGGATCCTTTGAGGAGGCTCTTGGTGGATGGGCTCGTTCCGTTGTCGTTGGTCGTGCTCGCCTCGGTGGCATCCCTATGGGTGTCATTGCTGTTGAGACTCGTTCCGTTGAGAACGTTACCCCTGCCGACCCTGCCAACCCTGACTCCATGGAGCAGATCAGCCAGGAAGCCGGTGGTGTGTGGTACCCCAACTCGGCCTTCAAGACCGCTCAGGCCCTCCGTGACTTCAATAATGGCGAGCAGCTGCCCGTCATGATCCTGGCCAACTGGAGAGGTTTCTCTGGTGGTCAGCGTGACATGTACAACGAGGTCCTCAAGTACGGTTCCTACATTGTCGACGCTCTGGTCAAGTACGAGCAGCCCATCTTTGTTTACATCCCACCCTTCGGTGAACTTCGTGGTGGTTCATGGGTAAGTCATTTATTATTCTGTGTTATGTCATGTCTTCAAATACTAATAACTCCTCCTCTAGGTCGTCATCGATCCTACGATCAACCCCGACCAGATGGAGATGTACGCTGACGAGGAGGCTCGCGGTGGTGTCCTCGAACCCGAAGGTATTGTCAACATCAAGTACCGCCGTGAGAAGCAACTCGACACTATGGCTCGTCTTGACGCCACCTACGGCGAGCTCCGTCGCTCTCTCGAGGACCCATCCCTCAGCAAGGAGCAGCTGTCAGAGATCAAGGCCAAGATGGCCGCTCGCGAAGAGCAGCTCCTTCCTGTCTACCTGCAGATCGCTCTGCAGTTCGCTGATCTCCACGACCGCGCCGGCCGCATGGTGGCCAAGAACACCATCCGCAAGGCCCTGACTTGGAAGAACGCCAGACGCTTCTTCTACTGGCGTGTCCGCCGCCGCTTGAGTGAGGAGCTCATCCTCAAGCGCATGGTCTCTGTCGCTCCGGCCGCTGTCTCCGGCGAGGCCACCGGCGCCATCCCCGCCACCGGACCCGTCGACGGCCAAGCCCATCCACCGAGAGCACTCGCGCCAAGCACCTGCGCACCCTGCACTCGTGGACCGGCTTCCTGGACGAGGAACTCGAGCACGACGACCGCAAGGTCGCCATGTGGTACGAGGAGAACAGAAAGGCCATCCAGATGAAGATCGAGGCCCTCAAGACCGACTCTGTCGCCACCGAGATCGCCCAGCTGCTCATCAGCAACAAGGAGGGTGGTCTCAAGGGTGTGCAGCAGGTTCTCAGCATGCTACCCGTCGAGGAGAAGGAGGCCGTGCTCAAGTACCTGGGCTCGTCTTAAAAAAAAGTAAAACCATAGAACCGCCCCGTTCATATTGGTTTTTACTTTACTGGATCATATTTTCCAATTTTCAGATCACATAACATACATTGAAGATGGTTTATACAAGGCGGGTGCGTTAGGTTCTTGTTTGTTTTGTACTGCGGGTTTGTCTGCGTTTTGTCTTGCATGGGTTTTGGAGGTTGCATCGCTGATTACTATGTATGTATGCATTATGTTGTTATGCCTGATGTTCTTTGGCATGTTCCTATTTACTTTTTCCTATCAATGCAATGAATCTTCGACTTCACAGATACTCTTCTCCGTAGATAAACGGGTAAAAAGTACGGCTACGTCTACGGTAGGACATTGCGCAACGCGAGGTTACTATGATATGAATATTGTATTCCATTTGACAAACTGACATCTCGTCTCATGATCATCCAAGACGCCAACGTAGGGAGATGTGGATAATCTCCATGCACTGTTTCATAGTCGTCGAAAACATTTGAGGCAGAGGTAGGGTATATATGCAATAAGTAGAAAAGGTACGCCTCATGAACAACGCACGATATCCATGACCCAAGAGCGAGGGGAAAAAAAAAGAAATAGGGGTATAATGATTAGGGAAACAGGTGATATAGAGACGAGAACGAATATGCTAGTCGCTTTAGGCAAGCTGTCTTTCTAAGCTGCGAGGCGGGGAGAGGATAGGTGGCATTCCTCGGTAAGGGGTGGGCGACACCTCTGGTATACCGCGGCTGGGGTTGACAGTGCCCATCCCGGGCTCATCCAGGCCCAGGCTTAGCCGGCCAATGTCCACGGGAACCTGTTGTGGAAGAGGGAGAGGCGCCTGGTAACGCGGGTTCTGAGGTTCATGCATTGGGCCGTGAGCCATCGCGAAGGCGAGAGACTCGTCCCGACGACCGGGGAGAGTGACCATGCTAGCTTTCAGGGTGCGAGCAATGTCCTCCAGCAACACTTCCATGGGGGCGATGTAGGCTGTGTGGCTTTTCTCCGACCAGGCTAGGACATGACCGCAGACACGGCCCGTCGATTTGTCGAAAACCCAGGCTCCCGAGTCTCCGGGGACTAGACTCAGGGTGGTTGTTAGCTTCGGTTTGTTCGATCGCATGGCGCATGGGGATCTCACAACTTACCTCCAAAGTTTCCATCCACGCAGAAACTAGTGGAGAAAGTTTGTCGTCCGTGCAGTTTGACGATGGTCATCGCTCGGGAAATCTGTCCACTCTGCAGACCACTTGTCCGACCGCAACAATGCACCTTCAAACCGCCGAGCTCCTCCATCCGTGCTACATCATTGAGAAAGATGGCCTCCCCTGTCTGTGAAGGCTGTCCTCCAGGGCCCCGTCTATGGACACCTCGGGACATTGATGGCGGCGTCTTGTCAAAGACAATGTTGCGCGCGTCTAACCGGTCATCGTTGATCTTGATCAACGCCCAGTCAATTTCGTGCTTGATGCCTTTCCGAGTCCAGCGGCGAACGCCCGATGATGCATGGACGAACCCGAGCGAGTGAGACGCCAAGTGCTCATCGTCACGATCTTCGGGCGACGGGAAGAAATCCTCATGGACGTCGTCGATTGCCGGTTGAGTAACAAATAGAGGCGGCTCATCACCTGGCTCGACTCCGGCCGTGTCGCCGATCGAAGCCACGTCCTCATCCTCATAAGGGTCATCAACATCAAAGCCTTCTTCGTCCGAAGAATAACTGTCTGAGAGCCAATGGTCGTCGTAAGTTCCTTCCAAGCTTTGGGAGAGGGAGACGTCATCGCCATCCTCGTCTTCCGAGATTTCAAACTCGAGGTTAACTTCAGAGGGATCCTCGTCACACCAGGTGTACATGAAATCGTTGTTCGAGGGGGCGGATTCTCCTGGCCAATTCCCAGCTGAGCGAAATGGTCCCCGACATTCCGATTCTCCACCTCCTCCTCTGCCTCATCATCACTAGGTGCCTCAAGCATGTGATGGACTGTCATACCATAAGGCATACCGTCGACCAAGATGGCACCCCCATAGGACACAGGAGGGAGATGCTCATCATTCTGAAAGGCGCCAATGGACGCGCCACAAAGCGGTCGTGGCTGATAGCAGGGATTGAGATCTCGCTCGGGAAATGCCGGAGCACCCACCGTCTGCGATCTAGACTTTGCCGGCCTGCGCCTTTTCTTTCGCGGAACTTTGGAGCGTTGGATATCCCCACGAAGCACGATGATGTCCCAATCTTCCCTGTCGTCGAGCACAAAATACTTCTTCAAGGCGGCTCTTACCTTCTTTGCACTCGCGCAGGTAACACAGATGGTCGTTTTGGCGGTTTCGGCCGACTCGCCAGTCATCATCAGAGTGACACCACAGGATTCGGATGAGTCTTTCAGAACCTTCTGAAGAAGTTTTCTCAATCGTGGAAGCATCTGAAAGTTCCATTCGTTGAGGTGGTCTTGAGGAATCTCGACGTTGGTAAGCTTTTTGAATGTCCTCTTCCTCGCCTTCTTCTCCTCCAAGCCCATCTTCTCCCTCAAGACTCGCATCTCTTGCACTGGAAGAGCAGGATACGAACCATTGCGACGTGTCAGTCGCTGAGGTTCAGGCTCATACTTTTGAGGACTCTTGTGCACATGCTCTGTCTCAGTCCGGGGGACGAGAGCAAGGGGAGGCAATCATCCAACTCCTCAGCGGCCGGTGCGGAGAAAATATCAATTCTGCAGCAAGACCAAACAATCTTGCACATGGTATAAAGGAAGTTCATGGAGAAAGAAAAGATGCTGTCTGGTGCAGAAAGATCCAAAACAGGATAATGATACGTCTGAGGAACTCTCAAGTTGAAATCCTCGAATGGCTGCGTTGATAAATGGAAGTTGGGGGCGTCCAGACACAGTTGGACGACGTGAAGAAATGCACTGCCGCACTTCGGACCCAGCTTCTGCAGATAAACATTTTCGATTCTCTGCTTAAACATCGAATTGGTGTATTTCATCTTCCAGAGTCGGCTGATTGGCGTCCACAGGCCAATTTCCATCAAAACGAGACCGAGGGAATAGAGATCATAGGACCAGGCCGCATCATCCTCAAGGGACCTCTTATCGTCGGGATGACGATACATGCTCGATGAGAGAGGCTCGGGTGATGTCGCAGAACCAGAGAATTGAGCGAAGGATGTCAGATAGGGCCGTCGAAGATCCTCCGTAAGGGCCACTTCGTCGTTGTTCGAGCTGGTCGCACCGGGGAAGATCAGCACGTTCCCGCTATTGATGTTCCCATGCACAAGATTCTGGCTTCGAAGATGTAGCGCAGCCATCAAAAGGTCATAAGCCAGCCGCAGGCGGGTTTCAAGGTTGGGAACCCGTTGATCATCGCCGGTTTGAAAGAGAGAAACTAGAGGCTTTGGCTTCAAGCCGCTCAGGAGATCGGAAGGGTTGTGCAGGAAGGGGAAATAGTCGATTGGCATTTGATAGATAAACGCATATCGCGAATTGGGCATGTCAATGTAGAAGCCAATGAATCTCATCAAACCCAGATGGGATACCCTTGCGTTTTGGACGAGCTGATCAAGGGTCTGCTGCACATGCTCAAGACGCTTCTGTTCCGGCAAAGTAATGTCGCGTTGAGTTTCCAGCATCATGGGCGTATACTCAACCATGATGGATACGGTAGACTCCTTGGCGCCCGCCAAGAGCGGAGAAGCCGACGTCTTGATACGTCCAATGGCCCGAGAATTGGTGGAAGCAGCTACCATCTCATACGGCGGCGGACTGTTGTCGTGAGACGCACCGGAGAGCTGCAAAGCAGAGCGATCAATGAGGAAGCTCTGCGATGAAAGAGAAGATTTGTGCGACTGCTTCTCGAAAGCGCTGACAACGGGCGACGCATAGTCGAAAGGATCTTGATGCGCTTTGGGGCTGTGGTAGGCCTCCTTAGTCTCAAGCGGAGAGCCGTGGTAGGACTTGGAGTCAGGATAGACAGAGTAAACAGACTCATCTCCTGTTCTGAGCGCGTGTCGTTGCCGACCCCGCACAGCCGACTGCCCGCTTGAGGCCATGTTTCGGCGCGAGCGTGACAAATCATACAGAGTGTCGATGCAAGCCGTCAAGTCAGCAAGGAGGCTCTTAGAGCGTGTGATGTCTTCATTTGTCCAGTGCGTCTTGACCGGCAGGGCAGGAAGGCTATCTTTCGATGTAGAGTCCCTCTGAGCGCCTTTGGGAGGTAGATCGGAGGAACCCCCATGTTGGATGCGTTCCGCTTCACTTAGTAACTCCTGGATGGAAGACATAACACTTTCCACGACATCGCTAAACCCAGCCTGGGTGAGCGATTCATCGATATCATTTGGCTGCGCGGCGCTAGCGTCGCTCCAGTCTAGACCCCAAGCAAGAAGCCGATCCCGCTGCGTCCTAAAGCTCCGATGCAGAGCCACGAGCTCTGGATCATCGACAGCCTTCGAAGCCGTCGTTACACTCTCACACGAGGTCTTCGTATCTGTGTACATTTTGGTAAGACGTCGCTGGAGGTATGAACCTCCATGACGGAGAACGGACATCTTGGCGTGCAGAGTCCGGGGAAGGTGGAATGATTAGGGGAATGCGCGCAATCGTAGTACTTAAGAGGCGAGGCGGGTCTTAGTTACGATCTGGCCTCGCAGCGGACTTGATGCTTCAGCATTGAGGACACATGGTTTTTGAAGGGTAATGAAGTGATGCAAGACTGAAGAAAAGATTATTTTCTGCAGCAATTCGGCGTTCGATGAGCATGAATTTGCACGGGGAGAGCGATTGCCAGGCATAAGAATAGATCTCGAGGTGGGCAGGAATCTTGTTGCCTAACCAATAGGGAGTGGCGAGTGAGAGCAAAGCCTCGATCGCCAAGCCACACCTCTTGGCCAGTCACGTGGCAGGCAGCTGCGATATTAGATTTAGGCCCACCTTAAATCCACCAGACAAGTCTACAAGCCTACAAGTCTACAAGATTATTGCGATCGTGTCAGTAGAGTATAGTAGTTACACACTACACAGTGGGAGAGTGATCGCATGACGATCTGCCGTCATCCGGCAGGTTATTGGCAGAAACTGATAGTGCGGACTACATAAGCATTTTTACACTGTATGAAGACGATGTAGGACATTAGCAGCACGGCCAGTTTCTTTCCATTTCCCTCAAGTCACACAGTTGCCACAGAGTGCAGATGGAAGCCATGAAACTTCATCGGTGTGCATCTTGAGATTCGTATGTTGTACAAACTTAGCATGTGAGCTGTGTGAGCTGCCTAGTACGGGACCGTCGGAGAAAGTGCGCTGACTTGGCAGAGGATGGGACCAGGCAACCGTCTCCTCTTGTCAATGATAACGTGAGTAATCAGAAAAAAAATAAAAAATAAAAAAAACCCTCTATCGATGCATTGAGATGTGGAATATACACAAGAGAAAACAAAGGAAACAGCGAAAAAAAAGTCTAATGGTGCAGGGTTACCCGGTAATGACTCGTCGAGAAACACCAACATCCCTTGCACGTTTCTCCCTGAAATTGTGCAGGCGCTCCCCAATCAGGTAGACATCATCACGGATGTTGACTCTCCAGATATCAATCTGTCGACGGATCATATAGACAAGCCATGCTACAAAGCTAAGAAGTAAAGTGGCAGGGAACGCATAGCGATAGACCTTGGCTTGGATATCCGGGGTGTCACGGAAGACAGTCGAGTTCAGTGCGAACCCGAAAGAAAGTGGGAGAGCCACCGCAAGTGTCGCTAAAATTGTGACAGGAAGCACTATTGCTCGGGTGGCAAGACGCACATTCGGTTTCAGCCAGCCGTCCCGGAAGACACCGTTGAGGGCCGCTGCAGGTCGCGAAGTAGAATGCCATAGAGCAAACTTGATAGCCATTTGCACATACAGCACCCCAAGCGTCCAGTCTTGCACAAAGTGAATGACGTGCGCCCGTGTTCCACCCAGGTACGTATGCACCGGAACAATCACGTAAAGCTCCATGACTAGAGCGAACAAGGACGGTAGTAGAACCGAGAATGCGAGCACTACGTAAGCTAGTCGCAGACCGCTTAGTGCGACATTGCCGAATCCGAGCAAAGCCCGTTGTGGCGAACGAAGGTAAGGGCGAAGACGATCCTGGATCGTAGCCAAGAAGGTCCGGCAATAGAACATGAGATAGGCAACACTTCCGAAGATGCAGATGCCCAAAGAGAACGCATAGATATCATTCAGCGGCCGATCGGGGAAGCATGCCAACATGATCTTTCGGCCAATAACTAGGGGAATAATTGTGGTGCCTACCCCGGTAGCAGCGGCAAAGACCCAGATCAGGAAGATGAACGCCGCGATTCTGGTCCGGAAGGAGGGTGGGATGTAGACCTTAGTGAACATGTCGTTGGTACGACCATGTTGACCCTCGTCCGGATCCGGAGCGCCATCAACCCGCTCGTTGTTGTCGGTGACCTCCAAGAACACTGGGTTGCCCTTTGGGATACGCACTTGATCCGAAGCTGGAGCCCGTACAAATTTGCCGTCCCGGACGAAGTAAGCACCAAGCTGCTTTTCGTCTGCGCTGCGACGCTCAGATTCACCGACGATGGGGTGTTCAGTGTCGCCTTTCTTTCCCGAAAGAAGATCGAACCAAGTCCGTCTCACATGATAACCTTCTTCATCGCTGTGCCTTTCACCAAAGAAAAAGCTGCTAAGTCGTAAGAATCGCGCGCATTTATGGAACCACCAGTTGTAGAGCTTGTGTAAGCCGTCAGATGGCTTGATAGACCGTATGGCAAGGGGCATGGCAAAGTTGTAGAACAACAAATCAGCGGGGAATTCGAGCACAGGGATTGTGGCAGACCACCGAACAGGCAGCACCCCGTCAAAGGCATAGTACAGGCCCCAGACAACGCCACCGAGGCAGACGATGACCAGAGCCCCGTATACGAGAGCACTGAAGGCTATCTTGCGCAGCTGAGTGGTGATGTTGCGTTCAAGTACATCTCGCACGGGATGGAAAGTCGGGTCATCGGGGTCGCGGATGAAGTCTGTCAGTCATAGTTAGCGAACGAATGTTCGAACAGGGCTTAGTTTAGAGCACTTACAGAGAACACCACTCCTCATGATTTTTCGACACATCGAAACAAATAGAGCAAAATGGAACATATAACAAGTGCCTATGAACCAGTGCACAAAGAGTGATGTAAGTGGAGAGGAGGAGGTAAATCCCAGTCGGGAGGCGATCGTAGCGTTCTCAAAGAGAGGGAGCAAGGCGACGTCAAGCAGGGTACCACAGTACAGTGGAAAGACAATCATTTCAATTCCAATGATCAAAATGACTTTCATCACTCCACCAGCTTGGTGGAGTACATCCGCGACGAGGCCCTCGACCCTCTGTCCACGACTTTCCCCTGTGAACAGACTAGTAATACGAAGGTAGAGGAGTCCCAAAATCGATGCAAGCACATAACCCATAACAATGGCAATAATACGGTCTTTGGTATCCCAAACCGCCAATTCGGGATCAATGGCCAAACCGGTGGAGGTCGCCCCTGTCACCGTGGCATCGAACCACCCCGCGCCTTTCCCTGGGAAGAAAGGGCGTTCAGCAAAGCTGTACACCTGCTGTCGAGCCTGGGCCAAAAGACTGCTCAAGTCGATGCTTTGACGATCAAAGGATAAAGCACCTAGGAGTCCATTTGTAGTGATTTGGAGGGGCAAATCGTGCACTATGAATTTGATGAAAGTAACAATCGACTGACAAAGACCAGAGATGCGCGCTTGATGGATCCTGAGCGCCTGATGAGACAGAACAGAGAACACTGGAACGTCAGATTCGTGGAAAACAAAGAACGCGCTGACCACGTTCTTCAACCGGTGACTGCTTGCATCGATAAGCGACAACGATGCACTCGTGATGGACTTCGTTTGGGGAATCCAATCGCCTAGCGGGACAAAGGCGCTCAAGGGGCCAAGTAGCACTTTGCAGACAAGGCTGACCGCATACATGAGATAGCCCAGACTGCCAATAAGAGTGTCAAGTGTGATATCTGCGATAACCGATACTGCAGTCACAGGTACACCGAAGATGAGTTGAATGGGGTTTGCGAGGAGGACGAGTGCGATCTTTCCCCACAAATAGGGAAGCCAGACCCCAATAGCCACTGTAAATGAAATCAAAAGAGCGCTGAACACTCCGTTCTGAAGCAAGCCAAATATAGGGCCCTGCATGCCGATAAGTTCGAGAATTCCTTCTAGATCATCACCTTCTTCAACAGCATCCAGGTCGTTAGGGTCAACTCCTGCATCCGCACCAATGCCCTGATTTCGCTGCACATCATTGGCAGGACGTCTGTTGTTACGGATTGGTACAAATGGTGCTTCTGCCGCAAGATCTTCCACCACTGCCTCGTCATCTCGCGGCGCGCCCTCCTGATCCTGCTCACGTGGCATCAGATCAGCCCAAAACCATTCAAAAGCTTTGGCAGCGAAGCTCCTAGGAGGTACGGCGGCAGGAGGGTCAACTTGAGCGTCAGGAGGTGCCGTTTCATCATTTGTATGACCCGCGGTCGGCAAGTCTTGTGGGCTCACGGGTGGTGGGTTGCTGGAGGCCTCATCACCGTTGTTTGTGTCGTTCAACTGTCCCTCCCAATTACTTCCTGTATTGATTTCTGACCCGGGCCCCAATTCAGGGAAGCCAAAGGTGAATTCATGAGGATGTGTACTCGAGTCTGCCTCAAAAGTTGAGTTGGACATGTCTGCGGTATCCCAGGCCCGATACGTGGGCGCTAAGTCTGGGATTTCAGCGGCATGAGAAGACTCTACGGAAGAAGCACGGCTTCGAAATGCTGGGGTCCCGAGGTCATCCCATTGCGTGCTGGAGCTGGAGCGAGCTTCAGAGAATCGAGGGGTGTCATTTTGTTGAAGCCTTGTCATGGCTGTGACTACCCAACCAAGCTCCTCTTCCCGACCATCTTCTCTAATGATTCTTAGAATCTGCTCAGGGTCACCATTGCCGCGGGACCAGAGGTCTCTGAAAGTCTCAACGCCAGCCCAACCTCCCTGGTTAACTCGAGTAGGCGATCTTCTCGCCGAATGGCCGGCATTCGCTTCATTGTCGCTATCACTACCATTTTCTGAAAATGTTGCGGGACCAGCCCTTTCCACAGGCTCGACCGCTGGCAGATCAGCGCTTTCGCCGCTTTGAAGAGAACGCCTGCGAGTTGGCCGGAGAAAATGAATATCGTGTAAACCAACGTCATCATGATCGGTGCCGTGTTCTGTCGTATGCTCTCCCTCGTCCCCTAACACATCCGCACGGTGCACATGAGCCCGGGGCTCCGGCCTTGGGCGGTCGTCATTCCTATTTGGACGGTTATTCGCTATCAACTGCACTGCTGCTTCACGTTCACCATCAGCAATGTTGGCCATTGGCTGCTGTTGAACAACCCATTCTCGGATCAAAAAGACGAGTATAAACGAAACGACGACGAGCAGCGTGATAAGCTGCCCTTCCAACGTGTCGATGATAATATTATTGATGGTGGGCGATGGGGTCAAGGAGTTGAGCAACTTCACGTCCGAAAGCCACGAGGGGTGGCGGTGCTTATACAGTCCCGTAGTCACATTCAACGGCCGCGAGGTCGACGAACCACTTCCCGATGGTATGGCTGAAAAGAACAGCGCGGACATCACCTTCTTAGCGACGGTAAGCAGGAGCGGGTCACCAGAGGGGAAAGTGAACATCGATGACATTGGCGAGTAAAATGATGATGAATTCGTCGCATTGGACAAAACAGCACTCGGAGTCTGCAAGTTTGAGGTAGTCACTCCGGCTGCAAGGGAAGCAGTTCCGTTCCCAGCAGATTGCCTAGCTTGAAGCTGTTGAGAGGCGTCACCGCCGGACCAGTGGCCATCCGCAAGCCAGAACAGTGCTCTCCAAATTGCCCTCATAGACCATGGAAGCCACCCGAGCCAGACAAACGCAACCAGGATGAATCGTAACCATGTAACAACAGTGCGGAAGCTATGGATAAATAGCTGTTTCAAGAACAAAGGCGCGGGGAGGTTTCGAGGCATGTTCGGGTCGTATAGCTTCGTAAATCGGAAAGGCGTCTTGCAAAGCTCGCAGTGCTTCTTCTGAGAATGCGACAGCCATTCTACCAGGCAAGGCTGATGAACAAACTTGATGCTGCCGCTACATTTGCAAGGGTAGAACAGTGGCTCCTCCAGCGTTCCTTCACCGCGACAAATCCGACATGTATCCGGTTCCTCGAAATCTCTTTCCTTCCCCTTGTTGTTCGTCGCAAAAGCAGAATCGTTCATCAGGTCTGGGAAAGTCGTGTGGCCCGCATATTGGCGGGGTTGCTCCTGCGCAAAATCCATACTTTGAACAGTGTTGTTTCCGGCGTCTATTCGACGATTCTTAGGATGGGTCGCAATTTGTCATGATAAGAGGGATTATTGGTGAATCCACGATTCTGGTGAATGACCGTTGAGCCCAGAGATCGACAATGTATGGAGAGTACCTTGTCCCAAGTCAAAGAAGAAAGGAGGAGCATAAAGTAGTCACCATGGAATATGAGCCAGGTTCCTGCAGCTTCTTTGTTGTGCTGGTTCGCTTTCGAAAGGAGCCAAGGTTGTAAGTAAGACGCTCTTGGGGCTTACACACTAAGCGATATTCTGCATCTATTTTCCACCCAGACAGTGGCAAGTTGTCCAAGCAGGCAGATGATTATGATCATGGATCTCCAATATCCAAAGCGGTCTCTATGATTACTCAGCGGAGGGAGTGCTAAAGTCATGTGATATTACTGTATCTTACCAAAAGTCATGCAGATCTTGCTGTATTGTAAGCCATAAGAGTGTAAAGCACGGTAATACGATCACCTACGCCACTGATGTCTGAGCGATGACCTCACCGATGGAGCAAGGAAAACAATTATTGATAACCTGCTGCAGCTTGATGCCATTTCTGGATCATTTGATTCTGATGTCTTTTCAACCCTTTTTATAGCCCTCGCTGAGTCTAACCTCAAAATTTGGCGATTGCTGGGTCCGATTGTGCAAGACGACCGCTGATTCTCTGGTCTCCGCCAAGATCTGGGACATCGTCGCGCGTCTACATTTACAACGTAAATTGACAGGCGTTCAAACGATAGTCAACCACTACCGTCTGAACAAAAACAGCTTGACCCTCGATTAGACCTGGGGATGCCTTCCCTGTGATCTATAGGATTACGCCAGAGATTTGCCCACGACAGGCCTATTCGAAGACGCGATACCGCGTCAATCAGCATTTAGCAGCGGAAAATCAGTACTCCACGCGACATCTGAACTGCGCATTGACTACACAATGGCGACCGTGGAGAATGGACATGCCTCGGACGGCATTGTCAAGTCGGTGGAGCTTCGCTTCCGACCGAGAAAGACGAATCCTTTCAGATGGACATTTGGTCTGGTTGTGCGGTATGCTGTCCCTTGTGATGTTCGACGATGGTATGACTCGGGCTAACCGGAAATAATTTGCAGACTTTGTATATGGTATGTTCTGCTCGCGCCGATTTTTAGGTGTCCTTCGCATCTGTCGGAATTGAACGAGTCGTCACCGCGAGTATGCAAACCATACCTGGTTGTGCGATCCCACATTGACCCTTATGTTTTGCCGTACTATGATAAATACGGTGCACCTTATGTTGAAATTGCTCGTCCATATGTACAAGTCGTGAACGAGCATGTCTACACCCCGGCAGCGACAGTAGCGAGACGGGGGTATGATCAATATGGCGCTCCTGCTCTGGACCGGGCTCGAGCCTATGGCCAGCAGCAGTGGGAGGCCCAGGTTGTCCCTCGTCTACAGAATGTGAAAGAAAGCGCAACAGGATTGTACAATTCCACAGTCGATCCATATGTGCAACATGCAAAAGATGTCGTTCTTCCTTACTATAACAAAGTTAACGGCGCCGTCATCACCGTGTGGGATGGTTACGTTTTCCCCGTCTTTGCTCGATCGAGACCATTTATTGGGAAGACGTATGCGTCTGGCCAGAATGTACTGGCGACTACCGTGCTGCCATACGCGCAAAACACTTGGTCATCCGTGATCTATTTTGCGAATAGTGCTCTATGGCCGAAACTCACTGGTTTATACTCGGAAAATGTTGAGCCTCAATTAGTCAAAATTGGACAGCGACTAGCCAGCTATCGGGAAGGAAGACGACTGCGAAAAGTCATGGATGAGGCTGATAGGTAAGCTTCACACTTCAAGGATTTCTAGAGTACAGGTACTAACGAAAGATCCTCAGTTCTATGGATCAGCAGACGCAATCCGCCGTCACATCGGCTGAGAAGAGCCCGGAGTTTGAATCAGCCATAACAACCACTGCAACTCTGGCCCCTGTGACCCACACCACACTGTCACCTGCCGAGCAGACCGCGCAAGCTCGCGAAAAGATTGCTTCAGACCTTCAAACATGGCAGACAAAGTTCGCCACTGCCGTGGAAAAGGGTGCTGAAGATCTCGAGGAACGTGTGGAAGAGATAGTGGAAAGCTACATTAGAAGCGGTGCAAACAGTCATGGCGAGAGTCTTATAACAGCTCTAGAAACTGTCGTGCAGGATGAGATCTCGTCTGTCAAGCTCCGTATTAACGAATTGGCCGAATCACTCCCAAGCGAGGAGGCGCCCGAGCAGGAGGGAAAGGTCCAGGATGAGCTTTTGAAGGAGATCAGACGGGCTGCCATTTCTGTCAGAGATCGCGCACATGCAGTTCGGGAATGGCGGAACTCATTCGACCAAGAGCTAATCAGGCGTACTTCAGCAGCAGTCAACTCGACGCTCGATGTTCTGGATAGTGTGCGAGACCTGGGTCTCCAGGAAATTGGTATGCGATGGGCATGGATGGAAGGAGTCACATACAAGGATTGGGCGAAGTACCATGCCCTTAAAGCCCAATTCGAAGACTGGAAAAATGACATTCTCAAAGTCGGGATGCAGCATGTGCAAGTCGAGGAAGCTAAGGCATTGGCCAACGATATTCTAGGCCGTGGCATGGAGGTCGCAGAAGACGCTGCAAAGGAACTGGCCAGGCTCAAAGACATTGGCAGATGGAAGATCGCGGCTCGCGAAGCAAGTGATGATTTTGAAACAAGAACTGGGGACCCTCCTCCACTACCGAAACGCAGCAAGACTGACGAGGAGTGGGAAAGTACCCAGGCTGACAATGCCGATACTGAAAACCATCAATCCATGCAAAGCTCTGAGCAGGCTACATCCGGCACAGTTCTGGAGCCTGAAGACACAGCAGCTCACGGCAAAGGAGACTCGGAGCATGATCTAGGTCTAGATGATGATATCCCTTTTAGCCATGACGAATCATCTGTATCGCATGATGATAGTCTGCCAAAACACTCCAGAGCCAGTGATGTATCCTCTGCAGGAGACGGAAGCAGTCCCGCATCGATGTCAGAAGCAGAGGCAAGCGAAAGCGTTGAGCCGGTCAAGATGGCGTGGGGTGTTGCTGCGGCTGAGTCAGTGCCGAAACAAGATGCCTCAGAGCATCATGGCTTTCCCGAGCAATTGCAGGAACTTGTCAGCCAGGCTGATGACCACTTCGCGCAAGTAACAAGTGCCGCTGGCCAAGCTTGGTCTGATGGAAGCGTCGCGTCCTTGGCTCACCAGGGCGCTTCTAGCATCACCTCAATGGCAGCAGAGGCTACGCCCCTCGCATATATCTCATCTGTGGCTTCCTCAAAGCTGAGCGAAGGCCTTAGCCTAGCCTCGGCCCAACTTGACAGAGTCCGAGCGACAGCAAGTCCAACAACAGCTGTCGAGCAGAACCGTATCCTCCTTGACGCACAACGACGTTACTACGAGGCTGTTGGTATGGCACATGACCATTACTCTGCATTCGTGTCCTCTGCCTCTCAAGCAGTGTATGGTACCCCTACTCCGACAGGACACCTTGAACAGATGGCTAGTAAAGCATCCGAGAACTGGGAGAGTCTTGTTTCCACGGCTAGCGAACACTTTTATGGCTCTCGATCGCACTACACGCCCCCGGCACTCAATGACTTGATTCCTCAATACGAGGCAATCGAACAATTAGTATCTGAGCTGATTGTCGGCAAAGAACCTTCTTTTACGGAGCAAGCCCTAAGCAGATTGCACGCCATCTACGAGACCCCATACCCAGCCTCCGCGCTTTCAGCGGCTTCGAGTTACGTCATTGGCGACCATACCGCCACCTCTTCTGCTCCATTTGGCTCGATCACGAACGTTCCATCGGTTGAGAACATTCTGGAAAGTGCCAACGAACAGTTCCAGTCTGCGGTCAATGCCGTGAGTGTTCAGCTGTATGGTACCCCCAAGGGTCCCCTCGAAAAGGCCACATCTTCAGCTAGCAGCGCTATGTCAGCGGCCTCCGCCCACATCAGCGAAGCCGTTTACGGAACTGAACCAGGGTACTTGGAAGCCGCTCAGGAAGCCCTCGAGCATGCATACGCATCTGCCGAATCCGCCATCAGGAATGCAGTCTTTCAGTCAGCGAGTCCAACTGAAGCTGAACAAGGAGCTTTTGCAAGCGCCACGAGCAAGCTGGCGGAGGCTGTAGAAGGAGCACAGGGACAGCTCGCAAACCTGGCTTCTAGTGCCAGCAGCCTTGCCTCGGCTGCGGTAGAGACAGCAACATCAAAAGTGGTGGTCCTCACTAGTGGCGATGATACGCCTGTTAAGGACGAGTTGTAGTCCAGAAAACTGTGGAGGTAAAAATGTCTTGGTGCCGTTGTATGGAGTACAGTTGTTCTCATGTTTCCCACGACTTATTCCCCATTGATGTTTCTTCATTCCCACCATTCATATATTGCTTTCCAGATGGACATGACGATTTTGACTTTATGAAGCACTATTCCCCATATAGTTTTCACTGACTGTCGTACGCCATCTGTTCCTCTAGATTTTCAAAACATGTACACAATCTCTCGGGCTGTTTACGTCTTTCTCGTTCCGCTACCTGATTTCTTAACTGATATGTACGTGACTTTTGGCAATGCAACAGGATATTTCTCTTTTTGACTCCAAGTTTTCTTCATATCTCCGTTTCCTAAAAGCTCATGACCAATTCTATTCATATCGTCTTCCCTGTTCAAAGATGTTGTCTCAATCAGGACCCAACGATCCATAACTTAATGTACAATAATACAGTCGGCATGAGCCGCAATCACCGGTATTGCATGCGTTGTCCTCCACGCTTCTCCATCTTCTTCTGTCTCTTACTTTCTGCGACGGGCGTGTCCGCTCCACCCATTCCGGCCAACCCGCTCTTCATCCCAGTGAAGGTGGTATAGGCCAACCAAACAGAGTATATGGGAATCACGATCCACAGCCACCAAGCGCGATCTCCAAATAGACAAGCCGCCCCCATACAACCCCAGGTCCAGTAGAGGACATCCCACATGTACTCCGTCAGACCGGAAGCTCCGAGGTCTTCTCCGGGGACCGCAAGGAACCGTCGGCAGGGTTGTAGCTCGGACGGCCCAATCGTTCAAGGTAGAATTCGATGGCGAGAGTCGGCCATGCAAGGAAGAAGTATGGCTTTAACGAGCGTGGACGGTTGAAGGTCCAGTGCAGGAGCAGGAAGATTGAATGCAGACAGAGGGTGATTATATGCGTGCGCAAGAGGAGGGAGGCATTGCGGGCGGCAAGGGTCTTGGCTGCTTTCTATAACGGGGTCAGTATGCAGCTCGGGCCATTTCTCCTCTTGATCTTTTATTCTGTGAAGATCAAGGATTGAAAAAGCGGATGGTAGAGGAAGTGATGTACCTGCGCCATAGTGACGGAATGTTCAGTAATGTCAAAGAGAAGAAGAGGCAACCAACGCAGAGCGATAATTGTAGATGTAGATGAATGTGTCTGTTCAGTAAATCCTCATACAGACTATATTTTGAGTATAATAGCACAAGGTATTATAATTCTAGACACATGTTCTCCTCTTCTTGGTGTTATCTCGTGCGCATTGGAGTAAAGTAGTCGCGGCATGGTCGGTTGCCCGCCACGACAAGACAAGCGCCCGCGCCTCCGCCAGCACCAGCCACTTTTCCTAATCTGTTATACTCGGCCGCCCCAAAACATCCGCATGCTCCAAAAAAGGCACGACCTGGACCTGGATCTGGCCTGACACGATCGATCGACTTGACACTTCTCCTCCCCGCCCCTCTTGTTTCGGGAAGCCGTTAGCTGCGCGCCTTTCACTTGTCGTACTGAACTCTGGACCGGGTTTCATCTCCCGATATGCCTTTTTGATTTCCCTTGGAGGCTCTTGCTTTGCCTGGAGGGCGTCACGAGTCGTCCTGGACGTCATCCATTCACTTTGGCTTCGACACGGCCTCACCTCGGAGTCGGCATCTGGAATTCACAACGTGAAGGTGGACAGGCCGATGAAAGGATTTTGTAACACTGCAAAGCGCTTACTCCAAACCGTGGCTCTCTGTGTCGTATCCTCTGCCTTTGTTGGGTTGGACGTGGACCACTAGTCTCCGCAGTATAGGGAACTTTGCATCGTCGTTTCCTCACCTCTGTTTGTCGACGCATCTGGGAGTTAATTATCGGAACAGAACGGCCTGCGATTACGGCCGACCTCATGCTCGCCTATCGCTCGAGAACATCCCCTCACCGACTCTAGCCCGCGTACTCAGTACCCTGGCCTCACAACACCAACACTTCTCCCCTAGTTTTGCATACCTAGAGCACGCAACCATGTCGCCATCAATATCCTACATTTCAGGCCAGCTTAGGCAGCTAATATATTATCATCTGGATAACAATTTGTGCCGCAATGCGCTGTTCCTCGCCGGTCGTTTACATGCTTACGAGCCGCGAACGGCGGAAGCGTCATATTTACTCGCTCTCTGTCACCTTCAGAACGGTCAAGTCAAAGCCGCATACGATTACAGCAGAAATTTTGGGTCGAGGGGCACCCACCTCGGCTGCTCCTATGTTTTCGCGCAAGCGTGCTTGGACCTAGGAAAGTATCTGGAAGGTATCACAGCGTTGGAGCGAAGTAAAGGCCTTTGGGCTTCCAAAAATCACTGGAGTAAGCATACCTTGCACTGAAACTTGCACTCGACTTGCATTTATCTCGTTGCTTTTCTGTTACTGACATATTTGCATCTTTTGCTCTAGATAAGCACAGTGAGACGCGAAGACAACACCTGCCGGATGCAGCTGCAGTATTCTGCCTGCTAGGAAAACTATGGCATGCGCATAAGGACATCAACAAAGCTGTAGAATGCTATGTTGAATCTCTGAAGCTAAATCCCTTCATGTGGGACGCGTTCCAAGGGCTGTGCGATACCGGTAAGCTTTGGAGAATAAACTTACTACATCTACCCATGGCTAATTGTGTTCTTCCGCCAAGGCGTCAATGTCCGCGTGCCGAACATCTACAAGGTGAATTCTGAATTGCTGGCCGTATTGTCTTCGTCACCACAGGAGGACGCTGAGCCAATATCCGATAAGTCTGTACACACGAATGGGCCACTACAAGCGCAGGCGAATGTCAATCCAAGTTCCGATCCTTTTGCTTCGACAACGTCTCGCAGTGATTCAGGTACCAGCCATGGGAGCTCTGCCTTGTGGGAAAAACTAAATGGAAGCACAGTAAGCGTGGCGTCATCGGGAGTGCCAGCATCAATCGTGCATGAAGGGGCGGAAACGCCGAGCGGACAAAGCAGCGGATCTGATGACTTCCGGTTAGCCAATGGGATGAACGGTGTGGACGCTCCTTGGGACCCTCCTTTAGCTCCTGCAAGGAAAAACAGAACGATCCAGGCAATAAGCGGCGAGTATCCAATGGACCCCCCGCCCAAGATGAAACCCACGGGGATCCGACCAAGAACAAGAACCAGGACCGAGCCAGAGGACCAAATTTCAGCGCAGACAGACCGGGAGGCTACACTTGCGCCCAGGGTCGGGGACCGCAAGAGAACTGTTTCTGGTCAGGTAGCGCATCCACCCACATCACAACCCACGGAACCAGGAGCGCCCCAACGGCGGAGTGTGCGACTCTTCAACCAGATTAAACCCACGACCAGCAAATTGTCGGCATCCGCACTGGGAGTCAAGGATGCTAGAGAGGTCAAGAAGGCGAAAGCCACGGGTACGAAGGGCCGTACTACAACCACCACCATGGGACGAGTAGTGAGTGGCAGTCGAAAACATGGCAGCGAACATCAGGATGCAGATGGTAAAGATGGTCGGTCGGTACCGTCTGCATACACTCACGCCATCTCCAAAGGTGCTGCACATGAAAGATCAAAAGAAATCGAGGCATTGACCTGGCTGCTGGAGCTATTCTCGAAACTTGCTTCTGGATTCTTTGCCTTGTGTCGCTACCGATGCTCAGAGTCAATCCAGATCTTCAATTCACTCTCTCAGGGCCAACGGGAAACGCCGTGGGTTCTCGCTCAGATTGGACGAGCGTATTATGAGCAGGCGATGTATTCCGAGGCAGAAAAGTACTTCTACCGTGTGAAGACCATGGCACCCTCGCGCTTAGAAGACATGGAGATCTACTCGACTGTCCTTTGGCACCTGAAGAACGATGTTGAGTTAGCCTATTTGGCGCATGAGTTGATGGAAACAGACCGCCTGTCGCCACAGGCGTGGTGCGCCATCGGTAATTCGTTCTCCCACCAGCGGGACCATGACCAGGCCTTGAAGTGCTTTAAGCGGGCAACACAGCTGGATCCCCAGTTTGCCTACGGGTTTACTCTTCAAGGGCACGAGTATGTTGCCAACGAAGAATACGACAAGGCGCTGGATGCATACCGTCACGGTATCAGCGCTGATAGTCGGCATTACAACGCTTGGTACGGATTGGGCACGGTCTATGACAAAATGGGTAAACTGGACTTCGCCGAACAACACTTCCGGAATGCGGCAAGCATCAACCCGACCAACGCAGTTTTGATCTGCTGTATTGGTCTGGTACTTGAAAAGATGAACAATCCTAAAGCGGCTCTCGTGCAATATGGTCGCGCTTGTTCCTTGGCGCCTCATTCCGTCCTCGCGCGATTCCGCAAGGCTCGCGCATTAATGAAGCTCCAGGAGCTCAAGTTGGCCCTGTCCGAGTTGAAGATTCTCAAAGACATGGCTCCAGATGAAGCCAACGTGCATTATCTGTTGGGTAAGCTCTACAAGATGCTTCACGACAAAGCGAACGCCATTAAGCACTTCACAACTGCTTTGAACTTGGATCCTAAGGTATGCCCATCACTTCCATTCCTGTCATATTACCAGAAAATGCTAACGGATTCGGTTTCAGGCAGCACAATACATCAAGGATGCCATGGAATCTCTCGACGATGATGAGGAGGATGATGACGACATGGCTTGATTTGCTGTCCACTTCCCACTCATCGATCCAGTTCTGGATCTTACTTGCTTCCCCCTTCTTCACCAGGTGCCTGCTATCCGCGGCTTGCATTCATGAGAGTCGGCGTTGAATTTGATTTTGGATTTTCGCAGCATTAGCATTATAAGGGCGTTTTGCAGGCCGGGTTGGTTAGAGGTGCATTTACCCTGCATCAGGTTCTCCAAAAGGGAGCCGAGGCTCGTGGATCTTGTTTCTTGTATATTAGCGTGGGTTGGCTTTGTCGGGCTGGTCATTGGCTGCTTATGAGAGACGAAGACGCCTGGACGACAGATTCATGGACATAGATGTCTGTCGAACAAGGCACTTGCATAATCTGCGATGTCATTCTTATGCCTATTCTTATTCTTGCGGAAATCAATTCCATCATATTTGAGCCTGAACCATGGAAATTATCTCCAAGACTGATACTTTGTAGAATAATTGCAGAGCTGCAAGGCGGTGAGCGGCAGAATGATGTTGATGCCCGAAAATCAGGGAAAAAGTTCCAGAATTGAACAGGCAGGATATCGTTGGTGATCTTCTGGCACGAGCATTAACGACCCATTCTTCGCGCTTCCTTATTCCTAATATCCATCTGAGTTACCAGGCCTGTGAATCCCGAACCCGCCAACCTCTGTGACATCCTCGGGTCATGGCCATTGCCGCTTTCTAAGTCTCCTGCGCATCCTTGTTCCGACCACCACGCCTGACCTCATACCCGAAATCAGCTGCCACGGAGGGGTACGGCTCAGCAAGAGTGTGAATATTACGACTTGGTGACTCCGAGGCTACTTATACAGCTTACCGTAACCCTAAAGATTACTGTGTCTTGTCTTTTGACATGTCGCTCCTGTCCTACATCGCCTCGGGCATCAGCTCGTTTGTCGTCGTGACGCTTTCCCTTTTCGCACTCGGCCAAAAAGTCCCCGCGCGGCCTTTTTCGCTCGGTGTCTTGCGGCCTATGGCTCTCTCTTGCTTTGCGCATGCTATGGCGTAATCGCATCCATTCTTCTTCGCCTCGTAGGCTACGGCCGGGTCTCGCAATGGGCCACCGCGCGCAGTTTCAAATGGGTTATGCGGTATACAACTGGCGTGCGGTTCGACATTATCCAGGGCGCCGAGCACCTCTCCACCCGGCCTGCGGTCTTCATCGGCAACCATCAGTCCGAGCTCGACGTGCTCATGCTGGGCTACATCTTCCCTCCCTACTGCAGCGTCACGGCGAAGAAGTCATTGAAAAATATCCCCTTCCTGGGTTGGTTCATGGCGCTGTCGCGGACGGTTTTCGTTGACCGGGCCAACCGCGAGACGGCGATGAAGACGTTTGACGGTGCGGCGGAGGAGATGCGCAAGTACAGACAGAGCGTGTTCATCTTCCCCGAGGGGACGAGGAGTTACTCCGAGAAGCCCGAGTTGCTGCCTTTCAAGAAGGGCGCGTTCCATCTGGCGGTCAAGGCGGGGGTGCCGATTGTTCCTATCGTCGCGGAGAACTACTCGCATATCCTGTCGCCGCGGAATATGCGGTTTAACCCTGGCGTGATAAAGCTCAAAGGTGTGTGTGCATGTGATGTTGTTTTTGCGCGGTATGAGACTAACAGATTCCCTTCTAGTCTTACCTCCCATCAGCACGGAAGGCTTGACCGCTGCGGATGTCGACCGGTTGACCAAGACCACCCAGGAGAGCATGCTCAAGGCTCTCCTCGAGCTCTCCGATCAGGATCACGATGAGATCGACTCAGAAGTCAAGAGGGCTACTTCCACGGCTGTCGAGATCTAATTGGTTACATGACCGTCCATGAGTTACGATCACATCCGCCTCCTGGCTTGATACTGCGGTGATACGCCGGCGCGGCCTGTCTATTCTTCGCCTCTTATATGACTGACGGCTGTATTGATATTCGGAATGACAACACGGCCAGATGAGCTCGCGCGCTCTAGAATTCCTAAGAGATATTCGGTGCCTGGGAATGGGTTGTGGATAGACCTGCGGGATTTAGATTTTGGATACGACTGTCTAACCGGGGTGCCGAGGAGAACAAGCGACCTACAGATAATTCACTTTCTTGCTTTCCTATAAATTTTGCGGACTATTGTGTGCAGACTCCTGACAGAGTGTAAATTAGCGTTATCCTTCATAGTTATTTGTATTGTTGGGTGTGGGTGAAAATGAATAGATATTCATTTACCCCCGCTTCGCTTCGTCCAGATGCTTCAACGCTCAAATAGACTCTCCAAAGACTATTTCTTTACACACTGACAAACACCCGTCGCACAAGGCGCAATGTCCCTGTCGATATCGATCTTCTCCATCTGCATCCAGGGATCTACAGAGACAGCGACGCCCGCATCCCCGGGCAACGGCCGACTCTCGGTCCCAATCCCGCCCCCGCGCCGCCGTCGCAAATATATAGCCCATTTCAAACGCGACCACCTCAATCCGCACATCCTCCACTCTCTTCCCATACAACCAGGTCTTGATACCAGTGTACGGCTCGCCCCAATCCCCCGCCGAGGCGGAGCCCTGCACCGGCGCAGGGGCAGGGGCAGGGGCAATAACATCCGTAAACTCCAGCTCGCGCAGCCACGGCGCGAGAAGTGCCTCGCCAGTCATCTTGATATACGCCTCCTTGAGAGCCCAGTACGTGTAGAACAAGCGGAGGCCGTACTCCACCGCTTCGCCATCCTGCGCGTCAGCCGGAAATCTCCCGCCCAAGTTCTTGATTGTGTCCAGCTCGCGCGGGGAGAAGACTTCCGCGAAGACGTCGACGTATTCGGCTAGTTGGTTGCGGGTTGATGGGGCGGAGCTGGTGCGTGCGCGCCGCTCGTCCACGCAGGTGATGTCTATGCCTACCTGTGGGACGGAGGGGGCTGGGACCGAGGATGGGCTGGGGTTGGCGAATACCGCTGCGGGGGTGGTGGTTGCGGCCTGGGACGGTGGGATGATTGTGCCTGCGAGCGCTACGAGAGATGCTTGGTGGCTGACGTTGAATTCGATGTTAGGGATGGGCTCGTCGGTGGCCTCGGTCAGGGCGGGAGAGGGGATGAAGCATGGTCGGCGGTGAGGATCTGGCGTGCGACTGATGCTGATCTTGTCCCAGGAGATGCGGCAGGAGCGGTGGATGAAGAGGTATTTCAGCAGGTTTGAGGCGAGGGACATGTGTCGGTCCCTGAGGTGGTAGAACTTCTTGACTGTCTCTTGGTCCGATTGTTGGAGGGTCTCCAACAATGGGAGTGACGGATTCGTCGCTGTCAATTGGCGCGTGTCTATATACCATCGCGTAAGAGAGGGTTTCCCCTCGTTTTGTACAGAGCCCATCTTTCCAGAGAAAGCTGCAAACTAAGCAGTAAGGATTCGCACGCAAAGAGCTATATCTTCAAAAACGGGGAGGGACGGTGAGAGGCCGAGAGCTAGCTGCGTAGGCTTAATTGATCGCTCTGCTACGGCAAAATAAGAAAAGTAGAAAAAGAAGCAGTGTCATAAAGTGTCATCGAGTCATATCCGTCATCATCAAACGCAGTAACATCCAATGCATATGCTATGAGACATGGTGAATCCTTTGCTGACATTGAAGACAACAATCTTATCAGTAAGTTAGGCGGGGTAGCACGTGCTGATAAATACCGGCCGAACGTTGACCCGCTTAGGTAATGGATGTATACAAGGAACGAAGAGTGTGGCCAAGGTGTGAGTCAAAAAGTCATTATTTTCTACATGCAAAGATTACCATGGCCAGCATCACTGTCGGGGTTCTCGCTTTACAGGGCGCCTTCTATGAGCACATCCAGCTGCTGAAAAAGGCAGTCTCGGAACAAAGCTCCACGACTCAATGGGAATTCATTGAAGTTCGGACACCGCAGGAGTTGGATCGGTGTGCTGCGTTGATTCTTCCTGGAGGCGAGAGCACGACTATCTCTCTCGTTGCGGCCCGATCGAACCTCTTGGAGCCTTTGAGGGATTTTGTGAAGTATGTTCGCGCAATAACCCAAAGTCTAGCCCGTCAATGCGACTGACAATATGTTTTCTTAGGGTCCATCGGAAACCGACATGGGGCACCTGTGCCGGGTTGATCCTGCTCGCCGAATCTGCTAATCGAACCAAGAAAGGCGGACAGGAGCTCATTGGAGGTCTCGACGTTCGCGTAAACAGAAATCACTTTGGCCGGCAAACGGAGAGTTTCGAGGCGCCCCTAGATTTGCCGTTCTTGGGTCCGACCGAGCAGTCGTTCCCAGCAGTTTTTATCCGGGCGCCCGTGGTGGAAAAGATCCTGCCTCATCAAGAAGGTATCCAGGTGGACGAAACACAAAGGGACGAGACGGTGGTGGCGCCTTCGAAACAACCCCAGGGCCAGGCGGCCAAGGCGGCGATGGCCGACGGCGTTGAAGTACTAGCAAGTCTCCCCGGCAGAGCAGCTAAACTAGCTGCCGCGGGAACGCATATCGACGCAGATAAAGAGACCGGCGACATCGTCGCAGTCAAGCAGGGTAATGTATTCGGGACAAGCTTTCACCCCGAGTTGACAGGTGATGCCAGAATACATTCCTGGTGGTTGCGCCAGGTGGAGGAGTCGGTAAGGAAGAGGAAGGGAATATAAAGAGTCATAGACTTGGCAATTCTGTAGCAAGGAATTGTTGATTGTTGGGTATCTGGTAGAATTTTCCTTTCCTTGAACAGCCGGTGCAGTTTACCGGTATGATAGAGATGACCTTCTCGATATACAAACGCCTTGTCTGCGCCAATAGACCACGCAAATTTATTTCCCAATTACTTACCTTTGCCGTACTCTTCTTCTTCCCGCCTGCGCTGGTCATCTGCGTATGCCCGGCCATAACCACCACGGCCCGGATCGTACTCTTCACGGTATTCGTCGCGCACCTGCCCACCAGACTTTCCTCGTCTTCGCTGAAAAGTTAGATACTCCTCTTCTTCTGTTTTCTGGTAAAGATGTAGCACCACGTACCCATACTGACGTCCTTCCTCGAAGCCAGGGTCAAGATCTGTACGGATAATCCGTTCATCGAGCTTGGTGCCTCCGACATACTTTAAGCAGTCCAAGGCATCCTGATGGGTGTAGTATTCCACGAAGCAGAAGCCACAGGGAGTTTTGTTGTATCGATCCAGCCCCATTACAAGGCGCTTGATTTCACCGCACCTATATGCGCCAGTTAGTTCTGGGTATCATCCATGACGGGCCTGCGGATCCGCTGACTTTGAGAAAAGCTCATGAATTTGCTCCTCTGTTGTGTAAAAAGAACTTTAAGAAAGTCAGTATGCGCCATACTTATGGCAATGTTTCGGTCTATAGCCGACATACAGGTTTCCGACATAGAGTGTTGTGGCATCCTTCAACTTGTCGACTGGGTCCTCCGCCCTCTCAGAGTCATCCTGGCTGTACTTGCGTTTCTTGTTCTGCCATTCAAAAGACTTTATTAGGAAATGATCAATGCCAAAAGCAGTTCGCAAGCGCACCTTTGCCAGGTAATAGGCGCTAGGCCGATCCAGCCTATCGACTGTGTTGTGGACCAGAGTACTCATTATATTGTCGACGCGGTTGTACACCCCGGATAAGAACAAGGCAATTATATCAAGAAATATGAGTCAACGCCGCTGGATATGTGCGAGACTGAGCAATGATGGAGATGGCGGAAATGCAGATTGAAGATGTGGGATAGCTGGACATCAAGACTCAAGAGCTCTCAAGGGCGGAGCTTTCACCTTGTCTTGGCGCGCTTTTCCTTCAGCAACCAAAAATCCCGTGCCCGCTGTTTGTTGCTATCACTGCCGTCATTCTAACCAACCTTCAATCTGAATCAATCTATCCTCCCACCAGCTTACTGAGGATATGGAATAAATCTTCAGCCATCCCCAATTCATTTCTGGTTCCAATTTCCACTTGCTTGCGATAACGGCCGACAATGCCGAAGCTCATCAGCTACACTCCTCCATGGCTATCGCGCCCTGCACCCGGCGCAACACTCTTTGCAAGCACATCGACCAAAAAGCCAGGTTATCTTCCGGAGAATGAGGCGGAGTATAGCGGACCGACAAGAACCCTAGCAAAGCGAGGAAATGAGGTCTTCACCGTGGTCAACAATCAGATCCGCTGGTCGAGCCTTACTCGGCTGAAGGATGTATGGCAGCAGCAGTCCAGATCAAAGAAGGACGCTTCTAGTCAGACAAGGAGCTCTGAGGGACCGTCAGATAGCGATGAGACAGACTATTACAGAGTATGGCTGATTGTCGCACGAGCTTTTGCTTGTCTATCTCATTGTCGTGGCTAATGAGTGACTAGGTTCTGATCGTACCAGTCTACGAACGGATTCGGCAGATGATTCCTTCTCCAAATGGCGCCTTTCTGGCTATCGTAACAGATCATACAGTGTACATCGCCGTGCTACCAGATTCATCGCACCTGTCTGGCACAGATCGCTCACCCATCCGTCTCAAGTATTACCAGCTTGGTCCCACTACGCACGTTATCCCCGAGTCGCCTGTTGTTTCGGCGCTGTGGCATCCCTTGGGGGTGCACACAAACCTAGGGGGCTGTCTTATCACCGTCACCGCAGATGCCGCAGTTCGGGTATGGGAGCTGGACCGGAACAACCACTGGTCATTCGACCGACCTACGCTGGCGGTTGATCTGAGAAAATTGGTGGACGGAACGTCTTGCGACCAGGACTTTTCACCTTCTGGGTTTGGGAAGAACAAAGGATTCTCCGCCGATTTCGTCGATATGGAAGTTGCCTCGGCTTGCTTTGGCGGTAGCGGAAGCGAGAAGGAGAGCGCATGGGCACCCATGACACTGTGGGTCGCAATGCGGCCTGGTGATCTTTATGCCCTTTGCCCGTTGTTGCCTTCCAAATGGCGAGCTCCTGCGACTACTATTCCGTCCCTTACTTCGGCCATTGTTCCAAAATTGTCAGCGATGGAGGAAGACTCGTCGGAATATGAAGATGAGCTGACAGCCTGCCGGCAGCAGTATGACTGGCTCACGGAGATCGATAACCAGGATCCCTTGCAGACCATTGCTGGCTCAGATATGGAGCCTGGGTCGGAAATCCTGACACGTCCCGCAAATCCCAGTGCGATCCCCAGGTTGCAGGGTCCGTTCCGTGTCGACACCGGGGACGAGCTTGATGATTTGGACCTTTGTGACATCCTTGTCATTGCATCGAAAGTGGATGTGGATGCTCTCATGATGGGTGAGGATGATGAACTCTCTGTGGAAGACAACGATCAATTGTCGGCCACTGTTATCTGCCTCTCGACCCGCACTGGCAGGGTCCATATCTGCCTTGAACTTGATGGCGTCGAGGGGCAGTGGCTCCCCAAGCTCAAAAAGAATGCCTTCAGCACTCCCCTGTCTGAGCCATCTGATTTGGTCTTGGTTGAGTCATTGGATACGCTCAGACAAGAAGACCAGCATTTGAACGACTGGCCGACCTTCACCAACGATGTTATCTCTCGATACAGCTTCTTCGTCACGACCGCGACCAATGTCACATCTATTTCGCTAAGTTCGTGGGTGCAGAGGCTTGAGGCCGAGCTCCGGTCAGAGGATACGGCGGGCTCGGCTTTCCGTTTGCAAGTGCTGTGCGAAGGTACAGTATCTCTCAGGGAGCGGATCATCGAAATAGATGATGGTGGCAGTGCTGTTAAAGGCGAATCAAACCATCTGGCCTCTTCTCTGGTCTTCTATGACTATGATCTTGGTTATTTGCTGTTGAGCCACCACGCATCTCGCCCGTATGCTGCCATCATGGATGCGCCTGAGGTTAGCCTTCCACCAATTGCAGATATGGGACCAATTGGTTCAGGGGCGCAGGCGCCAACTTCTCCAATTCTACCACCTAAAAGACCTCCTTACCAAGTCCCTTCAATTCTCTATTCGGACTCACCTCTGGAATTCTTCGTTGAGAAGCATGTTCCTCATCGACAACGCCAGTCGCTCAAAGAGCAGGTGCGTTTATCACCAGCAACGCTGGACCTGGTTGCTGCTGCACATCGCATTCTGTCTGCTCACACGAATGCTCTTGAGAGAGCTGCATCGGATCTTTTCCGTCGCTGTGAGCGGCTGCAAGGGGAGATGAAGGAGCAACTGAAGCAGCTCTCAGACGTAGCTGAGCGCATCAAAGGGGTCTCGAGTGATATTGGTGAGGATGGTCACCGGCGAGAGGGCTCGAGGAGTGATGAGGCGCTGGACAAGAGGCTGAAGGCTGCAAAGGAGAGACAGGCGCAATTGGTTGAGAGATATGAGTCGCTCCGAAACAAGGTCCTGAAGTCGGGTGGCCGTCCACTGAGCGAGAAGGAGAAGGCATTGCTTTCGGAAGTGGAGGCACTATCCGCTTCGTTGGAGAGAGAGAAGAAAGAAGAAGAGAAGGACCAGAGCTTGTCACAGAGATTGGAAACCGTGAGTCGCATCGCTCTCATGAACCACACAGTGATGCTGACATTTACTGCAGGTCAAGGAGATAGCGGCGGATCTGCTGGCCGAAACCAAGTCCATTACAGCCAAGGCACCTGTCGCACCGGAACCTGGGAGCCCGGCGTCCCCCACTGCCGCTGGGCCAAGAGTCCCACAAAGGCTACAAAGAGCGAAGATCTCCGATGCCATGCGGATGGTCGAGCGAGAGTAAGTTCTTTCTTCTAGTGACATTTGCTGCATAGGCTAACTCATCGTCTTCAGGTCTGCTGTCATTGAAGCCATTACCTCTCGATTGAACCGACTAAACTCGAGCATCTAAGTTTGACAATGAACTATCCCACTCGAGGAGATATTATCGTGTGATCTATGATTAGCAAAGGAGATTGCATGACATTAATCAACGACGCGCCGTCTCCTAGTAATCCAAGTTCACATTAGAAATTACGCAAAGCACTCGTGCTTGACACTCCGAGTCTTATCACTTCCTCACAACTCCTCAGAAAACACATAAGCTGGAACGTAGTAACACTGCCCTACTATGTCCTCCTCTTGACCACCCTCTTCCCGAAGACAACCAGATCACAACTCCTAGACAGATCACACTCGGTTTCATGGACCATCGACTCCGTCGGTCCTTCATCTTGGGCCAATTGAAGCGCATCCCCAATTTTTGAACTCTGCTGCTCCGTACCCGGTGTAACCTTCTCCCAACATTCACCACACATCATCTCGTGCTCGCTCTGAATCATCAGTCTTCGTCTGCGGCACAACCCCCAGTACTTGCAGCTGCTTAAGGAGTCGTCCCAGATGCATCCGCAGAGGGTGTATTTGCGGGTGTAGAATATGCACATCTTGATTTCCGTTTGCTTCGGTTTAGTTTGAATTGATGCTTGAGATGATTGTGGTAGTGGAATCTGGGTGTTGTTTGGACACTGTAATGTCGATATATATATTAAATACAACCACGCCTTGTCTCAAACACAAAGGGGGAGAGCTAGTTTGCCCAAAACATGAAAAATAAGACATCAAGGTGCGCAGACTATTGATAATTAAAAGAATGGTCTTCAATACTCTCATTTACAATGTGAGACAATACATCGTTCATTGCTTTATCTTCGCCAACTCCACTATTGACATGGCGATGGGATAGGGCTATCTGGGCACGTGACGAAGATCTACACCTTTTGATGGAGGGATTGTCTTTCCTCAAACACACTGAGAAGTACGGAAAGCATATGGATTGATGGTTTGGACTGATTTACGGAGTAAATGAGTCGCAATACAAGAGTCCAGGTAGTTTTGTACGGTTGATCGACGTCGGCCCATGATTTCTTTACAGAAGCCTACGCAAAGTGACAGCAAGCTACATACCATACCAGTAAATCAAAGATAGTACGGCCTCTTACTCCATGCTGACAGAGTTTAGAGGGAGATGTATACAACTAGGTGGCCAACAGACCTCCAGCTTTATTTACAGGTACTGCGGTCAGTAAGGTATGTAGCCTGTGCATGGAGGTAGATTGAGCCTGAATTGAAATGCATTATGTTTTTTGTAACTCTAGAAACACTATAAATCCAAACAAACATCACTGGACACTGGTTTGGGATAGTTATCAGCTTTACGTTCCTTCAATTCCCGCAGAAGTGGCAGAGACTTACCGTTCAATAAGGTGGACACCAGAGGCAGTCTCAACAATGCCGCTGACCTGGCCTGGCTGTAGCGCAAAGGCTGCATCCTCGAATTCCTTTTGCATCTCGCCACGGCCGAAGAACCCACTCGTGAAGAATTAGTATTGAATATAGCCAAGGAGGGAACTACGATGACTATGGATGTAACATACAGGTCGCCCTTCTTCCTGGCACTGCTACAATCCGACTCCGAGACTGCGATATCACCCAAGCTAACTTCACCCGAGCGGATGCGCTGTTCATGGCCTCGAAGGATCTCGATCGCTTCCTCTTTCGATCGGGTGATCTCCGCCTCCCTCCAGCTACTTGGTCGCCTACTGTCTCTATGCTTGATCAAGAGGTGACTGCAACGGATCTTGCCCTCGCCCTGGCCAGTGCCGTCAGGCCGCCCGGCGGGGGCGCTGTGGTAGTTTGCCATGTAGACCTTCAGCAACTCGGTGTCTGTGCCGGCGGGGGTTCCCACCGGGACTCCTTGGTCGAGGGGTTGAAGTAGTAAGGAAGGTTCTTGGAGTTGGAATGGCGAACCTCCCATCCTGCAGGAAGACCGGTTTCTACCTGTGGAAGATGTCTAGTTAGTTAATGCACTAGCTAAGGAAAGGAGAGACATGGCAGACCATGGTGAATATGATGTATATTCAAATGATTAGCAAGAGCTATATGAGGCAAAATGGCCGAGAGATTCAATTTATGTCTGGATTGATGAGACGAAGCTGTCAACGGTTCTCTTACTACGAGCAGCCTTGAGCCGCCCGTACAAACTGCGGGGAAGAAAGAGGGATGGCGGCAAACTGTGCAAACATCCCACTTAAGGTTCGAAGCCGCGCTTGAATCCCATCTGATTGGGTCTAGCCTCCTTTTGGGTCCGCCTCAGGCGCCAATCCAGCGCTTCTTCCAACTTCCATTTCATTGATTATTCAAGCGCAGTCTTTGACTGAGTCTCGATCATCTTTTGCCTTCCATTTCTTGAGCTTACTTCAACAAATCTTCGAAACTCCGCGTATTATTTTCTCTCAGAAGTCTATCCTACCTGCTACTGCAAACTTTTCACACGCGACGCTTCAATCTACACCGACAATATGTCTTCAAGCCCGTCTCCGTCCGCCAGTGGCGATAACAAGCAAACTGATCAGATTCATTTCCGTTTCTGTCGCGAATGGTAAGAAGTTTCCTATCTCCCATAGTCTCCGTTCTACAGCCAGCTAACATTAGAAACAGCTCCAACTTGCTCTATCCCAAAGAAGACCGCGTCAACAACCGTCTCATGTTCACGTGTCGAACGTGCCATGTCGGCGAGCCCGCGACCTCATACTGCGTTTACCAGAACAAGCTGAACAGCCAAGTTGGAGACACTGCTGGTGTGACCCAGGATGTGGGATCTGATCCAACGGTTTGTCTCCCTGGTTTCTGTGCCCATTGCGGGGAAGAGATTACCTGCTTTACCTGCGGGCAGTTGCCTGAAGACACCCTGTCCGATTGGGATTCTGAGGATTCCATGAGCGTTTAAACATACTGGCCCATCCCTCCTGGTCATGGAAACATTCCAAGATCTGTTGCTTGAAATTTCCGTGGCTGACATGATCTCTCTTTCTTGCTTAGCTTCCCCGATCGAACAAGCCCTGTCCGAGCTGCGGTGAAGCGGAAGCAGTCTTCTTCCAATCTCAACAGCGATCAGCGGAAACTGGAATGGTGAGACATTGCCCGTGCCTTTTGATAGCCACATTTTGCTAACTCTGCGTCATTTAAAGAAACTCTACTATGTCTGCTGCGCGTGTGGTAATGTTTTTGTATGATTGGTCTTGTTGGTGCAGCGTCCGAAGTTTGGATACCCTTCTGTTTGTGATTTTACGGCATTTTTATGGAGTCATGGCATTTCTGGCGATAAGAAGAACCGAATGCTTCAAGGATTTCTATTGGTACAAAGTATTTGTTTGAGATGATAAAACGATTCGCTTCCAAATTGGTATATTACACATGCATAGGCGCCAAGGACAGAATTTTTGACCACTGCTTTCCTCGTAATTCTGTACCAACAACTCCTGCAACCGTGAGTTAGTAGCTGAGTCAAACCTCAGAGACCTTTGTCTAGAAGACTAACCGTTCATTCTGGTTCCAATGGGATCACCCGACTTGTTGACCAGCACACATGCATTGTCATCGAATTTGACAATTGTCCCATCTGGTCTTTGCATCTCCTTCTTTGCGCGAACGACGACAGCGTGCCGGATATCGCCGCGACGGACCTTGTTCGCGATGCCGCTGTTGTTCGTGCTCTCGGGGCCGAAGTTTCGCTGTTTCTGAACCACAACCACTATCCGGTCACCTATTTCCGGTTGAAATCATATCAGAAAAGCTCGTTGATCGTAGATATCGCATTAGATGTATAACCCACCGACTGTGGCCGGCCGCTTCTTCTTCAAGACATTCACGCATTCGACGACTGCGGCGCCGGAGTTGTCGATGCAGTTGAGCAACGTCTGCGGACCACGTCAGTAAAATTTCGGAGACAAGGTCAACCTCTTGAAAGGAAATACCGCTTACCTTTAATTGAATCATTGTGATTGTATAAACGCAAAGGAGGGGTATCTGACGATGTCAGGGCCGTCTTGCCTGGGCTGGCCGAAAGATTTCCATGTCCGGGCCGGCAGGTTTCGCCGACCGCCGACCCCGGAAAATAGCGCAGCACTGCTGCACATACTGCCGCATGATTGATCGCATGGGCAACGCAGCCGCCAAGTAGTGTTGTCCTAGTGAATGTCGCATTATTGAAGGCCTTTCCCCCCCTCCCATTCCATGTGCGCTAGTTCCTCTGAGGCATCCACTCGCCTTTCCACTATGTCCACACCTTTGTATTTGGACTCCTTTCTCCTTGCGTTTTTCTGAATTGCTAAATCTACGCTCCTTTGGCGGATCCCCCCTGGTCTCAAGATCCGCACTTCCGCTTGGGCCTCCTCTGACAGGACATCGAGCCGCCAATTCACAACGCATACATTTCATAGCGGCCGATCTTTCTTGTATGGAAGATTGCTGATACTGCCTTCGCCATGCCGTCTGCAAAGGAAAGAGATAGCCCGTCTGTTGACCGTCGTGACCGTCTGACGCTTGCGAAACTGGCCAGCTACGATGATATCGCGACGGATGCGCTGGTGGACCGAGTACGTGGTCCCTGACTGTCATGCATGTTTCAGACTCGTTACTGACTCGTGAACTCTGCAGGCTTACTTCTGGACCAATACTCGCAAGAATAGAACCAAATACAACCCCATGCGGGGCATTGTCGACGATGATGTCGCTCGCATCCTCCTACACGATGTCATTGTCGCAAAGGATCCCGCGAAGGCAGAACGAGAATTGCTGGCGATGTCGGGGCTGAAGAAATTTATGGCCCGGTTGCCCAACGATCGCGAGAAGGATTGGTTTCGCCGTCACCTGCGCAAATACATTCAGATGTACCTGCCTGACTCGCCGTTTGAGATCACCACAACCAATCGTTACACAATCACGGAACATGAGGCTGCGGTCTGCGCTCGTAAATTCATCAGGCAAGGACAGGAAATTAAATATCTGAGCGGAACTCTTGTGCCTATGACCCGTGAAGAAGAGCTGGATCTTGACCTGAAGCGGAAGGATTTCAGCATTGTGATGTCCAGTAGGAAAAAGACCCCGTCTTTTTTCCTTGGGCCTGCTAGATTCGCCAATCACGACTGCAATGCGAACGGGAAACTGGTGACGCGTGGATCAGAAGGCATGCAAGTTGTGGCTACTCGGGACATCTACATTGGCGAGGAGATTACAGTATCCTACGGTGACGACTATTTTGGGATTGACAACTGCGAGTGTCTATGTCTTACCTGCGAACGACTGGTCCGCAATGGCTGGGCGCCGCACATGCCATCTGAGCCTCAGAGTAAGGCGTCCACGCCTGCGCTGAACGATGATAATCTGTCAATCGACAGTCACGTCTCACCTAAGAAGCGCAAATTTGCACCAGACTCAGACACCGAAGCTTCTGCCCCGTCCACTCCTTGCAAACGAGGCAAGTTTGTTCGCCAGAGTTCGAAATTGAGATCCGAAGTGTCCTTCCTCGAAGTTGCTACTTCGATTGAACAACCTGCTGGCCCTTCCCCCGTGTCCAACGGATCTGATATTGGGGTCTTGGGTAACAGTACTGTCGAGTCGGACAATGACAAGGCCGTGGACGCTGCCCTGCCTTCTCCGCCTGCCGATTCTCCTCCGTCAACTGTCGCGAACGAGTCCGAACGCTCATCAACATCAACAATCGCCACCTCTGTGTGCGATGCTGCAGTCAAAATCAAAGTGGAAGAAACGATAGAGAAATGTGCAGAGAAAGTTTGCCCCATAGCCGAGACAAACGTTGAACTGTCGATCACATCTCAACTCGCAGACAGCATTGAGGGAGACACAAAATCAGAACTATCAGATCATCCGAGCACATTGGAACACGAATCTATTGGTTCTAACAGAAAGAAGCCCAGAAAGTCTCGTGGAAAAACTGCTGTCGTTGAGTCGGTGGAGGCTGAATCACAACTCGTCCGTGTTCCAGGGGATTATACCAAAACCTCGAAACTTTTGGCGCAGACATACGACCGCTGGGTTGACTGCCACACCTGTAATGCCTGGTTTGTGCAACACAACTCCTACTTGACTCGACGAGAGTGCCCCCGCTGCGAGCGTCACTCTATGTTGTATGGGTACCGCTGGCCTAAGACTGATAAGGAGGGTCCGTCGGACGACGAAGAACGAGTGATGGACCATCGGACGGTGCACCGCTTCCTATACCCCGAAGAGGAGGCTGTCATCTCGCGTAAAGACCGCGGCGTCAGTTTCGGTGTGACGCCCACGCCGGAATTATCTGAGCCACGCACAGAAACCGAAGGAAGCGAAGGCTGTGACGACAAGCGCACTACTCGTGCCAGTCGACGCCGCACTCATTCGCTTCGAATGACAATGTGACGATGGTGAATTTTGTGTTTTTGACATTCTGCACTAATTGGGAATGGTGTTTGGTGCAGGTAACATTTCATTGCAATGTTGGATCAGGGATTTACTCAGGGATGGCGCTCCAAGACACGGCATATTGCATCTGTAGACATGGTTTCATGATTTGACCTCATTTTTGGCATACCGCTATTCTGTACAAGAAGCAGTTATCTATCATATCCAGTTTATTGGACAATGACACAATCGCACACGGGAGACCTACAGTCGCCGACAGTATGGTGTTCCTTTTTCGTGTCTTCCCCGCATTTTCGGTACTCCACGTTTGGTTCATGATGCCTTCACCGCAATGGGAAATATAACTGCACCAATGGCGAAGGGCCCTGTTTCCCTTTCCCCGGCCTTGGCATCTAACTTGGCATCATCCTTCGTTTGTTCTCAAGGTCTTCAGATCTGATCTCGGTGTGTCTCATACCGAGAGCTTGCCAGTGTTGCTGCTGCGCCAAGGTGCCATATAAATGAGCAGAGATGCTCTGGATTTCTGCGGGAGCCGTATCCTAGACCATTGCCTGGTAAGGCAGTCATGGCGATCTCAACGAAGTGTATATTTGCCCTTTGCGTCGTCTTGCTGACATTCTCGCTCTCTAGCGCCTACGAAGACCCCCTCGTCGAGCTCGACTATGGGCAGTTCCAGGGCAAATATGACTCTACGTATAATCTCTCATACTTCCGCAAGATCCCCTTTGCGGCGCCTCCAACAGGAGAGAACCGGTTTAGAGCCCCTCAGCCGCCTGTAAAGATCACGAATGGCGTGTACGACACCGACCAGGACTTTGACATGTGCCCGCAACGCACGGTCAATGGCTCCGAGGACTGCCTCTACCTTGGCCTGTTCTCACGACCGTGGGATGCTACAGTCGCTCCCTCGTCTGCTTCTAGACCAGTCCTGGTTGTCTTCTATGGTGGTGGCTTCATTCAAGGCAGCGCTTCGTTTACACTACCTCCGTCGTCATATCCAATCCTGAACGTCACAGACCTCAATGACTATGTGGTCATCTACCCCAACTACCGGGTCAACGCGTTTGGCTTCCTTCCAGGCAAGGCGATCAAGCGCTCTCCAACGTCTGATCTCAACCCTGGACTCCTGGACCAGCAGTATGTCCTCAAGTGGGTGCAGAAATACATCCACCACTTCGGCGGCGACCCCGGCAACGTCACGATCTGGGGCCAATCCGCCGGCGCAGGCTCAGTGGTTGCTCAAGTCCTCGCCAACGGACGGGGCAATCAACCCAAGCTCTTCGACAAAGCTCTCGCCAGCTCGCCCTTCTGGCCAAAGACCTACGCCTACGACGCCCCCGAAGCAGAAGCCATCTACGACCAGCTCGTCACCCTCACCGGCTGCGCCAACGCCACCGACTCCCTCGCCTGCCTGAAATCCGTCGACGTCCAGACCATCCGCGATGCAAACCTCATCATCAGCGCCAGCCACACCTACACCACAAGCTCCTTCACCTGGGCCCCGGTCATCGACGGCGAGTTCCTTCAGGAGAGCCTCACCACAGCCGTCGCCCGCCGCAAACTCAAAACCCACTTCGTCTTCGGCATGTACAACGCCCACGAGGGCGAGAACTTCCTCCCCTCCGGCCTCGGTAAGCCAGCCACAACCGCCGGCTTCAACTCCTCCGCTGCAAGCCTCCACACCTGGCTGACGGGCTTCCTGCCGGGTCTCTCGCCCCAGCACATCGCCCTCCTCGAATCAAAGTACTACCCGCCCACCGGCGAAACCGAGACTATTGACTTGTACAACACGACGCTTGTCCGCGCGGGGCTGGTCTACAGGGATCTTGTCCTCGCCTGTCCGGCGTACTGGCTTGCCTCGGCCGCAAGGCGCAGGGGTTATCTAGGTGAATATACGATTTCACCGGCTAAGCACGCGAGTGATACCATCTATGTTTGTTTCCCCCTTTTCGGCATCACCCATTTATCAGTTATCACTTCCCAAGGCGTGAACTAACGGAGGTAGTGGAACCGGGTGAATGAAATCCAACAGACTGATCCATTGATCTATGACGGCTTCGCAGGCGCTTTTGGGAGTTTCTTCCAGACGGGCGATCCGAATGCGCATAAGTTAACGAATACGTCGGAGAAGGGTGTGCCGGTTCTCAAGGAGACGGGGGAGGAGTGGGTGATTGCTCCGGATGGGTTTGCGACTGCGGAGGTGTCCTTTTTGAAGGAGAGGTGTGATTTTTGGGAGTCGGTTGGAGAGCGAGTTTCTGTTTGAAAAGGAAATATACAGTGCCGATAACTTTGTCTAAAACCTGGTGGCTGTGTGGATGAATCATGAATAATGCCATTGATGAGTTGGATGATGCGATGTTGTAGATATACAGTATTATACATATGTCCAGATCCGATGGTCTATATCCTGGTATTCCTTCCCTGGGATCCATATCCGAACGCCTTGCCCTGATCCAGTAATTTATACACAAACACAATGTTACAACTTTGTCCTGACGAGATGGGAGTCCGCTAGATCAGTGCCTGACCGCGGAACATACCCTCGCGGACTTCTTTGACTACGTCCTTTCTATCCTTCTTGCCGACCAGCACAACACCGCGGCCGCGCTTGCCCATCCGGCCGAGACGGCCGAGACGATGGATAAAGTCAACGGTTGTGTGCGGGACGTGGTAGAGAATGACAGTCTTGACTGCAAGAGTGTCAATACCGCGGGAGGCCAAGTCGGTCGTGACGAGCACCTTGGTGTTGGCAAGGCGGCGGGCCGAACCCTGGTTCGTCTTCTCGGGCATCTCGAAGGGGATCGCGTCTTCGTGACGGCGCTGCTTCTGAGCCAGCAGGATTTCATCCGGGGTTGGAGGGGGTGGTGCTTCGGTGAATTCGGCGAGGATTTCCTCTTGCTTTCGGGCATCAGAGTCCCGCGAGAGAGACTGCGCGTCGATACCCTTGGAGCGAAGGAATTGAGCCACCTCATCTGCCTCTTCGCGCTCGTTCACAAAGACAAGAATCTTCTTGGTCTTCGGCGCAGCGTACGAGGCGTAAGGACCCTCTGATTCCGAGTCGCCTGCCTTGCCGATCGACCAGATGACATCGGCACATGCCAGGCTGCGGTTTCCGCGGTATGGATCCTTTTCGATATCCACCACACCCAGCTGGACGCGACGGGGAATTGCGTGGAGATTAGGCGTGGTGAGCCGCTTGATGTCCGGATAACGCTTTCGCAAGAGGTTATCAAGACTCCGAGGGATAGTGGCCGAGCACAGAATCAGCTTGCGGAGTGAAGGAGTGACCTTGCTGATGATCTCTGTGGTTGTTGGGGCAAAGGACCGATCCAAGAGCGAATCTGCCTCGTCGAGAACCAGGTGACTGACCCGGCTGAGTACGTAGGGCTCTGTTTTCGCAATGGATGCGAGCAGGTGAGGGGTGGCAACGAGAATGTCGATTCCGTCAGGGTGGAACAGTGTGTTCTTGATGCGGCGTGGAGTGAGATTGGAGGATATCATTCCGGATCGGTATTTGACCGTGTGAGACAGTGCTTTCACCTTTACGCCCACCTGAGCCACCAACTCTGATGTGGGCACCAGGATGATCGCCCTTGGCCTGCCCGCATTTGAGAGCGGCGGAATCTCGGGTTCGATATCGAAAGCTCTATTTTTCAACTTCTCTTCTCTCTCCCTGGCCATCTCTTCCTGCTCCTTCTTCTCTATTTCTTTATCCCGGGCTTCTTCACGCTTGACAGCATCCACAACTGGAAGGAGATACGCCAGTGTCTTGCCCGATCCCGTCTCTGCTGCTAGAAGGTATTGGTCGTACTGAGGCTCGTCATCCTCCGCTTTCGTCGGTTTCTTCTCCGTCTTTGGCTCCTCTAAAAGTCTCGGGATGGCAAGACGCTGAATCGGCGTCGGCGTCACATCGACCAAACCGGGCAAAGCTTGGGAAGAAATCGAATTGCGTACGACAGGCAGGAGCTGAAATTGATCGAAGCTGGTTATATCGGCAATCTTGGCCTTGATGGCCGCGCGACGACCGTACGGGATAGGCGCCAATGCGGTTTGCATCTTCAACGCCTTATACAACGGACTTTCCTTCTGGGAATCCTCTTCGGGCTCTCCAGAGCGCTTCTGAGCTGCTCGAGACCTTGCTCTTGGTGTGTCGCGAATTCGTGCTTCTGTCTGATTCATTCCCGCAAAAGGTCCAAACCGTTCCTTGTCACCCCGAGTTTTCTTCACAGACGGTTTGGCGACATCTGGCGATAGAGTCATCCGAGCGACTCTGCGGCGGAGTCGAGCAGTGGCCATCGAACGGGTAGCCTGCAACGACGACGGTAGCGGCGCCGTTGCGCGAGACTGACAAAATAGACATACTGAAGGAGGCAGAGGCAGAGGTAATCTGCCTAGTCGATTCATTGTGACGGTGAGTCGACAAGACCGAGTGCTCCTGCAAAAAGCTTTTGCTGAAGATATTGATATCTAACGGGTGGATTGAAACTTTGCTGGAAATTTGCGGCTTGGCCAACGCCGAAACCACGCTAACCCCGAATAGGTCTAGGAGGATCGGAGGCCGAACCTTGGAAACAAGGCCATAAGGCTCTCAGGCGGCCAGGCCGCAACAGTTGCTATGGAGACACCCGCCGCTTCGAAACGTCAACATCTGCTGCCCTCTGCAACTGCAAGAGGCACGGATATCTTGCTTGTTCCTGATCCACCGGGCTTACTTATCCCGCTTCATTCATAGTTAACTAGTTAATTCTCCTCTCCTCTCTTCTGTCATCGACAGATCCTCCTCGTGCTTGTTTTCTTTTCTTTTTGGTGCTTTGTCTACCCTCGTGTTGTTGTTGTCTCCTTATCCTTTCTCTTTGCACGGTGGATGTGGTGGTATCCTGTCACTTATCAATTCATCTGTCCCACATCCCGATCCGTTGACGATCTCTGCTCATCTGGATTTCTATATCTCTTCGTTATCGGAGCAGCAGTATTCTTTCGCTCCACCACCAGGTACAAAATTGGCGATCTTTTGATGAATATCCCTTTGTGACGAATCTGCCACGACTTGTACGAACAATATCCTCAAAGTTAGTCCATCACCTTTTTTGTTGGTTATCGAAGCGCCATTCGTCATTTGTTGTTGTTTATCAGAATAAGGTATGGGCGCGTTCTTCTTGCAAGGGATATATCCCGGGGTTGCACGGGCCATTCCTTTGTTATGCTCTTTGTCAAAACATGACATCTGCTGATACATGAACCACAGCGTTGGAATTTTCTTTATTCCCCTTGGTGCTCATTGTGCTATCTGCCGTCTTTGGGTGATCATTGTCTTCTCTCAGAATGGGTAGTGGCTCGGCTCAGCGCCCTCTATCCGAAGTAAGCCCAGTGGCTCAGAGACGTAACTCACCAGTGTGGAATCAAAACACTAAAGTAAGTGTCTTTATGTGCAGTATTTGGGAGAGAACCTAACGTACGATTGTGCAGACCATGAGAAACAGCGATGCCTCCAGCTTCGAGGTTTCCTCCTCACCACGCCTCTTCTGGCAAGGCCGTGAATCGGGCTCGCCTTTCCCAAGAAGTTCCGAGAACCAGGCCCCATATGATCCAGACTCACCATATTCGGCATCCAAGCGTCCATCCCTGGAAAATCTCAAGCGCGCATCTCGAGTGAAGAACAGCAACATGCTGCGTGAGCGTAACCAAGAGTACGATCCAGCCAGTGTATATGTTCCACAACGACCATTGGCGACGAGTAGATCGCCACAGAAACAGTCACAAAGCGACTCGTCTCCTCAGCAGCCGCAAAATCGCGATGACCGCCAACCAGGACCCCGACCTCCATCACCAAGCAAAGATCAGGTATCTCCAGCCAAATCCTCCTTGTCTCGTGCCAGTCGATTTGGCGTCAAAGGGACCGGCTTCGATCCTGAGAGCGAGATCTGGTCGGATTTCGACAGCGTTGGTAATCGGTACCCTAAGAGCGTGACCTTTGATGCTGCTCCTCCTCAGGTGAATGAGTACGAGATGACTACTCCAGATCCTTCGTCAATCGCCTCGGAGTCTCGCGACGGAAGCTACGACTCTGAAGAGGACGAGGGTGATGTCAGTTTCGATCGCGAGTCCTCGCTTGACCGCGACGACAGCTTCGATGCCTCTTTGGAGGACCTTGAAAAGACCCCCGTTGTACTCCCCGAGGATTGGCGCTATATGAGTCCTTCCACCGCAAACGACGAGCTCGTGAAAGAGGATGATGATCCATTCACAGAGGATGACGAATCCCACAGTCCCGGCCCCACGACTCCCTCACAGCAAAAATTGCCTCTCCAGCATTCTCGTGTGGAGTCATTGGATTCGAACGGAGAGCGTCGTCCTCTGCCTCCCCTGCCTGGCGCGGGTCGTCAACCTGTCACTCCTCACTCTTCCTCGCCTGGAAAATTAGCAGCAGCGTTCGAGTTGGGAAGTGGTGGTAAAAGAGTTCTTCCTTCTCCCCCCGCTCCTGCATCATGTACAAAGTCGGACATCAGTGAATTGAGCCGTGCATCCATGTCTTTGGAGGACAGACTGCGTTTGATGATGATCCGCAAGGATGAACGGGCCAAGCAGGAGCAGGAGCACGCTACTGACGAACCAGAACATGTCAAGCCATCCGAGGCGGCCGACCATGCCACGGAGGACCAGAACAAGGATGAGGCTAAGGATGTGGAGGAGCATGATACCGATGAACTCGATATTGCTATGCCTCGAATCTCCAGAGACTCCATCTTGAAAGACCTCCGCAGAAGCGATAGCTTCCTGGACGACCCATATGATGAGGACGAGTCTATGATCGCATCCAGTCCCCACCATTACATGAATTATGATCCAGACGTTCCCATTCCATCGCTTGAGAACGATAACGATGTTGACGACGATTATGAAGACTCGGACTCTGACGTGGTGATCAAACGAGAAGAGCACGATGATGATCTCTACGACATACCCAAATACGATGAAACCTTCCCGTCCCTTGACTCCTCCGTCAAGGACTTGGAAGACAAGCCTGCTACTGACGACTCCCAGGCCTCTCAGCTGTCCACGGAAAACTCCGAGCACCGAAAGCGGGAGTCCCAAGGATCCAACGATAGCCAGGCAACTCCTGTGCCCCAGGAAAGATCCGAGGAGGCGGTAGATGGACCCGATAACACTGACGACCAAGAGCTCCCTGGTCCGAAGATGGCAGCAATCACGGAATCCCTACGACGCCCGATGACCCCGGAGATAGATGAGCCGGTCTCTGATCCGTGTACCCCCGACTCAGTGATCCGCCACCCGATTGACGAAGAGGATGATGACTCTCAGACCTCTTCCGACGAAAGTGTACCGGAACCCGTCGCTACTGTCAAGGCACCCAACGGACTCAAGACACGCCCTTCCCTTACACCGGCGGATGTAGATTCGATGGCGGCAGTCCGTCGCAAGGTCAGCGGACAGCAGCCCCCACCAATGCTTACCCTGAGCAAGCAGATATCCCATGAATCTGACCACTCATCCCCCGACGAATCCGCGTCAGAGTCTGGTGATCAGTCCGCCCACCTGGCGGCCTCTACTGCGCCCAACAAGGACCTCACGCAGCGTCAGACCAGTTTTGTTAAGCTGGATATCCCATTCAGCATCCAAGAAGAGAGCCTCGGCATGGGCCTAGACAAGGAATTTGACCGAGTCATTGAATCCCAAAAGGTTGCGTTTGAGAAGTCCCTAGCCCAGTTGTTTGCTTCCGCGCCCACTACCTCTGCCCCGGATTCCCATAATCCTCAGGACTCAAGGAACCCTTTTAGTACCCCTAGAGCACCAGCTGACAGACAATTTCCCATACAGAGAGGTTATCTCATGAGGCATAACACCAAGGTTGTCATTGCTAGCAATCGCAGTGATGAAGAACCAGGCCCCACGCCTGGCGAGACCTCGACCGACCCGCGTACAGTGAGGTCTCCAGCCCCATCACCGCGAAAAGCGAGCCAGCAAACATGGACAACCGTACCCTGGAATGGACAACCTCGCCGTCCGAGCATGAGAATGTCTGGTGGTATCCCCAAGAAGAAGCCGGTTGCAGGCCCTGTGCCACCCCTTCCAGGTCAATCGAGCAACGTCCAGGAATCCATCGCACCAATTGAGGAGAATGAACCCACCTTGGATGGTGCTCTGGATGATGGCGAGGAACGCGGCCGCCTGTTTGTCAAGGTCATCGGGATGAAATACCTCGACCTGCCACTCCCCAAGGGTGAGTATCCATTCGCTTGTCTTCCAACCAACCCCCTTCCTTCTCCGTGCCACAAATCGATGCTAACTGCAGGACTAGGCGAGCGATCGTACTTTGCTCTTACGCTGGACAATGGCCTTCATTGCGTCACCACTGCTTGGCTGGAACTCGGGAAAACCGCTCCGATCGGACAAGAATTCGAGCTCATTGTACAAAATGACCTCGAATTCCAGCTGACACTTCAAATGAAAGTCGATGATGCTAAATTCAGGGTTCAGGAACCCGCTGCCCCTGCGTCCCCTGCGAGACAGAAGGCGTCCACTTTCAGCAGGGTTTTTGCCTCACCACGCAAGCGCAAGGAAATGGAGATGAAACAGCAACTTGCCTCGCAGCAACAAAAGAGCAAGGACGTAAATGCTGGCGTCTGGGATAGACTGAGGACTCTTATTGCTCGTGACGGCAGCTTTGGACGGGCCTACGTTGCGCTCAGCGACCACGAGAAATATGCCTTCGGTCGGCCGTACACTGTCGACGTGGCTTGCTTCAACGAGTGGGCGGTCGATGAGCAACCAAGCAGCGTGAAGAGCAAAAAGAGCACGTCTAGTGCAGCCTCTCAGAGACGCCCTCCATACAAGATTGGCAAACTGGAACTACAGCTCTTGTTCGTTCCGAAGCCCAAGGGCGGAAAGGACGAGGACATGCCCAAGAGTATGAATGCATGCATCCGCGAGATGCGCGAGGCGGAGGCTGCTTCATCCCGCACCTGGGAAGGATTCCTTTCTCAGCAGGGAGGTGATTGCCCGGTAAGTGTTCCACCTGACTAGCTTTGTATCGAGTCTGTACTTATGTGCCATGTTTCGACAGTACTGGCGTCGCCGTTTCTTCAAGCTTCAAGGTTCCAAGTTGACGGCTTACCACGAAACCACCCGCCAGCCCGAGCCACGATCAACCTGTCGAAGGCTGCTAAGCTGATCGATGACAGGTCATCTCTAATCCAGAAAGAGACAACCACAAAAGGTGGCGGGCGACGCAAGTCTGCGTTCGCCGAGGAGGAAGAAGGCTACATGTTTGTGGAAGAAGGGTTCCGTATCCGCTTTGGAAACGGTGAAGTGATCGACTTTTACGCTGACAGCGCAGCGGACAAGGAGGGATGGATGAAGGTTCTGGCTGAGACTGTCGGCAAGGGCAGCTCCTCTGGAAGTAGTCAAATCAAGCCTTGGACTGAGTTGGTCCTCAAGCGCGAACGAAGCATGAAGTCCAGAAGAGAGACAACTGATCGATTCTCCACTCATGCACCTCCTCCGCCAGTGAAAAAGGATCTCGCTTCCGGTGGGGGAATGACGGCGCCGGCGCCGGCATCACCACGACCAGGGCACAAACACACGCAGTCTCAGCCCGAGATCCGCAGTGCGGACGTTCGGCGCCAGAAGGCACGTTCGCTGATGTTCTAAATGCATATCGACACCAGATTTCTTTCCATTTCTCCCTGCGGCTCTTGGTACGGGTTCCGCTTGACTGTCGCTCTGAAGCCATTTGTCCTTTTGTCTATTTTTGACAAACTTGATTATTGCACATGCCTTCTCCTTTCTCTGTTTGGTTCTTTCTTTTTTCTTTTTGACTTGTACTGATTGAAACGTTGGCGTCGGTGTCCAACTTGGTCATTTCTCTTTTGTTTCTGATGGTTGTGTCACTTCTACTCTCGGCTTCTGTGGTTTGACATCAAAGCATTCCGTATTGGGGATCCTGTCGCGAGCTCTTCCATGTTACATTCTGCCGTAAATTAATGACACATAGCGTCTTTCCTTCATGCGTTGATAGTCGAATTAACTTGCATCCACTGTTTTTGTCCGTTAAAATTTAAGTCGCTGTTACTGGAATAATTGGGGGTTCAGCTTCGTTTATATGCTGCGTATCACCGAGGTCTGCTGGCCAAATACTACAGTAGACTAAATCTGACGCTAAGTAGACTGCTATCACACAGCATGGGTGTAATGCTACGAAAAATCACCTGACACTACAATGGTATGGTCCTTGCAGGTCCTTTTGTATTATAGAGACTGTCGGACACACTTGATTCCCATCTATATGCTCGGGAGTCCAGTATATCTTCATCTAACGAATTCCTCTGCATTTTATCTAGAAGAATTGATACAGCAGGTTCAGCCACCCTCCTCACCATGTGCATCCTCACCATCTGACTCGGATTCCACAGCAGCGAGGGCCTCTCTCTGAGATTTCGGGTTGCGCTTACTGGCCTCGTTCTGTTCCGCCTCTGTCGCATCGGTAGGTGGCGTGGGCAGTTTAGAAGCCGCCATACCGCCCGACGTGATGTAAAGGAATGTCTCCTGGCTGAAGTGATCGATATGGTTGAAGAAGACCGAAAAGCTGTTGACTTGTCAGGGTCTGATTCGGGGGAGGAGAAAAATTGTGGAGACTTACGCATTCGCTTGCTCTTCCTCGCGGAAGATCCGATTATAGATCTCCTGCTGCTTGAACTCGTCGATTTCCTTCTGATACTTGCTGAAATCGATGGGTTCCTTGCCCAGCGTGGTGGTTGCCTTCTTGTTGTAGCCGTCGAAGATGGGCCGTTCGAGCAGCAGACCCAGTCCCGGCGCTTTGGGGATGGCGATCTTGGTGGGTCCGTATGAGTCCACGATGCGCTGGGGATCGCACCCGGCTCGGACCAGCATTGTCGCCATGGCGACCATCTTGCGGATCTGGTGCATCATGAAGCTTTGGCCGTGGACTTTGAGGCTGAGCCACTCGGTGCCGTTGATGATGATCGGGTTGCGGTCGACCTTGAAGGACTTGATGAAGCGTTTGGCGGAGGGGTCGGTGTGGGTCTTCTGGATGGTGTAGTTGTAGAAATTGTTGGTGCCGACGTACTTGTCTAGTGTGGCTTGCAGGCGGTCCAGACGGGCGGCGGGATCCGGTATGCGCGTTTGGCTTCAGTGTAGGCAGTCTTGACTTTCTTGACGGCCTCGTAGACTCGCCGCCTGCGGGCTTCTTCTTCGGCCGACGCCTCTGTTGGTTGCTCTTGGGCCGTCTGTTCCGAATCTGCAGGGTTGCCTTCGGAGGAAGTCTGTTGCGGCTCCTCCTTCTGACCAGCATCGTAATCCTCCGGAGCTCTCTCCTCATCGAAGTATAGAGCCTTTTCGACTAACTTGCGGAGATCTTCAGGGAAGGTATTAAGAATAGGCTTGATACGCTCATTATCGACATCTTCCCAGTAGGTAGCGACCTCCTCCTGCCTGGCTCTGTAAGCGTCAAGGTCTCCTTCCTTCTCAGCAAGCTCGACAATCTTCTTGCCAAGATAAGTGCTGGGATGCGGCGGCAGGAAGCAATAGCTTGGAATGAGGTACTCGTAGACACGAGAGTCGCACATCTGGTAACAGCTGAATCCCTTATTCGTGACCTGGATGTCCCAGACTCGGATCTGCGGGCAGAGCTTCTCGTTGATCTTCTTAATAATGTCTGGATCTTCCACAATCAGTTTCAGCGAAACGACGTTACCCGCTGCATGAACACCCTTGTCTGTGCGCGCGCATCGGACCAAAGACGACTTTTTGGGGTCGGCAGCGTTGGCTTTGGAGATGGCGCCTGCCGCAACGAACGCGGCAAACAGATCTCCTTCGATGGTCTTCTCCTTGTCACTCCTGGGTGCAAGTCAATATCGTATTCCAAATTTCCACAGGTGTCCAAGAGTCGTACAATTGCATTCCATGATAGCCCGTCCCAGCGTATCCAATTAATACAGCAACCTTCTTCTTCGGCCGCCGCTGCTCATTTTCGATATCTTCTGGCGAGAAATGCGTCGCATATATAGGCCCTGACACTTCTTCACCGTTCTCAAGCTTGCGCCGTTTGGCTTCGTTTTGCTCCTCATTGCGTGCTCTCTTGTCTACCATGTGCCGACTTGCCAGGTTAGTCGATGACAGTTAGGACTGCTTGATCATATCCGCGCGCGAACATACCTCCATTCTGCCCTTCCCATATTCCTCTTCTTACGCTTTTCACCAGCTTCTCCTGGTCCCTCAGCTCTTCGTTCGTTATTGTCCATGGTGAGTTCCGTCTCTGCCAATGCTGTAATGGCACTTTGGTTCCGAATTGCCGCTGCGCCGGCGTGGAATCGACTAATCTAGTATTTCGTAGCGATGGAGTGACAATTGCGAGGTTCCTGGCGGATGAATTAATCCCGGACAAGCACTGACGCAGGGAAACGTAGGCGCGCATGAAGAGACTTCTACTGCATCTGGATGGCTTCACCTTTCCGTTTTTTGACCTTTTTTGGCTGCGATTTGACGTCGGAGATGCGCTACACCAGATCGGGTCTAGCGGGAGATCGATTGCACTATTCCCGAATCATACAGCTCTTTGACGCCTCAGGCAGTAACAGTGGGTGCCTCGGGCATGCTCTTTGGTTCCAGCCTTTCACATCCAACTCGCCTCATCCTTCTCTTCTACCACGCTCCTTTGTCCCTGTTCTGCAGTTCGGTTGTGTCAAGGCTGCGTCCAGGCTGTTGCACCTCTTCTTCCCTCCTTTAATCCCGATCTGGCCATTTCGGCTGTCTAGACGGAAAAGAATGTCCCTCGTCTTTCGTTAAAGTTCTCTTCGGTGACATCAAGAATCTTTGCGCCGTTCCCCTTCGTGTTTGCTTCGAACCGCGCGAGGTAATTACAGGTTTATCTTAGCTACGCGATAAATCTCAATCTCCTCCAGGGATGGATCTTGCCAATACTCTCATCCGGACCGTGGTCCGGGCTTTCTATGAGACTCGCCAGATTCTCATAGTCGATGCGCTCTTCATCCACTCGGTGTATGTTTATTTCCGAGGGCTCTAAAAATGTCGGAAGCCTAGTTATACATGGCTGACATCCATCTCACTTTACCTGATCTAGACTCCATGCGGAAGATCTTGCCTTCCTCCTAGGCATGCAGCAGAAGGACTTGCGGAAACTTTGCGCCAAGTTGCGCGAAGATCGTTTGATCGCGGTGTATGGCTCGCTTGCAGTACCAGACTAATTGGACCTGCAACCAAGCTGACATGATTGACTTCTCCCCCGTGCAGAAGCACACGAGCCGAGATTCGAGATGGGTCAACCCGGCCTGTCAACCGTGAATACTACTATATCCCGTTACATCCGGTCATCGACGCAATCAAGTTCAAGGTCTCGAAATTAACCTCGACAATCAAAGCCCAATACACGCCAAGCGAGGAAAGGAAGGAATACGTATGCTTGCGTTGCGGCGCAGAATGGACGGAGCTGGACGTTCTGAGCCTGTATTCGGACGAGGGTTTCGAGTGCCAGAACTGCGGGGCCATCCTCGAGCGAACGGAGGACGTCAAAGGAGCCGAGGGAATCGATCGCACAGGACACGAGAAGAACAGCAAGCTCATGGCCCAGCTCGATAACATGCTGAAACTGCTCAAGCAGATCGACTCGGTCGAGATTCCCCCCAACGACTTCGAAACGGCATGGCAGCACAAGGTCGACGTCATCCGCAACCAACAGACGAACCCAACCAGAGCCGCCATCGTCGTCCCCTCGAAACAGCAAGAGGCCGTCCGCGGCAACCTCAAGACTGACGCCACCGCGCTGGAGATCTCCCTCACCTCCACCGAGGAGAAGAGCGCCGCCGAGCAAGCGGAAGAAGCCGCGCGCAAGGCCGCCCTCGAGAAGCAAAACGCCCTTCCCGTCTGGCACACCCACTCGACCGTCTCCACCACCGCCGGCAACGTCAACTACATCAAGACCGAGACAGACGCCGCCATCAAATCCGAAATCAAGGAGGAAGAAGACCGCAAACCCAAGATCGAGGGCCTGGACGACAAGGTCGCCGCATACTACGCCGAGATGGAACGAGAGAAAGCCCTGCAGGCCCAACGCGACGCCAGCAGTGCCGACGAGGACGATTCGGACGACGAATTCGACGAGGAGTTCGAGGACGTCGGCGGTGTCTCCGCTAGCGACACCGCTTCTCCAGCGGTCATGGGCGGGCCTACCAGTGCACCTACGTCTGCACCAGTCGGCATCAAGCGCGAGTTCGACACGGATTCCGGAACAAGTGCGCCTCAGACCGCTGTGGGCACGCCAAATACACCCGCCGACGAGGGACCGGTAGCGAAGAAGATCAAAGTGGAGGCTGATGTGAAAAAGGAGGAATCTGACGAGGATGACGAAGAGTTTGAGGATGTCTGAGGCGGACAGTTGGCCGTCTTCCGCAAGTTTCACGGATCACGAGCGCGGGCGCTTGCGATCAGGTACTTGCAGAAGGGAGACTATGGTGAAGCGACTAGGATATTCATAACCTACCTATTCTTGAGAACCCACTTTCACTCGGTCGCTGACTACTGGTTGGCTGGATATTACTGCTTCCGTAGGGAACGGATTCGTGCATCGTTCGCGAAGGATTTTTACACTGGCCTGTACAGATAGTTTCCACATGAAA